TTCTACGGCACTCGACGTATCGAGACAAAAGGTGACCTTTGTTACTCTAACCCATAAAATATATCTCTAAGAAAATTAACACTACAAATTCCCAAACATATTTTCTCATACACCTATTATTTATAGAACGTACCTATTGTTTATGGCAAGGATAATATAAAGAAATAAAGTAAATATTTATTAAACCGAATTATCTTTTGAAAAGGTTTTTATTAATGGGTTTTATTTTGCTTGGCCTTGTTTTGTTTGGGTCAATTATAGTAATTAAAATTTTACCTCTTTCCTGTTGACAGATTCATCTGAGATATGTGGTACACACCTTTAGTTCTGATGACAATACAATTGATTATATTCAATCATTGTAAAACCAAGATGGCTGAAAATAAAATGTCTATTTTTTTAGTTAAACTTCTTTATTGAAAAGAAAGATAATAATAATGTGGATAATGTACTGAAAGCTAAAAAAAAATAAGGTAAGCCCAAGGTACCAGTCATCCCACCACTCTCCTCATCAATCTAGAGCATTGATCAGACTCAAAAATAAAATCGTGAAGCAATACATACACGTTACGCTACGTTTAACCTAAAAAAATATATCTATTTTTTTTACTTTATTACCAACATTCCTAAACTGCTTTACAGGTAGCTAATTCGTTTTATTTCCTTAAAATTACAATAAACACGATCCACTTTTGTGTTATCTCATTACATCTTCTATCTGTTATATGAACATTAATTAAATCTATAGCTTTAGGCTCTTTATATTTTGAAGTTCATCTTCTAAGGTACCTAAATTTACAGTATGGCCATTTTTACCTTAGCTAATTTAAAGAAGGGTTGTAACTTGTACCTCATTTTTGATTTTCTCTCATACATCTATACTAATATTATAAAGAGGTAAAATTTTCGAGTTAGTGACGTTGTAGGGGGTAATCTTTGGATCTGCTGAACCGATTTAGAAGAAATTTGGTAAGAAGATAGTTTAGACCCTGGGAAGGACATAAAATATTTTTTATCTTGGAAATCATCCTTTAAGGGCATGAAAATGGGGATAAAAATTTGTATTGGGAAGCATGTTAGGATCGAACCGATCGAAGCGAGGGTGAGTCGCTAGTGTAATGGATAAATTATATAAAACTGCAATAGTCAAACAACAGACAGACAGATATTTTCAAAGTTTCATTATGTTTATAATTTCTACTCTCTAATATACTCTCAACTCTTATTATAAATTCACGGATAGAATATATTAATAACAGGACTTAACAGGAAATTTTGTTCTTTCAATCCTTCATAAAATATTTATTTTGCGTAATAATAAAAGATTAACATATTGTTTACAAGATAATGATATTTCTTACGAATCTGTATCAGAAATATGCTTTTAAAGTCATTCCTAATTTCAAAAGGTTTACGTTTAAAATACCTTTAATGATTTGAACCAACTCATTCAAATAAAACGGATAAATTGCCAAATATTTGTTCTATTTGTTTATTGTCAAATCCAATCCATATTATTATTATAAATGTAAAAGTAACACAGTCTATTACCGTTTCACGCTTAAGCCGCTGAACAAATTTTGATAAAATTTGGAATAGACATAGATTGCATCTTGGGAAAACATAGGCTGCCTTTGAATTGCGCCCCGATTATCACGCGAGCGAAGCCGTGGGTAAAATCTATTTTAAAATAAAAGGCGGCTTCTACACAAATAACATTTGTAATATTTGTTCTCGATCGTAAAAAGGTAGTATATGTACCCAAATATACGTCAAACTTGGTATATATGATGATTATAGTAAGTCTAAAGTAAAGCAAAAAGTAATACTGCTCGGTCTTAAATTCGACTCACATTTGGTCGGTTTTTATATAAATAAGCAATGAATTGACTGTAAATTGGAAAATGTTCTATTAAAGCAATATACTTAAGTTAAAAAAATGAGATATATGATATAGCGTTTCTCTTTAATTTCACAAAAGTTTCACCCGCTGAAAATTAGTCTAGGGACATTGAACTGTTAAATTTATTATGAGCTAAAGCCTAAATATATTTAATATAAATATTCTGTATAGAAAAAGTCTTTCATAATCTCAAAAATACTATTCAAATTTTCAATGAAATTGAAAATAAACAACTAATCCTTAGTGCAAACAAACAACTTGTTGTTGCTTTAATTATATTTATTGTTTATTCTGCTTATTTTAATTCAGGAAGGATGTAGTTATTTTCCACTCAATATAGTACTTCAATACCAAATTGCCACCAAATCAGACAAATATTTTACATTATCGTATCTGAATAGGATGGGAAATGCATTTACGCATACCATCTGAATATTTACATGTTTTTATGTACAGACTCACCGACTACAAAAGCCAATACTACCAATGGAACCTTCTCCGTCTTATATAACACCCTCACACACGACACGACACAACACGACTCACACTCGCTCCGCTCGGGTTCGTTCCTAATTACGCTTTAACAATTACCATACATTTCTCAGAGATGACATATTTTCCCGCAGTAAAAATTATTCTATATGTTGACCCAGATAACCAGCTATCATCATACCAAGTTCCATCTAAATCTATCCAGTCGTTTTCTCGTGATGCGTTCCCAGACAGAAAGACAAAAATTCTAAAAACTATAGATTCAACCCTTGTATATGATTATTTCACATTTTTAAATTTATAATAATGATTATTTCAGTAAAAAAATTATTATATGTATAGATGTAGGTACATGCTTATCTATATCAAACTCCCTTAACCTATATGAACTCGTAACATTCAGAATAAATGGGAACGGATATTATGACGTGCCATTTCTATAAAAAAACCCGCCATGTAATGTATGTAGATATTTGCCTAAAACCCATAACACAATTTCATGCACTCCAGACCGTTGAACCTATCATTAAGTGAAGTGGAAACATCGATATTGACAACGGTGATTTAACCTTTATAAGTGATTCAGAGAGTGTCTGCTTAGATTAAAGATCAAATGAGCATCTAAAATAGTTTAAAATTGAACTTTGATTTGATTTAAACTTTGAATAAAAGTATTTGTAGGACGCCTGCTGTTGGTATAGAATAGTACACAGCATGTAGCGTATGTTTTTTTATCCATAACACCACTTTAAAGTCTATGTTTGTACTCGTATATTATGCTAATAAAATTATCTAAACAAAAATTCGTATCAATCCATTTCTCCGATGCTGCGTAAATAAAATAAATATATAAAACACACTTTTGCTTTTATAATAAATTTTTTTCATAATGACTTTCTTGATACTTCGATATTATTGTAATAATTGTAATAGTCACATTTATATAATAAAGCTAGCAGTACCCGGGTTCGCCCGCGTTCAAACTACTGACACACCGACAGCAGCGCCACCTACCGGGTCTAATTGTGTTTTCAAACCATTCAGGAACCCATTGAAATATACACACAAACGTGACAAACACACCTACAGAAGAATCATATACGAGTATATTAAGAAGATATAACAAGCTACTTACCCTCACTTCACTCGGGGCTCTCCTAGATGCCTAAATTATAATAAGTATATCAGCGTACTAAATTTCATACAAATCCATCTAGCCGTTTTAGCGTGTACGAGTGATAAACAAACACACATACAAAGTTTCATATTTATGACAAATACTAGCAAACCCCGTGGCGTCGCTCGCGCTAAAACTACAAAAATCTCTAAAAAGGTAGATTTCATACAAAATTTTATCTCCTATTATGGGATTCCTCTTATTGTATTGAAGAGCAATAATACCAAGTTTCAAGTAATTCTGATCATATATTATTTTCGAGGAAACTATACAAAAGAGCCTTATTAAGAAGGCAACTTGCTGCAGAAAACTTGAAGTACTTCTATACAGAAGGAATGAGCCTAAAACATTATTTTTAATAATAATCATTATACTTAATTTAATAATCCATTATACATTCGTCCTATTGTACTCGCACACACAAGCACGCACGCTCACACATAAACATACACACACATTCGTTCACACGCGCGCATACACATACACACACACACACAAACACACGCACTCATACACACATACGCATACACACACACACACACACACTTTTTTTTTAATTTCTTATTGCTTTTTGTTTCAATTGGTTTTTTTGTCGGACTCCTGTAGAGCTTGACTGGAGGAATATTCCTCTTGCCTTACTCCCGCTGAAGCTGAAGCTGAGTGTAACTGAAAATCAGCGCTGCTTGAGATTTCGGTCTTAGCAGCATCAGTTGAGTTGCCATAAGTTAGTATAAGCTTTTACTGATTCTGATAATATTTTATTATTTATTTTTTTATTTTATTATAACTTTATCTATGTATACATATAATAAAATTTATCTATGTATACATATAATAAAACTGTAGAGGTCAAATGTCTGTACATAGAAAAAAATGCTAAAAACCGAGTCAGGGTAAGGTAAGAAGAGAAATAGAACAAATCCGGATTTTTAACAAATTATTTGTTTCTCTGTCTGCTTAAACAGGATCTCCGAAACTGTTGGATTTATAATGTATTAATTATTCATATAGTTCATACATCAGAATAACACATAGGCTACTTTTTATCCCGGAATGTAAATGTAAATGTACGGTTCCCGTGGGATAGATTTGTTTTTGTTTGTACTATATATAATATTGTGAATAGGCAGACTTTGTTTGTTTGAACGCGCTAATCTCAGGAACTACTAATTAAAGGACGATTTGAAAAATTCTTTTTGCATTAGATAGCCCGTTTATAGATGAAAGCTTTAGTCTACCTATATATTATTATGTCCAAATAAATACCGTAGCGAGCGTAGCAGTTATATAAAATATTCCATTCTAACCGTTAAAACGTACTTAGGACGACCTCGAGGGAGGTTAAGCCGCTAGTTATAAGTTTTTTAGTATTCTAGGAAAGGGATTGTTTCAACAATAAAACTCAGAATAGAAAATGTATATTTTTTACTTCGATTTTAATATCCGTGCTCCATCACTTGGCTGGCATACGAAGAAATCTGGCTTTCCCTTATAGCGAGATTGCACTATTCCTTTCACTGCATCCACGTGTTCTCTCTTTACCTTTAAACATACAAAAAATATTAATATGGCCACTACACGTTTTTAATCAATACTAATATGAGGTAAATTAAGTATGAATGTATAATATAATAAAATTCTGAGTAAAATCTGTACGTAATTTTTTTTGTTTTCGAAAATCTTTTTGAAATAGTCATTCATATCGAAACAGAGGCCGTATCTATAGTTTGTAGAATTTTGTCTGTCTTTTTGTCTGTCTATCTGTCTGGGAACGCATCATGAGAAAAAGATTTTGATGAAATTTGGTATAATGATAGCTAGTTATGCGGGTCAACATACTGGTTACTTTTTACTGCGAGAAAATATCTCATCTTCAAGAAATCTATACTAAACGTTATAGTAGGGGAGCCCAAGCGGGGATTTCGGGATTTACTAAAGCGCGGCAGATTAATATACAGGGGGATACCTTGTACCCGGTTAAGTACCTCCACAAAACATGAGGCCCATATATAAGGCCGCCCGTGAAGGAAACAGGATCAGATTAGTAAAAAAAAGTTGACCATCAAAAATTCTCGAGCGCGTCAGATTAAGGTAGGGTGAGTTAATTACATCCTAAAAAGTGTATATTCCACAAATCTGACAATTTGAGAGTGACGTAAAAAAAGGGGAGGGCAACAAAGTTGTAAAAAAAACGTCATCTCGACATTCTCGAGCGTAGCTAAATTTTTTTTTATTTTGAAGGAAATAATTCAAGAATAATGAATATTATATAATCTGACGATTTCCGCAAGCCGAAATAACAAAAATTCGTCGATAAAGTTAAATGCGTGCAGCTGCGTGATGCCTACATTTCCTTCTCCGCGTGTCTGTTCCTTTCTCACTCTTTCTCTATCTATTACTCTCTCACTCCGTCCCCACTCTGGTTTCTGCCGCCATGACGCCATTACAGCTGATCATAAAGACTCGTTCGTGGCATATTGTTTACAACGTGTCTCCAACGTTTTGGCTTTTTTTGCTATTTTAATATTATTTGTGTGAATTAAAGTTTATAAATATTTAATATGAGTGACATTAATTTGAAATGTGTATTTTGTGGTGAAAGTACCTTACAAAAAACAATTAAATTTACGGTAGAACCCCCGTGACTACCCCCGTGTATGATGTTGTCACTAAGTCTGTATGTATGTATGTATGTGTGTGTGTATGTGTGACTCGCTTATATCTTTTCAACGACTAAACCGATCGGAATCTACTAAACGGCGTTCTAAAGATTTCCCTCAAAATTAGATTCCCTGTGAATTTGAACCGATTCGGACCGATAGATTTTGAGAAATTTTGAAAAATCTCAAAAAAAATAAGATTTTTTTTTTAAAGTGTTTTTTTTTGGAATAACTTTTAACCGGCTTTATCAATTAACTTCAAAAACTAATCCGCCCTTAAGCTAAAAAAACCACGCCGATCGTCGCTAATCCGGTCAAAATCGGTTAATTCGTTCGAGAGATATCGTGAACGAAAGAAAACCGAAAAAAGTGTTTTTTCGGGATTACTCTGAAATTTTTGGTTCGATCAATTAAAACTTGAAAAGAACTTATGAGAATGATAAAACTGCGTCGAATGGCGTCAACCGCGTGAAAATTGCTTGATCTATTCAAAAGTTATTGCGGTTTGAAAATTCCAAAAATAGTGTTATATGAAACTTCTATCAGTCTTTCGAGCTGGGAGAGCTCAAATGCATAGAAATATTATTTCTTTAAACTCAGCGAGCTCAAAATATCACATAAATTATATTTTGAGCTCAAAGATGTCATAAGTACAATTTTAAGCGCCCAGGAATGGAATTAGCGGGATGTTGCAGGTATGGCCTTAAGCTGAACCGTTTTTCTAATTTTTTTTGTCAGATCAGGCGAATCCCTCTAGATAATCGTCAGATTATGAGACAGTACGTTTAGAACATAAAGATGAACCATATATATCTTAATCTGACGCGCTTGAGTATTTCAAAATGGCGATTTTTTTGCACATTATGAAAATGGCCGCGAGTTTGCGTCCCATCGAAATCGTCAGATTAGTGAATGAGAGCTTTTTGGTGCACTTAACACTCCCTTAGAAAATCTGACGCGCTCGATTAATTTTTTTTTTCATTTTCAACCCTTAAATATAACCACCCGCATCATGCAAACGATCAGATTAACATACGTGCATTATTAAAAATACGTAGGGCATTGATGCTATCAATATCTGACGCGCTCGAGGATGTCTATGCAACAGCTTTTTTTTACATATTTAAAAATCTATAGCCGCTTCCCCCACTGATGTAAAGGTATATATCATATAACATTTTTTTCTTCTTATCATCTAAGCTTTGCATCCCAATAGGTCTCTACGACGCTCGAGTAAATCCCCATTTAGCATCGTGGGCTCCCCTACTATTAAAACGTAACTAGAAACGAACATGAGCGGAGCGAGGGTGGAGTGTCAGAAATAATAATAACTTGTTCAACTGGCACGTTTTGAAATCATCAAACAAGAAAATTGAAATAAATTATAATAAATCTAAATTGAAGTCGGAAAGAATTATTATTGGCCTTTCAAAAAAAATCCTATGTAAATAATGCAATAAAATGTATGACGAAAAGACACCTAGGGATCATTCTAAGGGGGGGAACTAAGTCGTTGACAAAATCAAGTCCCGTAGTACATTAAAAATGGTCAAAAAACTCAGAATTATAATATAAAGATTATAAATGACGACACGTTTGGCTCAGTTTGTACTTGCTGTGTCAGTGGTCGCGGGTTCAAGTGCCGCGGTTTGCATTCATACGTACCTATGTGTGATGAGCACGAATGTTTGTACTCCAGTCATAGGTTTATATTTATTTATTTGAAGTTTGTAATTATGTATATTTATTTATTTAAAGATGTATAATGTATCAACAATCTGGTATCCATAACACAAGCCTCGTAGCTTACCATGGAACTAGATGGTGCTGTGTGTTAATGCCCCCACATATTTATTTATTTATAAAGGACCCATTTTTATTAACCGATACAATAATTTGGATGGGACCTTATATTCAAGATAAGAAAACTTATAACACACTACTACTACTACAAAAGTTATAAAACGTAAAACTTTAACATTTAAAGAAAAACGATAAATGTAAATTTATATACAGGGTCATTTTTAATTTACTGAAAACGTTTTGGGAATATACTGTTTACATCATAACAACAACATCTGTAAGGAAAAAAATTAATATTTCTTAAATTTTACAAAAATAAAAATATGTTTATTGCACCTTCTAAACGGTAATAGTCCAGCATTAGCAAAAGAAAGTGCGTGTCCGATGGATGGGGAGGGGTGGAGGGGTGTAAGAAGCGGCCCTTACACATTTAAACTTGGCCAGATGCTAGATCTTTTCCGTTTAGAAGGTGCAATAAAAACATTTTTATTTTTGTATAAAAATAAAAAATTTATAAATATTTTTTTCTTGTTACAGATGTTGATGTTATGATGTAAATAGTATATTCCCAAAAGGTTTTCAGTAAATTAAAAGTGACCCTGTATATACAAGGTAAATTTTCTATAATAACTTTTAGTAATTAACTGTGAAAATTATATTCTTACTTTAGACCATCCCACAAATTGGGTCAAACCTAATTACATTGTGTTGTTTTCATACAAAGTTGACATCTATACTAATATTATAAATGGGAAAGTGTGTTTGTTTGTTTGGTTGTTTGTCCTTCTTTTACATCGAAAATTTATGTCATTCCCACGGGAAAACTCGTTTTAATACTTCCCAAAAAATATTTGCGATTAGAATTACTTGAAACTTAGTATTAATTTTCTTCGATACAATTAAATAATTACGTCTTTTAGCATTTTTCGAAATACATTCCATAAGGGGCTAAAATAGGGAATGAAAGTTTGTATGAAACCTACCTTTTTAGAGTTTATTTTGTAGATTTAGCGCGAGCAAAGCCGGGGGTTCTGCTAGTTTTATATTAAATACCGTACATATTTCACACTACTACTGCCTAGAGAGTAGTATTCATACCCACGTAAGATTATGACCCTATCTAGATCTAGTTCATAGTCTCTAAACAGTTGTGACCTAGATGTATACAGAGAAAAACTTTATTATTAAAATGACTCTTATAACTAAAATTATAAATAACCTAGTTTTGTTTAAATAAAATGTATAATATTTAAAATTATATATAAATATTTTACGTTCATTCAGTCTTTTATCCAAATACAAATACCTAATATAAAAAATACATCCACAAAATGGAGGAATTACTCAATTCGGTTGTATGTATATTTGTTTGTATGTCACGTGATATCTTCGCCAATTGTTAATTTATTTTTATAATTTGAATCTACTGAACTTTTCTACTGAGCAGGAAGTAATAGATTCGATTTCCAATGACATAATGCGTACTTTGCATTTCAATTTCCTGATAACCAAAAAAGAAAAGATGAAAATAAATATGTGCACATTTATTTTCTTTAGCTGTTTATATGTTAGCTGCATCCTAAATATCATATTTCTAAAACATTTCTTTAAATGCGTACCTATTCTAAGTATCGAATTGATCGAATAACTGAGGCTTAGAAGATGTTATTGGCATGATTTTAATACTTATGATATGGAATTATAACAAGTATTAGATATAATAAAACTCTGAGTCGAATTTGTACATTAAATATTAGTATTATCGATACAGAGGCCGAATCTATAGTTTTTAGAATTTTGTCTGTCTGTCTGGGAACATCACGAAAAAACTACTAGACAGATTTGGTATGATTATCATATATAATTTTTTATGTTTGTTTCCACATGCTAAGCTCCGGAATTACCATTTGATTTGTTATATAACTTTGAAGTTATATAACAAATAAGATAGATCCATAGGAATTTATCTGACCTCTTTTGCTACTTTGCTTTTTGTAAGAATGATTGACACTTTGATGCCTGAAGCTAATGTTTTCTTGTATAACGGGTTCAATTATAATTTGAAGCCATTGTTCAAGGCTTAATAGAGAAGAATTTTCAATAGATCCCTAGCCCTCGCTTCACTCAGGTGGGTCACTACGTGCCTAACAATAACAATAACTTAATATGTTTATTATATTTTTAATGTAAAATTTATGTTTATTTAATTTCATCCAAATCCGTCCAGCAGTTTTAGCGTGAAGGATTAATAAAATACAACATACATACAAACTGTCGTATTTATAACTGTAGTCCAATGATATATGCGTACAAATTATTACAAATATACAGCGAGAATCGAACCTGTACTTACCAGAGCAATAACACAGCCTCCAAAGCCACCACCCGTCATTCTGGCACCATAAACGCCTGGTGACGAGCGCATGATGTCCACTAGTTGATCCAACTCTGGACAAGACACTTCCATCAACTTACTGAGTGATTCGTGTGATTTGTAGAACCGCTCACCAACCTGATACAAACGTGAAAAGTCTTAGTCTTATAATATAAAACACACAGAAAACATATAATCCAAATGTGACAGATATGTCTCTATTAAATAAAAATAAATATAAATATGTTTTACATTAAGACACAGCACCATCTAGTTCCATGGTAAGCTACGAGGCTTGTGTTATGTATACTAGATAGTTGATACACTACACATACATACATAACTTTAAATATATACATTTTTATAATATATAAATATAAACACCCATGACTGGAGTACAAACGTTCATGCTCATCACATAAATGAATGCCTCCAGCGGGACTCGAATTCGCGACCGCCACAGCAAGTAGGGTCACTACAAACTGAGCCAACCGTGTCGTCAAACTTGATATTAGATATATAACTTGATACTTTAAATTTAATATAGCATTTATCTGCTATACTATAAAAAGTCATTTTTCCCACATTAAAAAGTTGCATTTAGTCGTCTCTTGATTTTTATCATTTCATTTGAATCACTCCAGTGCTTAAGCAGTACAAAAATAACTAACAGGAAGACAAACACGTATTTAAAAAACAGTTAATTAATTAAAGAACAATTAACGTTGACCGGCGATCATCGAAATCAATATTTTTATTTCTAACAGCTTCAATAAACAGAAAAGTCTATGATTGATTGATTGTATTTTATATTTAGAGTTCTTTTTTGTATTTTTAGCTTACTTAGATTTCAAAGTCGTATGTAACCTCAACGCAAAAGCGCCAAAAATATATAAAATACAAATTTTTGGTGTTCCAGAAAAAAGATCTTTTGATAAAAAAAAATCCAATCTATATATATAATCAATATTAATTAATAATATAAAATATTAATCTATATATATAATATAAATATCAAATGAAATATAGTCGCTAGTACGAAAATAAAAAGTAAAAAAATTATTTCCTTTTTTGAAAAGAAACTTCTGTAAAATCGTTGTCATTTGAAACTCGATGAAACGGAAATACGGCACGAGAAGGAGACAAACACATAAACAATTAAGCCGGCAAGAGAATGAGACAAAATACATTACACAGGAAGTCAAAAATAATACTAAATAATATGTTATTATGTAATATATGTCAATTAAAAGGTAAAATAACTAATACTTTCTTATAATACTTTCTTATTTCTTATTTCTTATTTAAAATGGTAAAATAACTTTTAAACTTGGTAAAAAAAACTAAACTTATTACTTATAAAAATAAATATTTATTACTGTGGGATGAATTTGCATAAATTAAATAAAAGCTTTTATGACTAATTGTTGCCATGGTAACCGTTGTTATTGTCCCACAAATGATGTATAATAATACTAGCGGCTCACCCACGCTTCGCTCGGGTTCGTCGCTAGGTACGTTTTAAATAGATATAAAAAAAAAAAATATTTCTTTCTCACATTTTAATTATATGTTTTAATACTTACCTATTCCGGACTAAGAGAAATCCAAAAATTAAAATATCATAAAAATTGGAACGCGGTCGAACGGGATAAAAAGTATCCTATGTCCTTCTCCTGGCTCTAAACTACCTCCCTGCCAATTTTCAGCTAAATCGGTTCAGCCGTTCTTGAGTTATAAGCGAAGTAACTAACACGACTTTCTTTTATATATATAGATATTCTTTCCTTAGGTATATATGACTTTCTATCAATATGTGATTGTAATATGCCTAATTATTGAATTGTTTTAATTTAATTGCGATATTTATATTAGTCTAAGAAGTATTAGGTACTTCTATATGGTGTCATTTCTCTTTTCTTCCAAGTTTTTTAGATTGACACCGTTTGCAATACATCTATAACTTTTGGAAGGGCCAAAAAAGCTTTAGTCTTTCCCGTCGCTATGTTGGCTATAAAGCATTCGAATTGCCGGGAATAAATAATGAAAATAAAACCGCCAAAAAATCCTAAAACAAGTTGCTTTACAGCAAACAATGTTTTACGCAACTATGCTTTACAACAATCAATTCTCGCCAAAAACTAGTTCTATTCAACAAAAATTTCGAGGACAATAATATTTAAAGAAGAAATAATATAAAATTAGTAAAATAATAACTTTAAGATTGTTGTAAGGTCGATTTATTATCTGTTTATCATACAGCGGTTTTAATGCAGACACGGGCCTTCTTCGCATTAAACAAAACGAGAGAGATCAGTCCATAGTTCATCACGCTAGCCGTAGTGCAGGTTGGCGGACTTCACATGTCTTTCATTTACATCCCCCTGAATCGGTTTTTAGCACATTTTTCTATGTACAGACATTCGATCTCTACATTTTTATTATATGTATAAATAGTCTATCTATTCCATACTAACCGTTAAAACGTACCTAAGGACGAACCCGAGCGGAGCGAGAGTGAGTCGCTAGTTTTATTATATTTTATATTTGCTGAAGTGCAAAAATCAAACAGATAATTTGCCCTACTTTCATTCAAATACAGTAAATATGTATGTAAAAAATACACTTACATACAAAAACACATTTATATTTTCAAAATAACTATCCAATTTTACCGACTACGTTAAAAGAAAGCCGTAACCAATTCTTTCTTATAAATGTATACGCAATATCTTCCCTAAACGTGAATCAATTTTCACCCGACTTCCTTCTCTAAAAAGGAGGAGGTTCTCAATTCGTCTGAATCTTTTTCATAATTATTTATAATGAATATATTATACAAACAAAAAAGGTAGGTTGAAAAAAATTTCTAAAGAAATCAATCATCGTTTTTAAATGTTCAATTTCAAAATCCTTCCAACTTTTTTAGTTAAAATGTAATTATTAGCTCATATAGTCATTTATTCTACAAAAAAAATAGTATGGTCATCTGTCTCTACTGATGTGTAGCATTGAATTAACGTGACGAATGAAATAATTTGCAAAATAGCGATTTAGGCTATTTTACCTCCTTGGCAAAGAAATTGAAATATTTGCCTCAATAAGGAACCAAACTTGCAGTATCCAGCACACGCAATGCATTCAGATGTATGTAATCATAGCTCCCATTACGCACGGTAACGACAATAATAAAAATTATCAATAAACTGTAGGTCCATATACAATAAATAATTATTTTATTATTTGCTACAAATTTCAATTAGAAGGTTCATTAGTTGGTATTATAAGCCTGATAAACTTCAAAGTAATTTTGAAACTATTGTACCGGAAAACAAAATTACAATGACCTTTTGAAAATGTAATTTAATAGCAATTAAGCTTTAAAACGGTTTAGTATATTATATTATTTAACTAGCGATTTACCCTGGCTTTGCTCGGGTGTGTTTGTATATGATAATAATAATATGGACATTAACACACAGCACCATCTAGTTCCATGGTAGGCTACGAGGCTTTTGTTATTGATATCAGATAATTGATACACTACACATATAACTTTAAATACATACAAATTATAAATATAAACACCCATGACTGGAGTACAAACATTCGTGATCATCACACAAATGAATGCCCCCAGCAGGACTCGAACCCGCAACCGCTGGCACAGCTCAGTATTACACATGCTTTAGTTCATAGTGCGCTAAATAATATTCAAATCCATCGAATGCAAATGAAACCTACGCTTCAAATAAAAACAATTAGGTATAACTGGTTAACCCAGTGATCGAAATTCAATCACATCATTATTGACAATTTGAGCCAAACTACTATAAATAGAATTTACCTGTCCATATAAAAAAAAACTACCGGTTTCCAATTTTTTTTTTAATAGTTAAGATGCTCTAAAGCTCTTCAAAGGCCAAAGCTACTAAAGAAAAAAATCGATTAACAAACACGAGAATAAAAATGTACTGAACATTTTTTTCTTAACCAATGAATATAACTTAGAATAAAAGTCATGAATTTTAAAACTTTATTAGTAGATATTTAAATATAGTAGCAATATAAATGCAAATTATGTTTAAAATAATCATTTTTTGATAATGAAAAAATGGCAGTTACGTTATAACTCTTAAATAAACTCTTAAATAAGTATAATAACACAAACTCTGAAATGCCTACCGTCAATAATAACAAGGTAGAAAATATACGGCAACAAATTCAACGAATTTATTAGTAGCGTCCCAGTTCCCACACATACTACGTAGGAATAAGCCGATTCTTGCTACATAAGTATACTTATTTGTTAGACTTGGTGCAAACTTGTTATACGAGTACGTTTGTTGTCTATACATATAATAAAATTCTAACTGAGCCGAATCTGTACATGAAATTTTTTTGAAAAATCTTATTGAAATATACATTATTATCGATACAGAGGCCGAATCTATAGTTTTTAGAATTTTTGTCTGTCTGTCTGTCAATACTTTGACACTAACTATAGAAAGTTTAAAATTCCGAGGTCATCGGAAAAACTTTAGCGGCTCAAAAGAATCGTAGGGATCGGGTCTAAAATTATTTTAATTCGAAATCGTCACAATTGATCAATTAATTTTGATAATTGGTCAAAAATTATTCACGTACTAATTTAATTATATTTTTTCTTATTTATAGTATTTATATTGTTAATTTTTTTAGAACAGATGAAATAAAAAAATCATATACTTATGGCCTATTCAAATAAAATACTGTCACGTCTGCACGCGTTAAAGAAGTACCATACATATAGCTACCAATAGTTTGCCATCAGTTTAGTTGGTTAGCTCAATCAACTTTTTCCGGTACCAAAACGATATATGTAGTGTGACGATACAATTTCATACTTATTTAGAGCATTACTAAACAATTTGCTAACAAAATATCTTTATACGGAAGTTATCATTTAGTAAATCTTTCTAGTTAAACAATCATATTTTATTTTTTAATCATAGTATTATATAAAGTTTTAATCACAATGTCTTGCATAAAAAATTCAATATAAATAATATCTTACTTCCGAGTTTTTGTTCTAAAACGCCTGTCTTTAAAATTCAAAGTAATATAACCATCTAATTTTCGAATTGTGGAAACGTATCGGTTCGATTTAAACGTGAAAATGTAACAAACAGACAAACAGAATTACTTTCACTTTTATAATGATAGTATGATGTTGATGTTCTCCTGACCGATTCCGGCCACGGCGGCCAATCTCATTGAGACTAGCCAACTGCGCAGGAGATATTATAGTGCACAAGTGTACGCGCAGACACAAGTGCACTCTCTATTCCTGTCACTCTCATACTCTGGTGGGACGACCACTCGACACGACCAGTGAGAGTTAAGGCGCAGGACCGACGGCTTTACGTGCTCTCCGAGGCACGGGGGTGAAACACCTCCAACTTCCCAACTCCGGGCTGTTACTGAGGCTTAATATACAGAAACACTCAATAACTAAACTTGGCCCGACCCGGGACTCGAACCCAGGACCTCCGGGTGTGCAGCCGTACATGCTAGCCACTACACCACCGAAGCAGTTATAATGATAAGTATAGTATAGAAATAATAATGATAGTATAGTATAGAAATGAGGTTGAAAAAAATGATTTACGTTTACCCGTTTACCCGAGAACGAGTAATTTACGATAGTCTAAAACTTAAATAACCTCAATGAAAAAATTTTAAGCACCGTCACCAACTTTTCATTCAAAAACATTTATCTTTCGCTATTTTAATTTAATGCAATATCGTGGAATTATAAATTAAGATATAATTTTCTCTTATTTAATTAAAATCAGTAGTAGAAGTTTTATGTACATACAAAGGTTTAACTTAGGCAGACTAAAAGCTTCGAGTTAGAATTTAGGTATATCGTCGAGATTAAAAGTTGTAAATTATTTTCTTTTAGTTACATAGCTCTGTAATTGCGTACTATTTATTCGCCTAATATTTTATATATAAGAAAATAGAAATTATTTACAGGAATTATGCCCGCAATTTAAGAACGTCAGAATTAAACATTCACATAAAAAAATGTTTAATTTTATAAATAAACTAACGACTTACCCTCAGGTCCCGTCGCGTCGGGTCAGGTCGCGACCCTATGTACGTTTTAATTTTTTTGAGGGGAACAGTAAATCTTTTTCTAAAATAAAAGTAGCCTATGTTACTCATTATAACATCAGCTATCTGCCAGTGAAAGTCAAAATCAGTCCAGCCGTCTCGGAGATTAATAAAAAAAATACTTAAAATATTGCCTTCCGGTATAAAATTAGAAAAATAATTCGAATTTGGAATCTGATTAAAAAATCAAAAGGAACAATAAATTTTCTATACAGAACACTAGATTTATTATTTAATTTGTAATTTCTTCAATATGAAAATAGAATCCAAAAAATCCCTTCATTCAACCTGATCACCTCTTTAGAATCCCATAACTTGACAACTAAACCTCAATTAAAAATAAATATGATGTGTACATGTTCACATGCCCGATATGTACGAATTTTAGAACCTTACTTTTCTTTCGCTGTCCGCTTCACGTGAAATGTCCCATATGAATTTTAGTAAGAAGCTGGTATTTTGATTTTAATTTAAAACAGAAGATTCTTTCAATTAATAGATAGACGACCTACGAGTATTATCATATGATAATTATTATTATAAAAATTCAATTCTTAAAACGTTAAAATAGGATAAAGAAAACCTCAAAAAGCAACTAGTATTAGTATATAAAACTTACCGCAACAAAATCCTTCTGTGGCAACAGCTGGGCGACTTCCTCGGTACGCGCGATCTCCTCTATCACATGCTTTGCCCTCTTGTATACTAATTCGTCACATCGCAAAGATTTTAGTTCTATAACAAAAAAAGAACCTATGAATACAAAACACAATACAACGTGGTTTAAATCAGGCGTCCGAACTATCTCTTTTTATAAGTAGGCCCATCAAAATTTAAGTTCGGTATATCGATCTTTTTTCAAATATTACCTACAGTTGAAATTATACGTCATCTCTTTCTAAGAAGAAAGTTTTCTTTCAATAGGGAATATGGCTGGGTACTACCATCGTCATGGTACACAAAAACTACCGCACATTTTAAAAAGTATCTAAGATGTTGCTGGGGGATATAAGGTACCACCATACAAAGTTTCATTTAAATCGGTACAAACAGAAAAACAGACAAACAGCTCGCTCGGGTTCGTCCATACCTACGAATATGTTGTATTATCTCTTTAACCATTTGTCCAAATTATATGCAGGAAAAGGGAAAAGTCTTTTGTTTTAAACATTTTAGACGATAAATTTACTTATTTTGATAAGAATTCATAATTGTTGATAATATGACCAATAAACATGACCTACAGATTTAAATTATTTTTTTAATATAAAAAACTACTTTTTGTGACTTAAATAGAAAAGTTAGATATATGCTGTCGCTGACTTTTTTGTAGGCATTATTAAGCTCTACAACTTTTCTCTAGAACATAATCATATATCTTTCATCGTTAAGGCAGCGTTCGTAAGAAACGTTTTCGTTCGACCGTTTTTTCTCCGACTTAATTTGCAAATCCGACTACCACGAAAAAGCCTTTTCGTTCTTCGGGTTAATATATAGCCTATGACACTCAGAAAGAACGTGGCTTTCTATTGGTAAAAGAATTTTGAAAATCGGTTCAGTAGATCCAGAGATTACCCCCTACAACGTCACAAACTCACAAACTTTACCTCTTTATAATATTAGTATAGATATATGTATCTGGAAAACCCCTTCACCGACTTTAACTCGACTGTGAGCTCAATAGCCCACGTTGCAGACACCGATAGTGCTACAAACAAGTACTTTACTGCTGAGATAAATAGTATTTTATAAAATTATCAGTTCACAAGTACCCGCACATACTTCACATTACTTTCAATAAAACAAGGCACGTGATTTCTATTTATTTTATCTACTGCGTAATTGCTAGAATTCCTTAGATTAACAAATATTTTGGAAATGTCATAACTATTTTTATTATAGATATAGAATAAATACTTAATCAAATGTTTTAAAGAAGATCTTCGTTATTTAAAGTAATGTTTTGATTAAGGAGATTTTTCCCGATTTCCATCGAAAGTATGTTTTTAAAATATAGTATCTCTGTCTCTTAGTCTCTTTGTCTGTATATGTGAACACGATAAACTCAAAAAATACCGAACGGATTTTCATACGGTTTTCACCAATAGATGGAGTGACTCATGAGGAAGGTTTAGGTGTATAATACATTAAGATTTTGTGTAAATTGGCTGAAATGTGACGACGATTGTTGAAGATGTCGACGACTTGCGTTCTTTGTCTAAAAAAATCTTTACACTTCCTGGAACACATTTTGGAACGCTTCTAAAACAATTAAAGGTAAGTATTATGCTTCAATCCAACCGGAGGTTCCAGTCTCCCCGTGGTTCTTTCGATTTCGCCGTGCTGACCGCAAAACCACCTCAATTATATGTAGGCTTCGTCTAGGCCATGCGTGTACTCCGGTTCATTTAGCAAAATTAAATATTAGAAATAGCTCTATTTGTGAATGTGGCTTAGATGAGGGTTCCACTGATCATATTCTCTTTAATTGTCCCAAACTGAAATATTCTCTATATGATATAATCCCTCCTCAAATTCACCGCCCAGTTAACACCAAATGTTTATTAGCCCTTGTATTTAGCCCATTTATTAAAAAACTAGTTAAATTTATAGTAGATAATAAAATTAAATTATAATATAGTTCTCATTATGTATATATTTTTTCATTCTCAATCAATGTGTCATTTTTGTATTACGTAATTATTTTTCTATTGTTATAGGTTAATCTTGTAGACCGATCATTCATTTATAGTTTTAATTCCACAATAAAGTTACCAAATTTCAAAATTACCGCTCAATCTCATTCGTGTCTTCCTCACAAAACGTGACACTGGCAGAATGGACTGCGTCTGTTAACGCAACTATAAGCCATATTAAAAAAAAAAAAGAATTGTGCCCAAATGGTCCTATCCTATAAGCCACAGAACAAATAACATTAACATCCGGAAAGAAAAATCATCAGTTAAGAGAAAAACTGGCGGAAGAAACTCAACGGGACTTACTTATATTTTTTTCCATTTAATCTAGATAACAAAAAATCTTACTAAAATTGCAGGAAATGTTGTGCTCTATAAGTTTTATACTATTTATAACCTAGATGACGCAGGAGAGAAGATATACTAGAAAAACTGTTTTTTGTACCATTTTTCCAATATGGCGCCAGTTCCGCAAAGTTGCAAACTCGGATTAGTAATTAAGACTCCAAATTGTGATAATCTACCAAGTTAATTTGCTTGGCCTTTTGAAGTAAGCTCCCTTTTATCTATTTGTTGTTTCGACTCTTTCGTTATATAAAAACATTGAAATGGGATTGTACTATGTTTGACCTTCATGTACTGCGTATTGTAAAAACCGCAATCCATACATATAACTTTTTGATGTGTTTAAAATATTAAATATTAAAATACTATTGCGAAAGACCCATTTTTTTGTCGCCAACTCGCATTATTGTTATTTTATATTTTGATTTTTCTATTTTGAAAATATTCTAAGAATTAATATCACTGTAGATAATCAGAATTCTAGGAAAGCTAAAGAGACAACTTCCACTACTACGAGTACTTTTCTACGTATCTACATGATTATTTTTACAGAAATAAAATCTTTTCATACTTCGTACTTATGGTTGTTCTCAATCATCTATTTTTTCAGACTATTTATAGAAACTTGACTCAAGCTTTATACAAAGTATATCGAATTTCTATGGCTAGTGAGAAAAATCACATACCTAGCGTATTTTTTTTACCATACTGAAAAACCAAGAAAAAACCATGAGCTGAGAAGAAAAAAACATTCAAATTAAGTTGATTAAATGCGTTTCCTTGTCGCTCCCTCTTCCTGTTTGCGGACTTATTTTATGAATGGCTCATACTTAACTAGCATGTAATAATAGATATTAAATAATTGATTGGTAAACATTGCCTATATCAATATATCCAAAAACAGTATTCTTGACCTATAAACTCCATTATTCTAAGACACGTTATAGAATGAATAATCTGTGTCTATTATTAACGCGATGGTTTTTATTGAGGTTGAGTGTCTGTTTGTGTTGTTACGCTGTAACCTCTAAACAGATTTGAGTGTAGACATGTAGATTTGATAGCTTATAACCTAGTTTAACACATAGCATCATATTTTTTAAGGGCAGTGGTAGCCCAGTGGTAACGCGCTCGCTTGGGACACCGAGTGAAGCGGGTTCAAATCCCGGGTCTCGCACCTCTGATATTTTCATGTGCGAATCATTTCTAACATGAATACCGCTTGCCTAACGGTGAAGGAAAACATCGTGAAGAAACCTGCATGTCTGAGAGAACCTAGCAAGTTTTCGAAAGACATGTGAAGTCCGCCAACCCGCACTTTGATCACGCTTCCATTAAAAGAACCTCGTTCCCAGTAATAATTGAACTCGCGACCACTCATATAATACTCTTATAGAACATAATAGTATTAAAACACATAACTCCTTCAACAAAAAATAAATAAATTACATAAGCCCCTAAAAATAGTATCTGCGTACGTAGATATACGTAATAGGTAAACAATAAGCTTTCTGACGAATAAGCTATTTGCCTGTAAAATAATTTAGTTATTTTCACTTAATCTTTTTACTAAATATTGTTTCCAGAATTTAGTCTATACAGATATTATAAAGAGGAGATTTTGTGAGTTTGTGACATTGTAAGGGGTAATCTCTGGATCTGGATTTAGATTAAATTTGGTAAGAAGATAGTTTGAGACCCTGGTAAGGACATAGGATACTTTTTATCCCGGATATCATCCCTTAAGGGGGTGAAAATGGGAATGGAAGTTTGTATGGTGAATCAGGCTATATAGGGACGAACCCGAGCGAAGCAAAGGTGAGTCGCTAGTATTTAAAATAAACACGGCCGTAGAAGTCAATGAGAGTCTGAAAATGTTTTTGATACTAAGCTTATTAACTAATTAACTATAATAAATGCTTATAAAAATAGATTAAGATCTTCGGAGAATTTAATGCGAAGAACGTGTACATTTAAATATTTGTTGTAAAGTACTTTATTCGTACAGTCCTATTACTTTGCCTATTCATATAAAACGTTCCAAATCATAAAAAATATTTAAAAAATCTGCTTAAAAAATCAATTTCTAGATCATATCTGTAAATGAGAAGGCGATACTGTGCATCATTTATATTGACTATTAATACATGTATTAGTATATTTTGAAATATATTTTATACAAGCGTCTTACCCTCGCTTCGCTCGGGTGCCTCCCTAAGTGCGTTTTATTTTTTGAGCAGAACTCTAATTCTTTTTCGAAAATAAAAGTAGCCTAAGTTACTCCTTATAATATTGAGCTATCTGCTAGTAAAAGTCCCGTCAAAATCGATCCAGCTGTTTCGGAGATTTGCCGGATCGAACAGACAGACCGACCAAAATTTTAAAAATTATGTTTTTCTCATAAGTACCGTATATAATTCCATATGCATTTAGTAATAAACTGTTATTTGAATATAACAAACAGCTTTTACTCAATCTACAAAAAAAGACTATGCTATACAGTGACTCACCCTCGTTTCGCTCGGGTTCGTCCCTATGTTGATTCCCCATACAAATTTTCATCCCCATTTTCACCCTCTTAAGGGATGATTTCCGGGATAAAAATCCTATGTCCTTCCCCGGGTCTCAAACTACCTTGTTACCAAATTTCATCTAAATCGGTTCATTAGATCCAGAGATTACCCCCTACAAACTCACAATTCACACACTTTACCTCTATTATAATATTAGTATTAGATGTATATCACATACAAAACGTTATTCATATTTCATACCAGACGTAAAAGACTTGTGTTTTAAAATTACATGAAAATTTATCACATCAGTGGAGGTAATTCAATAACCAATTAAAAGACGACGTATCATCAATACAATGTATTAATTACATAGGAAATTAGTTCGTAGGTACTCCTTTAGCGTTATATTACATTAACCTTTGCCCGCGATCCCACCTGTGTTGTTTATTCATTACAAGGAGTTTGTGCCATCCATTTAAGTTAATATTTTGTTATTTTGTAAGTTCATAAATTGTATCAACTACTAGCGACTCATGCTCGCTTCGCTCTGGTTCCTCCCTAGGTTGCTTCCCTATCCACTTTCATCCCCATTTTCACCCCCTTAAGGGATGATTTCCGGGATAAAATCTATACTATGTCCTTCCCATGGTACAAACTATCTTCTTAACAAATTTCATCTAAATCGATTCTGTAGTTTCGGAGCCTATTCGGTACGAACAAACAAACAAACAAACAAATAAAAAAATAAATCTTTCCCGTTTATAATATTATTATTTTATATATTAGTGCCTTGATATATCTGTCCCTGGAACAAGACCTCCCGGGCGCCCAAGAAAGCGATGGCTGGATGTCGTGAAGCAGGACATGAGAGCCAATGGACTTACCCAGGATGATGTTAAAGACCGTGCAAAGTGGAGGAGGCTAAGCAGGAAGGCAGACCCTGGCAATAGCCGGGATTAATAATGCCAACGTTAACCTCTTCCAAAGACAAAATAGTTTTATTTATTAAAGTGGTCGAAATTCGACCAAAATTATAATTATTTTTTTATAGAAAAACGTAAGTATCAATAGAATTTACTTATTTATATTAAAAAAAAAGAAAATCTATACAAAAAAAACTGTAGATGAACAGAAGTAGAAAAAGGTACTGAACAGTTTTGACTTTGCCTATTTATATATTAACATTAAATATAAAGATATAGACAATATATTAAAATTTAAAAAAAAGTATACAAACAAAATAAAAGACATATGTAGGTAGTTGTTTAATTAACTAAGTACACCTACTTTCATGACGTATTTTAAAGTTATACCATAAGTTAGGCCATTATGGAAACTAAGTTTGGTATTTAGATTTTTTTAATTTAAAAATTACCAAAAAGCAAAAATAGAACCTTTAAAAACCCTCATATCATGACATTAAAAAACCCTCATATATGAAATATCTAATTCAATATATTCTCAAGTCGTTATTATTGTTATTACATTATACTAACTTCTGTATGTAGTATCTTCTGTATGTGGATTTTCCTTTAACCTTAGGATTTACTTAAAAATATACATAATATTTAGTTAAAAATAACCTGATCAAATCTCTTTAGTTATATTTTACTTGTGATATCGACAAAAATATATGTACATAGCCATACTATTAAAACTGTTATTTTTCTAAGCTTGTTTACTATATTAATTTAGTAAAAATAATAACTAATTCTTATTCATATACAGCTTATATACTAAAACTTTGAAATTCAAGTAATATTGTAGCAAATATTATAGATCATAATAACGTAACTACTTACGACTTTGAACTACGAGGTGAATCTTAGCAAGTGGCTGCAGTATTATCTACTTTAAACTCCTACGAGTACGTGGAAGACGGTTCATATAACAATATACCAACTTTATTTGTGTACTCAAGTACTCAATTGAAAAAGGAAGTCCTGTAAGTGTATTATGTTTTGGCAAAAATTTGTACTAATCGTAAAATTTTTATAAAATATTTTTTTCGTCCATTAAATTTTTGTATTAACCATACAGGTTGTTTAGATTTTTGCAGTCAAAACCGCACTCTATGAAGTTCCATTAGTGTTTTTTTAATCTAATTAGTTTTTTACATTCAGTGGTAATATTATAAAGAAGAATAATCAGTCTCTTGGAAAACTACAAAACCATTTTGTGTAACTTCTATCATGAATTTGGCCTTTTTAAGCTATAATGTTGTAATTTCAATGCTATAATGGACACTCAATATAAAGAACGATGTTTTATTACTTGATATCAAAACTTCAAAGGATTTTAATAAGGAATCTCATTTTAGAATGATTTTTTTTAGAACTAGCTCTTACTTTTAACTTACTCAGTGTTTTCTCGAATGCGTCAGTAGACTATGTGTTAATTCAAATCATAGTCTATCTGTGTACCTATTACATTCAAATCCGTCCAGCCGTTTCAACATGAAAAAGTAACAAACAAAACCGTTTCAGCGTGAGAGAGTAACAACAATAAACTTTTAGGTTTATAATAATAGTATGATTTAATCGTAAATCTTACCTGTTAAATCTTCAATATCAGCACTTCTCAGCGAAGGTAGTTTCAGTTTGACTGCAGCCTGCTGGCACTGGGCACGTCGCTGGGGGTACTCACTCCCTGTTAACTGGTGCTTAACATTGGAATTTACCACCAATATCACAGCTTCTTTAGAATCCATTGGAATTTGGGTCGATTCTAACGATCTGGAAGTAAAGGAATATTAATTTGTTACAATATATTTATGTAAATATTAAAATTTTAAAAAAACTTATTTGGTGTTGTCATTTATTATATTAATTAACATAAATAAATTTAAAATATTAATTAATATCATTGCCCTATTATGTAATTTAAAAATTATTTTTTTAAATTACAAAATTTAAATATTTAAACAATATATAATAGCAACTCCAAATAAGATTACTAAAATATTTATGTAGTTTTCTTTTGGATGGAGCCTACATCCAACACTTAAATAGTCTGATGACGATAAACGTTTGGAACAAATATTAATTATTAAAAATTCATTGTAAAAATTGTTACCTTATGAAAAATAGGTTTTTATATAGTTTCACTTATTTCCGTTACGAATAGAGATATAGAATAGAGAAACTTGACAGTAAAAAGTTATTCCTTTCCTTGGCTATACTTGGCATATACAAGTTCTAATAAAAAAATAGCTCGACACGTTATACTAGCAATATCATAGAAGGATTTAAATTCACATTTGTCCATACTTCGAATACAAGAAGGATTACAATAGTTAGCGTTTTTATCTACAAAAAGTACACGAAACGTGAGTATAAAATAAATAACGCTATATACCCAATAATTCCCACTAAATTGCTCAGTGACATATAGAGCATATTTATGTCGACAAATATTTTTCTGAGCGGGACTCGAACCTAAGATCCCCGGGCGCGTAGATACCATGTCCAGTTTTCCATAGATAAAACATCAATTAATTCCATAGATAAAATAGTTATTGCAAGTAAACCTTTATACACACATGGTATCGCGGATTTTGTTTTAATAAGTTTAGCGAGCATTAACCATATATATAATCTTATGGGACATCTCGGCCGGACCAGCTATTGTGATTTCCCGTGGGAATGAGAGATTTTCCTTTAGTAATAGTTATCTTTAAATGTTGACCTGTTGTTTTGTTGTTTAACTGTTGTGATAATAAGTTATCACTACATAAAATTTAGTTAACATTTGTTCAGTACTTTTTCAGTACTTCATACATACAGATTTCTCTTTCACATAATACTTTCTTAGATTTACGCGAATGTTTGACATTATTAAATAAAACTATCTTTTCGGATTATTTCGCGGATTTATTTTGATTTTTGGTTCCCGACGTTTCGAATGCTTTACAGCATCCATGGTCACGGGAGAGACTTCTCTTTGTTATTATTTTTTTACATGTATAGATGGAAAATTAAAATTATATAGAAAAATGTTTCGTTATCATCTGGAACACGTGGCTTTCTAATAGTGTAATAATTAAAAGCATTAAATAAATATGTGGTTTCTCATTTGAAGAACTTTAGCTAATTGCTAATGTAATGAAACGGGAATAGACTACGAGTATTACTTTACCACGAGGCTTAAGTTTAAACTATTTAATGTAACGCAACATACGTACATAGTAAATTCTCTATTGCACTTGTGAAACAAAATATTGAAATTGAATATTAAAGAACAAAGGCAAAGGTGGACTTATCTCTAAAAGAGATTTCTTTCAGTCAACCCATGGACGTGAAAGATAGTGTTAAGTAATAAGTAAGTCGAATCTGTACATTAAATTATTTTTTGGAAAATCTTATTGAAATAGACATTATTATCGATACAGAGGCTGAATATATAGTTTTAAGAATTTTTGTATGTCTGTCTGTCTGTCTGTTACCGCATCACAGAAAGACCACGGAAGGGATTTTGATGAAATTTGGTATGGTGATAGCTAGTTATCCGGTTCAACATATAGGATACTTTTTTACCGCTGGAAAATATCTGATTTTTGAGAAAAAATACAAAAACTGCAATATAAGAGTATACTACTCGTAACATGTAAATTCTAAGAATTTGATTTTTGGTCATCTGAACGGAGCCGCGGGCAATGCTAGTAATATTATAAATATGAAAGTTGTGAGGATGGATGGATGGATGTTTCTTACACTTTCACGCCAGAACGGCTGAACGGATCTGGATGAAAGACATAGAGAGATTATAGTTTGGAATAGGACATAGGTTACTTTTTATCCCGGAAAAATGTACGGTTCCCGTGGGATAAATTTGTTTTTGGACGAACCCGAAACGAAGAGAGGGTGAGTCGCTAGTTAGTATAAGTAAAAAAAAGTCTTGAACATTTTCCTACATATTAATTATAGGGTGACCTTAACCACCCGGCGCTATTTTTTTAAATATATCACAATAATATATGTATATAGATAGAGAACAAGCAGATTCCAAAATTTGATTCGTATCAATGTCACAAGTATTTATCAGTCTTTTTCATGAATAGAATTTCGAATTGATGTTTTCATCGAAAACCAAAGCGTGATGTATAGCCCGCTCAATTAGTGTCGGTACTCGGTACATATAAAGGTATAAAATTCATGTCGGAATTAGAAAATCTATATCTATACATATAATTAAATTCTGAGTCGAATCTGTACAATGAATATTTTTTAGAATTTTTTGATGAAATGGTCATTATTATCGATACAGAGGCCGAATCTATAGTTTTTCGAATTTTTGTCTGTCTGTCTGAGACCGCATCACGGAAAAACCACTGGAGGGATTTTAATGAAATTTGCTATGATGATAACTGATTATCCGGGTCAACATATAGGATACTTTTTACAGCGGGAAAATATTTCATTTCTGAGAAATCTATACTAAACGTTACAACGTAAGTAGTTATGAACCTAAGCCGAGCGAGGGTGAGTCGCTAGTTAAATATATAATACTAGCGGCACACCCTCGCTTCGCTCGGGTTCGCCTCTAGACAAACAAAAAAAATCTATCCCACGAGACTCGTACATTTTTCCGGGATAAAAAGTAGCCTATTTGTTATTCTGATGTATGAACTATGTTATTGTAAAGTTTAATTAAAATCCAATGTAGTAGTAGTATCTAGTACTTTTTGTGTACTAAGCTGTATAAGTTACTATCGTTTTTAACTATCCTACGGGAACGCTTTAATTTTCCTGGATGAATGTATCTAAAATGTTGACCTGGGATATAAGGTACCACCATACAAAATTTCATTTAAATCTGTACAACATTTCGGAGATTAGCCTGTACAAACAAACAAACAGAGAAAAACTAAAATTGAATAAAATCTGGATTTGTTCTATTTCTCTTCTTACATCCCCCTGACTCAGTTCTTAGCATCTGCAATGTACTACTTAGAGTTTTATTATATGTATAGATTTTAATGCTTACCATAATAATTATTATTAAAAGAACGAATATAAATAATTATATATTAATACATATATGAAATAAATTAACTTTATTAAAATAAATAATTAATTATTACATATTATTTTTTATTATAATATATAACTTTATGGAAAACAGATAGAAAATTATAGTAAGAAAATATAACTTTTATATTTTCTTCAATTTTATTTTTCTCTGATTTACAATGTTTGTTTATAACAAAATAATATATAAACAGATATTCCTATGTTATTTAACAACCCCTTTTGTGTGCATTTTGAGTTCGACGCAGTTTCTTTTTTTAACCAACGGCACGTGTGACGTGGTAGTTTTCAAAGGGAATAACTATTTTAGCGAATGTACGAGTATGTTTGGAAAAAATAAATTCGTTCTACCTAACTTTAAAAATAGAACTTCACGTTGGGTTAAAATAAAGCATTTTCAGCGATATTTTTTCATTTGCTTAGCAACATTTTGCAGTCCCTGGGGACCATTCAAGCGATGCTCTGGTTAATTATTATCATTTATTGAACTTTAGCTCTACTAAGTCACATTTTTCCGAAACCTCCTAATAAATATAATGTTACGAAAAAAAATATTAGAACGTGTGATATATGTGTGTATGTGTGTGTGTAAAAAAAATTATACGCAGTAGAAGTTAAACTTTTAAACAACGGTTACCATGGCAACAATTAGTCATAATAGCTTTTATTTAATTCATCCCACGCAATAAATTGCCAGTAATAAATATTTATTTTTAGTAGTAATAAGTTTAGTTTTTTTTTACCAAGTTAAAAGTTATAAGGTAAGTTTATAAGTTTAAAAGTTATTTTACGCTTTATTTAACATTTACTACTTATCATATTATTCAGTATTATTTTTCACTTTACAGAATTACGAATACATTAGAATTTAGAATACATTACACAGAATGTATTCTATCTCGTTCTCTCGCCGGCTTAATCCTATATATTTATTTGTTTGTCTTTTTTTTAGTGTCGCATTTCGTTTCAAATCAAAATTATAAAGTTTCACTTCAAAAATATTACGTCTACCCGCTGTAGACTGACAACTTTTTTCCCACGGTTGCACTTGCTGAAAATTGTTTTCTTAAAAAGAAAAGCTTTTAAAATTCTTAAGTAACATTACAATTCCTTGTATAGATAAGTTCAAAACTAAAGTAAAAATAACATTAGGTACAATTGAAAAGTTTGCTATTTCGCAAGATAATTTTATCAGTGTATATTAATTAGTGTAGAAACTTTCGCATTTATAACTTTAATAATATTTCAGGATTTGATTAATTATTAGTAATGCTCTTACATTTCTTAAATTTTAAAGCATAATTTTAGACATATTACTCTTCACTCTCTTATTTCCACCAATATAAAGGCACTACGTTACACCTTACAGGTGGTATTAATAATACAGACTACTAGCGACTCAAACTCGCTTCGCTCGGATTCACCTCTAGAAAAACAAAAACAAGTCTGTCCCTCGGGAGCCGTATATTTTTCCGGGATAAAAATTAGTCCATGTGTTATTCCAGACTATAATCTATCTCTGTGCGAAATTTCATCCAGATCCGTTCAGCCGTTCTGGCGTGATAGAATAACAAACATCCATACTCACAAACTTTCACATTTATATATTAATACGCATACAGATAATTAAAGTACCTACTTTTAAATATAATTAAAGGTAATTTTACATAAATCCTCATATAAATATAAAATAATAAAACACCTGAGTAATAGGGCAAGTGGCAGATTTTGAAATTGAATTTATTAACTAGCGGCTTACCCACACTTAGCTCTGGCCCTTGATATATATGGCTTCAGAACACATAAAAGACAAACAGTTAATTTTTTTCTCGAAATCTTACGAAATAACGGCGTCTATTGTAATATAAAACTTGTAAAATCTTATTCTAAAAATTTTGGCAACGAGTTGAACGTAATAAAGGTGAAGTAATAAAGTTGTATTAAGAAATTTCAACTACTTTTTATGTTTTTCCTCCACGAGCGGAAAAGAATGGAGCATTGAACTTATTTGTTTTACAAACTTACTGTTTGTTAAATAAATAAGAGTCTTTTGAACGTCTTGGATAAATAGATGTATTATGTATAACTGAACATTTATAAGCTATACATTTATTGTGTTATATTATGGACTGTATCTGGATATCTATATATAAATAAAAATGTATGTATGTACACGCATAACTTCCGAATGACTGCACCAAATTGAATTACTCTTTTTTTGTGTGTTTTTATTGTCAGGACAAGTTTTGTATGGAAGAAAATTAAATGAATTATTTTTTTACTAAAATAAGATTTTTTTAAATCTCATGATATGAAAAGTGAGTGAGTGAAATAGTTTTTATTCTGGAAATCATCCCTTAAGGGGGTGAGAATGGGGATGAAAGTTTGTATGGGGAAGCAAGGCAGGGACGAACCCGAGCGAAGCGAGGGTAAATCGCTAGTATGTATCTTAATATACAACTATGAATGTGATTTTCAAAGGAAAATATTTCTTTTGTGTGTAACTAACCTGCAATCAATGAGCAAAGCGTGGTCCTTTTTCCCCATAGTGACTATAAACTGGTCCATGATACCACACGGCATTCCCGGGAAATCGTGCTCTGCTTTTTGGCATAACAGAGCTTTCTTTACTGGCCTGCAAATTAAATTTTAATTAGTATACAAAATAATGAAAGAATAATTTTAAGTTAATTAAATTCAATAGATTTCATAATAGATGTGAGTAACCCTGAAGTTAAAACTAATAAAAAAAGTCAAATGAGAGTAAAATTATGTTTATAGTTTTTGAAGTTATCCTTCTTTTGGCACGTTTGGAAAAATTATGAGAGTAAAATTTTTACGATGCGTGCGCACACCGACAGCCAAAAAACGACATGATGAGGTTAGCTGCATTCATTTTACAAACAAAGTTGTGACATACGGTATGAAATCTTTAGCTATTTTTGTTCTGCTACGCCAAAGAAGTACCTATAACATCTTACGTGTGTAGGTATATAAGTACACACATACACATACATTTTTCTGTACATTTAAAAAAGCTCAATTTTCCTCTAACTAATATATGTATAAATCCTGAATTATTCTGCCTTATGAGAATCATGACAATAAGAAATGTAAAACAGCAAGCTAAAAAAATATATTTATCGGGAAGTGCTATTTTAATAAATTTGCATTTGTATAGACATTAGAAACAGACAAATGGACTACTTATTTATTACAAAGAACTCGAAACAAAAGAGCAAGAGTAATGAACATCTTCAACCTAAGATCAACAAAATGTAATTGAAGTGAAAACTTCTATAGGCAGGTTTGGATGGGGAGTAAATTCATGTAAGTCGTCATCGACATGGTCACGTGACGTGCTAACGCTAACACTCAGAGCGCCGATAGATGTCAAAACCAGATAAATATAAACAGTTTTAATTAACAAATTTTAATTTAAGATGAAACAATTAATTTGAATATCCAAAAATAACAACTGTTTGTTTATAGTTTTAAGTTTTCTGTCCGCAGTCCTCATGACAGTTTTTTTTTACAATACTTTCTTAGATTAGTGAACATACTCAACCCGTATTCCAGTGAGAGCTTCGAGAAACGTGAAAAATGCCACTTCCAATGAAGCACTACTTGATACGCCTGAACCCATCGGCACATCAGATACTATAATTGCATCAAACCCGTTGATTACCCCTAAAAATAAAAATAGTTATGTAGTAGAGAGTTATGGACGTAGCTAGCATTCTTGCATAGGCAGTGGTAGCCCAGTGGTGACGCGCTCGCTTGGGTAGGCGGGTTCAAATCCCGAGTCTCGCAATTCTGATATTTACATGTGCGAATTATTTCCAATATGATTACCTGATGCCTTACGGTGAAGGAAAACATCGTGAGGAAACCTGCGTGTCTGAAAGAACCTAGCAAGTTTTCGAAGCTTTCGAAGTTTTCGGAGCGAGGATCAAAGGTAGAGTATGTCCGGTTCTAGGATACTATCTATGTCCTTGCCAAATTTTATCGAAATCTGTTCAGTGATTTGAACGTGAAAAGGTAACAGACAGAGTTGCTTTCACATTTATAATAATGATTTGGATAGATAATTAAGTATATTTATAATTTCGATATTTTTACTTTTCTTGAAGAAATAAAATTAACTTGATGCCAACGCACAGCCAACTTTATACTAATAAAGCAATGTAAATTACAAAATATGTATTCCTTTGATATCCAAAAGACATTAAGATTTACATTATAAAAATTAGACACCTTAAGTGCTCAAAGAAAGTATAAAATATAAACACATTATAGCTTTACAAAGCTAAAATATTCTTCGATGTACTGGACTCGTTAAAACGTAATATTCTAACCTAAACGTAAAAAAAGTAGAATGCGCAAAACTCAAACCTTTTACTTAGCTATTGAAAACTTTGCTTATGTACCTCACCGCTGACCCATTTTGAAAACAGCTGACCGATTTCAACTATACGTGACAGGCGCTTTCGAGCGAGAATACAGACTACTTTATTTATATGTATGTATATACATAGACTACTTTTGTCATAGAGGAAGCAAGGAAGTGTATAGAAAAAGGATGACTTAACCGACTTTAACGGACCTAAGCGACTTCTAGCAAAACAGATGATTCGGATAAGAGTGACATAAGTTTTTTTTTTTATTATTACCATCTATTTTATATCAATTTATTAATATTATTTATCTGTGGTAGTATATCTATAGATAAAGTAAATTTCATCCAAATCTGTCTAATCGTTTCATTGTGAAGGAATGACAAACATACACACAAACACATAAAATTTCTCATGTATACTAACTAGATCGATAAAATATTATTTCTATAAAATCTTACCTGGGAAGTTAGCTACCACTCCTTTAACATAGTTGGCCCAAGCAGGTTCCCCAGGCTTTAGTACTGACGATGACGGAGTTGGGAAGCTAGCCTTAACTTGTTGACCATTTGCGAGTATAGACACGACGTTACATTCATTTGTGTCATTGTTACTGCCCACTACAACTGTTAGAAATGGCAGAGCCTGTAAATGACGAAATATATCAGTTAAATATGAACTAGAGAACGCCGCCTACTTCACTCGAGTGTCTTGGTGTCAAACAATGGCTTATATCTTACTCCAGGTAATTTCCTTTCTGCGCGAAGAATTAACAAACGTTCACATATACAAATTATAGCAATACATATAATAAAATTCTAACTGAGCGGAATCTATACATGAAATATTTTTTGGAGAATCTCATTGAAATAGACATTATTATCGATACAGAGGCCGAACCTGTAGTTTTTAGATTTTTTGTCTGTCTGTCTGTCTGTTACCGCATCACGGAAACACCACTGGAGGGACTTTGATGAAATTTGATATGGTTATAGCTTATCTGGGTCAACATATAGGATACTTTTTACCGCGGGAAAATGTCTCATTTCTGAGAAAAATACAAAAACTGCAATTTAAGAGTATACTAATATGTAAAACCTAAGAATTTATTTTTTGCTTATCTGAACGCGAGCGGAGCCGCGGGTAATGCTAGTACTTTATAAAACATAATATAAGTATTTTATATTATCATATTTTCCTTAATATAAAATTGAAACCCGAAAATAATTTAGATATTTTCATAATTCGAATACTTTTAATATCACTTTTAAGAAAAGGCGTTTCACGTTCAAGGTTTCGTAATTTAATTAAAACATCCATTGTTAGAAATATAATTAATTTCTGAACTTCCCTTTCAAACTATAAAATTCTGAGATATTTTATCTCCGACTAGCATTTTCCAGCGTCCGCACGAGTAGTTCAAATTATGTATTACTATCTATCTTTAAAATATATAACCTATGTGTTACATCCATCCATCCATTCATCCTCACAGACTTTCGCTTTTGTAATACTGGCGACTCATTCTCGCTTCGATTCGGGTTCGTCCTTGTATGTATGTATGTATTCAGCCCTTTTCTTAACGTCCCACTGCTGGGCACGGGCCTCCCTTCAATACGAGGGGGATCAGGCCACCACGCTGGCCAAGTGCGGGTTGACAGACTTCACATGTCTTCCGAAAATTTGCTAGGTTCTCTCAGACATGCAGGTTTCCTCACGATGTTTTCCTTCACCGTAAGACAAGTGGTAGTCATGTTGGAAATGATTCGCATATGAAAATATCAGAGATGCGAGACCCGGGATTTGAACCCGCTTCACTCAGTTACCCAAGCGAGCGCGTCACCACTGGGTTACCACTGCCCTTCGTTCGGGTTCGTCCTTAGACAAAAACAAATCAATCCCACGGGAACCGTAAATTTTTCCAAATCCGTTCAGCCGTTCTGGCGTGAAAGAGCAACACCCATCCATCAGCCTCACAAACTTTCACATTTATAATATTCGTAGGATTATTAGTATACATTAAGAAGACCTAGCTTTTTGCTAGTATAAAAATATGTTCAATAAAATTGTTATACAAAATAATATCGCTAATCGGTATCTCCATTACTAAAATTAGATTAAAATGTATTCAATCATAATTTACGTAACTTTACTTATAAAATTTTTAGAGACCTATAAATATAAAGTTAAAGCTTTATAATCTTTTTCCATGTAATATTTATTATTGTTTATTGAACACACAGTTGTTAAAGCATTATATATACCATGTATCTTAAAACTTATAAATTATAGTAGACTGTTTAGCATTTGAAGGTGTCACAAGTCACATGCACCATATTATTGTACCACAGACTTATACACTATCTAATGAATAATTGTAATTAATAACAAAAATAACAATTAAATTTAAAAGGAAAAATTAAAAAGAAACAAATTCAAACAAAACAAAAAGAAACGTGTGTGTGTGTGTGTACTTATGTATGCACGTAAGAAGTTATACTTCTTTGGCGTAACAGAACAAAAATAGCTAAAGATTTCATCCCGTATGTCACAACTCTCTGTTTGTAAAAGGAATGATAAATTAATAAAAATAATTTCGTAAGGTATATTAAGCATATTACAATTATATTTTTATAGAATATAATATTATATATATTTGTCAAACAATAACAACGGTTACCATGGCAACAAACAGTTATCAGCTAACTTCATCATGTCGCTTTTTGGCTGTCGGTGTGCGCGCGCATCGTAAAATTTTACTCTCATAATTCCTTCCAAATGTGCCAAAAGAAGTATAACTTAAAAAAAATATTTCGTTTATAAAATCATATAATCATATAAATTATTTAAAAAAAAAGTAGCCTAAATTACTTCTTATTGAAAGTCCCGCCAAAATCAATCCACAGACAGACAGACAATTTTTTTCTAAAAAAAATGTATTTTTCTTATACGTACCAATTTTTTTATTTTAACAAAATTTGTTATTTTAACATTATAAACAGACGCTTCAATTTTATTTATCTGTATAGAATATTACCTACGTCGCCCAAAACATTGAACGAAAAGAAAGAAAGCAGATTTTACACATGCCAAATCGCGGGTTAAAACTAGTATTAAAACAATACAAACCACAGGTAAGACGAAACCTTCACAATAGTCCACGTGTTCGCCTATTAGGTTCACTCGCCCTGGTGCCGCCGCGGCTGCGACAGGCTCGCGACCAAACTCTGCGACGAAATATTCGCGAGCCTGCTGCAACAATACAGATTCGCCGTTTGCAATTGCTTCTGCCATCTGAAATATCAGGCTGTAATTAGGTATAATTGTGAAAGTATGTATGCGTGTTACGAAGTCGGTGTGCTTTACTTTGTGTTGGCTGGCACCGACTTCGAAAATATATGATTAGGTATGTATAGTAAATGAAAACTACCAATCACATATTTTTTACTTTTTTTGAAGTCGGTTTTTATTTTTATTTATAAAGTTTTTATTTTTCCATTTTTAGTGTAGACATAGTAGTAGCAAAGTAAGAAGAAAGTATTTTAGTAAAATATTCGCTTTATATCTATATATATTATATCTTTATATCTAATATCCCTTTAAGTTAGTTTGATGCCAATTTTTATATTAAGACGAACAAACTAAAATTCGCTTCTATTAGTAACACTAAAAAATCAGTCTCTAATCAAATTCTAACGTATTGAGCTTGTCAAATCAAACAAAGTAAGCCCAAACTCAAACTTTGTTTCCTCAAAATAAGTTTTATACATTTGAGCTCCATATCACCTCCCCTATCAAAAAATAACACCGACTCCTCCAGGGGCCGCGTCCCATATACTAAACTTGTGCCCTTCTGTATCATTCATGATAGGTAGTTTATCTTCACAAGTCATTGATATTGTTTTGTAAATATTTTCGTTACTTTCTTATTTTATGTAGGATTTTAATATCTCCAAACCCCCTTTCCAACAAAAGTAAGAAATCGGACTACGAATATAAATACTTATTATATATGATATTATATTAATATGTTTAGTACACAAATACTCTGTACTCATCTGGAGTAACACATAAGTTATTGTCGGGCACCGTGTCGCTAATTATTGACAATACTTATACAATGCATGATTTTTCTGAATTAAAACTTGAAACATTCAATTACTTATAATAATTCATTTTATTGAGTTTTTTACTTTATTTCAATTAAAATGCAATAAAAAATAGTAGGTACGAGTTATATTATTACTAGCGGCTAACCCTCACTTCGAAACCTGTAGGAAATCAAAAACAAATCTATTCCGTGGGAACCGTATATTTCTCCGAGTAGTATGAGCTATATTATTGTAAAATTCCATAAAAATCCATTCAGTAGTTTTTGCGTGAAATAGTAACAAACATCCATACATCTATCTATACATCCAGACATCCATACACTGACACAAACTTTCACATTTATAATATTAGTATGACATAGGATTGTTAGACGCAATTTATAAAACATACTTATTTCTGTATTTTAGAAAAATACCAAATTATTAAAGTATGTATGAAGGAGAATTCGACATACTGATATTGAGATATGGTTATTATCTTAGCGGATGTACTAAAATTATAATTGTTGACTTATAGCGGAGATAACAATTACTACTCGATCTCTGCGTTCACATCATCTATACATATAATAAAATTCTAACTAAGTCGAATCAGTACATTAAATATTTTTTGGAAAATCTAATTGAAATAGACATTATTATCGATACAGAGTCCGAATCTATAGTTTTTAGAATTTTTGTCTGTCTGTCTGCCTGTTACCGCATCACGAGAATACCACTGGACAGATTTTGATGAAATTTGGTATGATGATAGCTGGTTATCCGGGTCAACATATAGAATACTTTTACCGCGGGAAAATATCTCATTTCTGAGAAAATATACAAAAACTGCAATGTAAAAGTATACTAATATGTAAAACCTAAGAATTTGGTTTTTGGTCATCTAAACGCGGGCAGAGCCGCGGGCAATGCTAGTTTTGTTATAAAACGACACCCACTTGTAAAGCTTATGCAATATAAGGTAATATTAGCAGGGACAGATAAGATAGACGTGTAGTGTTTGATGAAATACAACGGTGGTAGAGAAATCTGAATGAAACCCTGTGTTTCCGTACTACGATGTACCCAATAGCTATATCAACCTACTTATTTCATCTTGAATTGAACTGATCAAGGGTACTAAATAAAACATAAATTCAATTAAATCTCTAAATCTTAGATGGACTTAAAATATTAAACAAAAAATTGTTACCTTCTTTTTAACGAAAAGTTATAACGAATTTAAAATAATTCTAACAGTTATTATTAACCTTAGGGCTAAACTTTTTTTGAAGTTTACGTACGCTTCAACTTATATTCATTGAAAGTGATTTTAATTAAATTTATGTAGAATTAATGATTTCAGTAAACTAAACATTGAGGTTAAAAATATTTCCGAATCAGAATTTGATAAGATACGAACAGGTCAAACTTTATATTCGAAAACTTTTATTATAAATAATAATCAGAAATCAATAACTTGATTATATTATTATACTAGCGACTCACCCTAGCTTCGCTCGGGTTCGTCCCTAGCTTGCTTCCCAATACAAACTTTCATCCCCATTTTCACCCCCTTAAGAAATGATTACCGGAATAAAAAGTATCCTATGTCCCAGTGTCTCAAACTATCTTCTTACCAAATTTCATCTAAATCGGCTTAGTAAATCCAGAGATTATCCCCTACAACGTCACAAACTCACAATTCACAAACTCGCAAACTCACAAACTTTACCTCTTTATAATATTATAAAGTTTTTTTTCATTAGTATTATCATATATAAGTACATACACACCATAGATTAAATTGTAACATTTAAACCCATATTGGGTTATATTGTATATTTTTTTTGTATTTTCACTGTTATTATTTTATTAAAAGTACACTAAAACGTCTATAATTCACTGATTTTCATATGCAGTAGTAGCTCTTTACATAATTCCTACAAGCAAATCCACTTATCAATTGTTTAGTTCCATTCAATACAATTAGTTATTTAATTCCATTTATTCAATTCAATTCGTTTGTTTATGACTTTTATAAGTGCCATTGAACAACAATTTACATCGTTAATATCGCGTTATAAAAGCACTAAGAACTAATCACTTCACTAAACGACAAACAAAATAACTGTCATAACATCACTACTTACCTTCCAGTACGTGTGTAAAACAAGGAGTAATAATCGCAGTTAAATTGAACGTCCACTCCGTCCCGTGTTAGGATGACTACATCCATTCAATGTTTTTATAAAGCCGTGTCCATATCCATATAAAAATGTAAACTAAACAAAAATTTTCAGTCTATCTTATTGACTATTTCTCATTGCATTGCATAGCATCGATCAAAAAAGTACTTTTTGATCGATGCTATTTCTGCTTTGTAAAATGAAGTTGTATTACTAAATAAAACTTTTTCTGTACTGTTTAAGAGTTTCTTGATAACAATATGGTGCCAACAATATGTATTTTAGTATGACAGATAAGGTAAAGTAACTCTTACTAAAGCTAAGAATTATATTGTTTTAAAATACTATATTTATGAAGGTAATTCTTTTGCGACGTTCGGAAAAAATATAAGAGTAAAATTTTTACGATGCGCGCGCACACCGACAGCTAAAAAGCGACATGATGAAGTTAGTTGCATTCCTTTACAGAGAGTTGTGACATACGGGATGAAATCTTTAGCTATTTTTGTTATGTTACGCCAAATAAGTATTTATAACTTGTTACATATTATATATATATATATCATATATTACACACATACACGTTTTTTTCTTGTTTGCAAAATTACAATTTGTTTTAAAATATATGATATCTAGATCCACTAAATAAAGTCTAAAAAATCTAGGCTATATTTTCTGAGTAAAATGCGCTTTTTTACCAATAGAATACCCAACGGAGTCATGAGACACGCAGCACCACCTAGTTCCAGGGTAAGCTACGAGGCTTGTGTAATATAGACCAGATAGTTGATACACTACGCATATATAACTTTAAATACATACATATTATAAATATAAACACCTATACCACATTCGTGCTCACCACACAAATGAATGCCCCCAACGGAACTTGAACTCGCGACCGCTGGCACAGCAAGTAGGGTAACTACAAACTGAGCCAAACGTGTCGTCATTCCAGGTGAATAAGACATTATTTAAATCTGTTTTTAATCCGATAGATAACATACGTACCCAGTAAACTGGAGTCATACTTAGATGTTCTTTGTCGCACAATTATTAATTTGACTGTGCTTACACCCTTATAGAGTATTATATTATCAAGCGGTCAACTTCATTGTTTATTGCCCCTTGTATCTGTGATAATAGCTATCTGCTGTAAAACCATAAAGACCATTTCTAGCTCACGATTATAACGTGTTAAGCACAAAATTTTATTCCATAAAGATATCCTATCATAATAAGCTCTTAATAGTATAATATTAGAAATATAAAAAAGTTTATTATGTTCAATATTTTTAAATAATAGTGGACTTATCACATTATTATTCTAAATGCGAAAGTTCGTGTGTGTCTGTTTGCTACTACTTCTTGCTATAGGGCTAAGGCTATGACTTGGAGTTACACTTATTATTAAAACAATTTAATATTATTAAAACAAATCAATCCCACGGGAGTCGTACAATTTTCCGGGATGAAAAGTACCTTATTTGTTATTCTAATGTATGAACTATATTATTGTAAAGTTTCATTACAATCCATTCAGTAGTTTTTGAGTGAAAGAGTAACAAACATCCATACATCTATACAGACATCCTCACAAACTTTCGCATTTATAATATTAGTATTTAGTATAGACTATTAATAGATAATATAATTAAATTTGCAAAAAAAACATCTAGAAATCCACTCGAGCTAAGTGACTTTTCTTGTTTGTTATTTCTTTTGAGTGAAATTCAGAAAGAAAATAGCTTACATCTTATTTATTACCTGTCATAAACATAAGAAAAGGCAAAGAAAAAAGAAATTATTATATAACATTACAAAACTAGTATAAAAGGGGATAAAAGGTCAATGACCTATTTAAGTCAACATAATGTCGTTATCAACCAACTGTTATATATAACATATTTTCATTACTATTATGCGTTATCAAGGTTTCGCTCACGGCATTGCTCCATGAAATTTTTTTTCTTCTTTTTTTCCAAAATTTTCGACCAGCGCCATCTGTTGATCGATTCAAATTTCAAACTGAAAATATGTAATAATATCTTATACTACTGAATAAATTCGACACAAGGACTGTAGGTAGAAGTTAACCGTAGATGCTATTTACCTCATATTTGAAATCCCATAAAAAATCCTATACCTGCTATATAATACTCTATTAATCATTGAAAATTTTTAAATTATGGACTAAAAACCAAAATTATATATCTATTTGAGTACCACTGTATTCAATATTATTTTAATCTTAACAACACCATAACAGTCGATTATATAAATTATATTAACCTCAACCACGTACGAAAATCGAACCTGCAAATACTTATTTGAAATAAGCAATGCCCGCCAAGCAAACTACCAAACGACGAGACGCTCGGAATAATATATTTGATATTATAAATAGTATAAAATTGTATCACGTATCGAAATAATCTTATTTACTAATTATGTCATATTGTGTTACAATTAATAACAGGAAAAAATATTTTAAAAATATTGTATTACCGTATTTACTATGTATCTAAATACACAAAGCTTTTGAAAAGGTACGTTTGTCAAAAAAATATATTTGCTTCTCCGAGCATGTTGTTCTGCTAAGTGATAAGCGACTGCTGTTTGTAATTTGTATTGTAATTTTGTTTAGATCTAAACCATGAACTCCTCTGGAAATTAGAGGAGGAGAATGCAGAACAAGTAACTTCGAATCTGTTTTTTTTTCGTTAGTGTATATAATATCTTTATACTACTTGTGGTAACTATACTGAAAAACACCAACAACAGTTACACTAATAACTTATTATTAATACTTTATCGATTACAATATAATATTTCACACATTTCATAAAGTTAGGTAAGTAATTATTGTAAAAAATATTGTGCATGATAATTATCTTCCTTATTTAGGTTTTTTTTTGTTTTACCTTTTTAGAAGTGATGTAAAATAAATGATATGTTCTATTTTACTTTAAAAGTGGATAGGAAGCCATTGGTATATTGTTACTTGTATGAATAGGTATTAGACCAGTTAATGTAAAAAAAAAACGGAGAAATCTATATAAAATAAAGCAATTTCCGCGATAATGATATTATATAAAGGGGTATTTTCTAAGCCTAAAGCCAAATTTGAGGGGTCGTCCGAGAGGTGCTGGCGCCACTATCGCAAAAAACATGTTTTATTCAATACCTCCAGCGGCTCATTCTACGTAAAAAAATAAAGGAATACTTTGGGGGTACTTTGTGTGCACCTGAGCCAAGAAACTGAAGCAAGTTTGTCATTGATTTGATAATATACTACACCAACAAAAAGTGTCGACATCTAGTACACCTCAAAATTTAAACACCTGAAACTGTGATCACTACTTAGAAAAAGTCTGAAATTATTATCCATATTTATAAAAACAATCATTTTATGTCATATTCTATCTATATTATATTATATTGTTAATATTTATTTTGTTCTAAATAAAAATGTAAATGTATTTAAAACACTCTGAGAGCTTAGTACGCACATCAATAAGCGTCGTCACTCATCAGTGTGCACTGTGCTGATAAGATGATAAGGACCTACACACACCACGTCCAAAAAAGAACCAATGCGTAATAAACTCGCTTATCATTTATTTTTTAACATTTTTCCTATTAAAGACTAACTTTCCTATTAAACGTACTTATCATAATTTGTAAAAAAATACTTGATTGCGCCAAAAAAGTCTCATATGAAGGGGTTAAAAAAGCCAAAGTTATTTGTTTCTTAGTCACTACTCCATCTAATTTATTTTTATTTCATGGTTGGCTACACGTAGAAAATGTCAAGAGCCTTAACTTGACAAATGACAATTGAAAATGACTATACCACAATGAAAATTCTATCTAGGTAATCATCTGTGAGCTCTTTGTGAATTTATTAAACGTCTATTTTTTAATTAATGCAAATAATATATTAATATTCGTGAATATTGAAACGTTCTTCTAAGTAGTAAAATGTCTTACAAAACAAAAGATGTTGTTTTGTCCGAGGACCGACCACAGACGCTTTTATTACAAAAACATTCAGATTACTTAGCCAGCTATGGACTAAATAAGGATGATTATGAGTTTTGCATGACAGAATATTTACGAATGTCTGGAATATACTGGAGTCTAACTGCTATGGAGCTTATGGGGCAGTCTTCAAGGTAACTACAAATATAAATTTTGAAAATTATACCAGTGTTTTATATGCCAATATTGCTAAAGATAAATTTGGTACAATTAATTTCAATAAATATTTTATTTTTTTGCATTCATTATAATTGTTATTATTAGTACGTAATTGTTAACATTGTCTATATTACATTAATAGCAATTAATAGCAATTTTAATATAATGTTACTGTGAATTTATTACATCAGTGTTAGTCATTGATCAAGATGCAATTTATGTTTTTGTTATGAAATGTTAATTAATAATTATTGAAAATAAATACAAAAATTACAGAATGCCAAAAGAAGAAATCATCAACTTTATATCATCATGTCAAGATTGTGAAAGTGGGGGTATATCGGCAAGCAATGGTCATGATCCTCATATGCTGTATACTTTAAGTGCTGTTCAGGTAATATATACAGCAAAGTGTCATATAATCTTCATAGGGACTAACTAGTTAATTATTACATTTTACATATTTTATTGTTAAAATTATATACCATAACTATAACACTCATTACTTGAAATAACGTTATTAAAAGTACCTCATTATTATTTCTAAAACATTAAATAACCTACCTCTAAAATAACACAAAATAGACCTATTTGAAATTAATTTTAAGCCATATTGGCAAAGAACAGTAAATATTTTAATTAGTTTGTTATCACTATAGAGCAAAATATTTCTTTTTCAGGTCTTGTCAATGTATGATAGGCTGGATGCTATTGATGTGGAAGGTGTAGTACAATTTGTTTCATCAATGCAGCAAGAAGATGGCAGTTTTATAGGTAACATATAATAAACTTAGCATTAAATAAATCCTTTAAGCACTGTTGATCTCAAAAATACACAAAATATACACAATAATGCCTTAATTTCCAAGGTGACAAATGGGGTGAAGTGGACACAAGATTTTCATTTTGTGCAGTGATGTGCCTATCCTTGTTGCATAAAATGGATGCTATAAATGTGACTAAAGCTGTTGAATTTGTATTGAGTTGTATGAACTTTGATGGTGGCTTTGGTTCTAAGCCTGGCTCTGAAAGTCATGCAGGTAATTGTATAAACATTTTTACTCTATTTAATCTGTGAGTATGTGGGATAACTAATATGTAAGTATGTAAATTCTTGCTATGAAATATAACAAACTTTATTCAATTAGACTTATACAAGCACTTTGGAATAGTCAATTTAATTTAAAAAACGTCAATGTAGTCAGTCTGTAAGTAAGCTATTGCCTATTACTGGCTCGGAAAGCAGTTCTGCTGAGAAGAGCTAATGAAAATCTTTTAAATATCGAGTTACGTTTTAATTATTAACATACCCAGTATTATAGACATTTTCATTAAGAAGAAAGTCTTATACAGAGTATTATATAATACTTTACCATCTATGTAACTTTTCGCAATACACCAATATCTTCCGGTAACATTAGGTGAACCAAGGTAACAATTAACATACATAATATATTTTAATAACCTATATATATAAATAATAATGTTCATCTGTTTTGTTCTTTTTTTCCATAAAAGAAATACAAATAAACAGAAATATTTTCGCATTAATACTGTTATAGTAATGATTCTATATATTTATTATTTTAGGTCTTATTTATTGTTGTGTTGGAACTTTATCAATATGCAAACGTATGGATGCACTCAAAGCAGATGAATTAGCTTGGTGGCTATGTGAAAGGCAACTACCTAGTGGAGGTCTTAATGGTAGACCCGAGAAGTTACCTGATCTATGTTATTCTTGGTAAGCTATTCTTTTATTGTTTAAATCATAATCTAATTGAAAAACAAACAAATCTATCCCACGGGAACCGTAAATTTTCCGGGATGATAACTAAGCCATGTGCTATTCCAGACTCTATCTATCCCTTTGCCAAATTTCATCCAGATCCGTTCAGCCGTTTTGGCGTGATTGAGTTACAAACATCCATCCAAACTTTCTCATTTATAATATTTATGGGATTATGGGATAATATTATAACATCATATTTGGATTAGGAAGAAAACATTAATTTAGCCACAATTCAGTAGTTTATTTCTATTCTGCCAAAAGTGAACCTGAAACTTAAGGTACATTTTACATTTACAATTAATGAGACAAGGACGAGAAAGTAATAAGACAGTGTGAAGTTAATTTAAGTGAATAGTTAATTTAATTTATTTACAGTGCATAATTTGCTTTGCTTAACATATTATAGTAAAAAAATGCGTCTGTGTGCAATGCACACATGGTAGAAGGGAAACTTAATATTATATATTTGTCAGACAATAATAACAATAATAATTCTCTCGCCAGTTTAATCCTATATATTTATGTGTTTGTCTATTTTTAGTGTAATATTTCCGTTTCATTGAGTTTCAAATCACAACGATTCTAAAGAAGTTTCATTTAAAAAATATTTCTTATATAATTTGATTATTTATAGGTGGGTAATGTCATCACTGTCTATGCTGAATAGAATACATTGGGTGGACAAGAAAAATCTAGAACAATACATATTAGCATGTCAAGATTCTGAAACAGGAGGCTTCAGTGATCGACCAGGAGATATCACAGATCCTTTCCACACTTTATTTGGATTGGCTGGTCTCTCTTTACTTGGAAATACAAGTATTAAACAAGTCAATCCAACATATTGCATGCCACAAGAAACTATAGACAGATTGAAACTAGAACCTCAGATTTTACATATATAGCTAATTTAAATGATTTTATGTTACATTTATAAGTAAAATAATATATAACCCAATCACTTTCTTTTTTCGTTTTATTTAAATGTGTCCATAACCAGCTTTCAATGCAATTTAATTTGAATAGTATTTAGCTATCATCAATATTCTAAAATAGTATATATATAGGTACCATTTTTTAAATGTAGCAATATACTCTATGGGTACCAAGAGAAAAAAGTTTCACTCAAAAATCTCAAACCATGAAGGTTTTATGACCTATGTCAATTCGAAGTACCTATTAGAATAAAACGACAATTTCATACTTTAACCCCTATTATTTACTCTAGCTCTATCATATTATAAAATATAAAAAGACTTGCATCCAATCCAAGAAAGTTAAATGTCTGTCTATGAGTGAAATTGTCATTTGTCACTGTCAATTGTCAACTAATTTTACTTGTATGTAAATTGTAAACATAACCGGCAAATATTATTTGTTTCAAATAAAAGAAATAAAAATGAAATGAACAATGTTACCTATCCACATATTACAATTATTTATATTCAGTATAGGCATTTCTTCATTTTCAATATTTACATATTTAGTTTATTTCTATGATATTTTTTCATCAAAACTTTTAAATGATAAACAATATTATGATTATATAATTAGTAAGTGTGCTTAATACCTGAGTGATAATATTTAATAATATAACTTTAAAAAAGTTTTAAATAAAACTCTATATGTATATGTTTTCAATATATGGTGCCACTAATAATTTTAAACCGACGTCAAAAAGGGGGAGGTTCTCAATTCGTTTTTTTTTTTAATTTTGTCCTTTATTTATTCCTCACTTTTAGTTGGCTCTGGAACAGCTGGATCTCTTATAGCTCAAAGAATAGATAAAGAAACAAATTATACTTTCATAATATTAGAGGCTGGGGCCAGAAGTCATTCATTTCATGATATACCAGCATTTGGGCCCCTATTGCACAATTCAATATTTGATTGGCAGTATAAGACAGTATCTCAGACAAATGCTTGTCATGCTATGGAAGGTTCAGTAAGTATTTAAAAAAAACTTTTAAATCTTGTCATATTTAAATTAAGTAAGTATTTAATGTAGTTATTATGTTTTGAGATGACCAATAAAAACTCTTTGTACTATTTCAGAAATGCAAACAAACTCAAGGAAAAATTATGGGAGGATCAACAAAATTGAATAATATGGTCTATGTCAGGGGAAATATATCCCATTATGTTGAATGGTTTCATGGTTTATATGATCAAAAGTACATATTGAAAGCTTTTGAATATATAGAGAGTAACATTATTCACTTAAGTAATGTTCAGTATGATAGTCAATTTAGTGATGCTGTAATAAAGGCTGCCAAAGAATTAAATTTTAAAATATTAGATAAAGATTTTGGTATTGGCTTCCAAAAGTCAACTTTAAGCCAAAATAAAGGTAAAAGATGGTCTACATCTGATAATGTAGATAAAAATCATATTTACACAAATGTATTAGTTGAAAAATTGTTGGTAAAAAATAACAAATGCATAGGAGTAAAAATTATTTCACCAAGCATAAATATTTATGCCAATATAGGTGTAATTGTTAGTGCAGGAACATTTAACTCGGCCAAGATTCTTCAATTATCTGGTATAGGACCAAGGGAGGTTTTAAAGCCTTTAAATATACCAATAATAAAAGATTTACCAGTAGGCAAAAATTTACAAGATCATATTGGCACCGGCCTAGACTTAGTACTTTTTAATGAGCCACAATCTATTAATATGTTAGATATTATGAATCTTTTTAATGTCTTTCAATATTTCTTCAGTGGCACAGGACCTTTAACAACTCCAGGATGTGAAGTTGTAGGTTTTGTTTCAACCAAAAATGAGACAACACCCGATTTGCAGTATATGATGTTGCCAGTTGGCATATCTACGGATCGGGGTAGCCATTTAAGAAAGTCTTTAGGAATAACTGATGAAGTGTGGACCAAGTACTTTTCAAAAATTTTTGATAAATATTCGACAACATTTTTAACGTTATTACTTCATCCTAAAAGTAAAGGGGAAGTACAAATTCAGAGTAAAGATCCTTATATACCACCGCTTATAGACCCAAAATATTTACACCATAAAGACGACGTAAAAATTATATTAGATGGCTTGAAAATGTTAAAGAAATTTCTAGAAACAGATGCTATGAAATCTATATCAGCAAACATAAATAACTTGCATTTTCCAGGTTGTGAAGACTTGGAATTTTTTTCAGATTCTTATTTAGAATGCTACATAAAACATCTTACATTAACTAGCTTCCATCCAGTTGGTACATGTGCTATGGGGTTGCAAGATTCCAATAATTCAGTAGTTGATACTTCTTTTAAAGTTATAGGTATAGATAATCTGTATGTTGCTGATGCTTCAGTGTTGCCAACTATACCAAGTGGTAATATAAATGCAGCAATAGCTATGATGGCAAACGTGTTCTTTGAAAATACAATTCAAGTTAGAAATACATATAAAAATTTATTTTGTGATATTGTTACTTTAAAAGAGGTTATTTTCAATATATGTCCAGCATAATAGTTTTTTTAGTATAACTTTAGAAGATTCAAATCTAACATAAACTAGTCATGTATGTGTTCAGACCTTTTTAACGTCCCACTGCTGGGCACGGGCCTCCCTTCAATACGAGGGGGATAAAGCCATAGTCCACCACGCTGGCCAAGTGCGGGTTAGCGGACTTCACGTCTTTCGAAAACTTGCTAGGTTCTCTCAGACATGCAGGTTTCCTCACCACGTTTTCCTTCAACGTAAGGCAAGTGGTAATCATGTTAAAAATGATTCGCAAATGAAAATATCAGAGGTGCGAGATCCGGGATTTGAACTCGCTTCACTCGGTTTCCCAGCGCATTACCACTAGGCTACCACTGGCTATTAAACTACTAATACATGGACATAATAATTATGTTCAACTTGTTTTCGCCCGAAAATTGGTTATGAAAAAAGAACTATTTCTTTTTTCTAATATATTCAAAGGCTATAAAAATTACAAACGTACAAATAAACAGACAGGCATATTTCAATAATAACTTTCTTTTAACTATTTTAATAGTTACTACTGAGTACACTTAGTTACGTAGGTATAAATAGACAATGTAATTTCATTTATTCTGTAATATTTCACATTTCTTTCCTTACATTTTTTTTTAAATAATTTCATTCTATGATAAATAGTTAAAAATTTATGTTAAACGGTCAAATTTCAAATTCACGAAAAATGGTGAATATTATGGTACCTGGTTAAAATAAAAATTACCGCACACACTCGATTTTTGTCTGTAACCAATTTTAATATTAATTTTTGTTTCTTCATTTCATCTACACATTTCATTTTCATGTCATCAACATGTTGATTTACAATGGTGTAATATTTACTTCTCTGCCTCTGACAAAATGTTTTCATATAATAATTATTTAACTTAATAATTTATCTTTAAGGGAATTTAATAAATAAAACACAATAAACATTTTATTATCAATATATTTAAGGTCACTTCTACAGACAAATATCCGTACATATTTTGAGCCCAGTTTCTAAAACAACCATGTCGTAATACTACGTATTTCAAATTGCTTTAAATGTTATTTTAAAGTCAACTTCACAATTTTAAATAATATATTATATTTATGCCACAGAAGAAAGACGGACGGAAGAAAGATAATTGCCATTATTTCCGCATTTCCGGTTAATGAAAATTTTCCGAGCTAATCTACCTACTAGGATGATGTTCTTTTTGCATTCGGTCATTAACTGAGTGCAAAAAGAACGAATGAAAGGAGATCGATATTGATTTGAGTATATTTAATTTTTATCGACTCGTATGTTTGTAACTTTTATAACGATATCGAATTCCATACAGTATAATAATTACGTTACGTATTTGTCCTTTCTAGATAGAATGAAAATCATTCTAGTAACATTGTAAATGGTAGGTAGTAGCTACTGAATGTTTGTATTCCTACAATATCTTGTATGGCTGCTTATTTTGCCATTATGACTTTCCGAGTCTCTATATCCAATTCTTCTTCTGTGACCTTTACGAATACAATTCAATACAAATTTTACAATTATATATCAATATATATTAAAGAATTCATCTTTTTTTTAAACCTATACGTATTGCGTTAAGATTTTTCACATCTCAAATTATGTGGATCAAAAGTATATCTTACATAACTAAGTGACTGTAAAAGATGACTAGATTTTAAGATCCTCGTACTAGAAAGTAATTGAAATACACATTTTGAGATTGCAGATCATATTTTTTGTTATATATATTGTCAAACATATTTTTTCTCTTCTTGAAGATTAACCTTTTAAAAAAATTCTTATACACATTCTTTAAAAACGTAGGAGCTTTCAAGAAAGAAATCACATTGATTCATTATTAAACTATCTCTAAAAAAACTACCCCTTCTGACTAATTTGCAAAAGAGCCTTGCAATTACTTTCATATTGTGAAGCCCTTGATTCGAGTTAAGGGTCGAAAATAGTAACTTACTAGATTTTTCAGTCACAAAATTCTCAATAACAGTCCTGAGTTGGGAAGCTAGTGGTATACACTCCTGTTCAAATATCTCTTTAAGCTGCTAGTTCTACGCCTGATCTCACCAATCGTGTTTAAATTTCGTCCCAGCGGAATAAATGAAAGGAATAGAGAGTGCACAAGATGCATTTTTTCTGTGCACAGGGCACACAAAAATGCACTAACATATCTCCCGCCAAATTGGCTGGTCTTAGTAAAAATCTGTCGCCCTAATCAATATCAGCTAGCGGGACATTATTAAAGTTAAGAAAGTTCAAACGTCACCAATTAAACAAATCAAAGGCATTTTTCTAAAAACCGCCACCGAACACTTTCACAAAGATGAAAACTAGAGAAATTCCGTAATGGATTGAAAAAGATTTTTATATTTTATACAATAGATTGCACGGTGTGCATTTACCTTACATATATTGCACAGATTTCAAAAAAATCAAGATTAAATTTACTCAAACAATCCCTTTTTAGATTGCATTCTAATACCCAAGGAATATTCCCGAAAAAATCAAATTTATATCTATATATTAAGACTGCGTTGACATATACTTCATTACAACTTTTTCCGTTTTTTATATATATTATGTATATTACATTATAATATAAACATATAAAGGACGGACTCAAGGAAGGTTACTACGTAACTAATCTATTCACATTTTGAATGCCACATAACTACTTTGTGCAATATTCACGAAATCTTCAACATATCGACTAGAAGATAGAAAAAGTTTATATACAAAAAGATTTCTCGACATTTAAAACTACATATAATATACAATATGAATATTTAAATACAATTTCACTTTGTGCTGAGCAAAACCTTCCTACAATGCAGTAACTGCATATAATAATACTGGACGGAATGTCTGATTTAGGTTCTTATTAAATAGCTACGAGTACTAATAACTAATTAAGCAAACATTGTATTGCGTAATAATTTCACTACAGTAGTTAATTTACTACGTTATATTATATTGTTTTATCCAGATTGAGCCTACATAGGTATATTTTTATAGTATTCAGCCCTTTTTAACGTCCCACTGCTGGGCGTGGGCCTGGCCTGGTGGATCAGGGCATAGTCCACCACGCTGGCCAAGTGCGAGTTGGGGGACTTCACATACCTTTTGAAAAACTTGCTAGGTTCTCTCAGACATGCAGGTTTCCTCGCGAGGTTTTCCTTCGCCGTTTAGACAGTGGTATTCTATTGTATCATATTGGAAACTTGCACCTCTGATATGTTCATGTGCACATGAACATATCAGAGGTGCGAGACCCGGGATTTGAACGCGCTTCACTCGGTTACCAAGCGAGCGTGTTACCACTGGGCTACCACGGCCTCAATATTTTCATTAATTCTTTGGTCAAATATATTTTTTCGTAATACGGTTAAGTGGAAAACGGATGAATATTCGTAGTAAAAGGCAATCGATATAATGAGCAAACGAATGACTAAAACAGTTGTATTTTTTATTTGTCATAGGTTGTTTTGTAGTTTGTACCCGATTCGTCAAAACCTAAATGTCATTTCTATACATATTGTAATGAGTCATCGGTTCCATAATATTATTATTACGATAAGCAAAAGTATTCGATTGATGAACAATTTGAATAATTAGTTTTATACTTTATGAACATGTAAATTTTACACATATTTATATATATTTCGTTTAAATTTTTGTTTTAATTACGAATATTATCTATATTGCCTTGATTGCTTAAGAAAAATATAAGCTTAATGAATATTTGCCATTTAATGATTAAATACCTACCTCTAATACTGAGTGGTAAAATGTCATTAGTATCATGTATAAATATTTTCTTTTAATATTATAGATATTACTTACTAAGGCACCTATTACGTATTGGACTATACAATGCAGTTTTTACAGGCCTATTTTGACATAAATTTTTCAGCAATCGATCGATCGAGTAACATCGATATTTTTATGATTAATATAAATTACTTAGTTAAATACAAAATTATTTCCCATTTCATACCATACGATATTTTATTCTTAATTTTGTCTTTGTTATTGTACTTAACAAAGCACAATATAATTTCTATAAAATAACTCGAATTTTAAAAAGGTCGACTGAAAAATCTGCAATGTGCAGTCATTATTACATTAACATTAGTTGATAAATATTTTTTAATAATATTCCAAGTGAAAGTTTCTTTCAAGAAATTTTTTAGTACACTGAGCTTCTCCTTGAGCAAAATCGGTAAACTTTTTGTAATTATGACATCTTTATTTAATGAAACCCCTCATTATTATACTAAATCAAGAAACAATACCTTTTCACCTGTGCATACAGATTTTTAGGCTAAAATTGTTAAGACAATTTCAAAAGTATCTTTCGCGTATGCCGTTAGCAAACAATTACCTACACGTTAAAAATTATAATAAACTTACTTAAAGCACGTATCCAAATAGTTGTCGAGGACGTCAAGCTGGAGGTCTTCCCACTCTGCAGGGTTCAGAAGCCAAGAAGAAAGGTCATCTTCTGGCATCAGAGGAGCCACTGGTTCAACGATCACATTCGCACCGATATTTGTTTCCATATCAATGTCTTGCAACGTTTGCAGATTAAATTCGGGCAAATGTAACGTAACGGCTTGATTTATTTCATTTATATCAATACTTGGAAGCTGTGGTATGTTCGCTATTGCGATCTTTTCTTCACTTATCTTCTGATCTATCTTGGTTTCATTAATCTTTTTCTTCTTATGTGGCCTGTTGGATATACGTTTTGTACCCTCCAAGTGTGCCAAGTCCAATTTCCAAAAACCGCCTTTCCCTGGTTCTTGTTTAGAGCGTGCGACTTTCACAAACACTTTGTTCAATGATAGATTATGCCTTATCGAGTTCTGTAAAAGATATAAAGTTACTAAGATTTTTACTTTTGAAATATACCTACAAATGTTTCATATTACACTAACTTGTTCTACCCAGTAACTAACCCAGTATCTATTATTTTTAGTTTTTAACTAGCGACTCACCCTCGCTTCGTTCGGGTACGTTATACCCTAGGTACGTTTTAACGGTTAAATACCGTATTTGTGTAAATAGCTTTTACATTACCGCTTTATAATTGCCAATTTTTTAAGTATTAAAATGGATATAATATGTTATCCTTAAGAGATAGACATATGCCATCGCGAACTTTTTTGTAGACCTATATAAGATACACAATTCCACCATACATTATTTTGTTATATCTCAAAGGGTTTTTTAGGCAGCGTTTTCGTTGAGAGCTCCCAGACGACTTATTTTTTTCCGACACCTTTAACAAATATCGTTATATTTTATCCAATGTATACAAAAACTTAAATTATATATTAAAACCTTCCTCGAGAACCATTTTGAAAACAGCATGAAAATCGGTGCAGTAGTTTTTGAGTACATCGCGAACAAACAGACAGACGAGGCGTAGGACTTTGTTTTATAATATGTAGTGATAAGATCTAAGATAAAGCTTACTAAAAATAAGATAGCTTTTCCTTAAATGATAAAGTTTTTTTATAAATAATAAAATCAGCCGAAAATGGAAGGTAAATCCTTTTTGGAAGTCGGTTAAAAAGGAAATCAATAACATTTCTTTACGCATCGTAGAAGCGTGTCTTGCAAGCAGTATTTTTTTAACTATGATTTGAATCAATTATATTATTTTTTATTAAACTCCCTTTACTACGTATCTAATCTGGAAGTACTCGAATAAAGCAATCTATTTATCCAAATTAAATTAAATGTTATCTTATCTGACATGCAGATTTAACGCTTATTGGAATCCTATCACGGCTTGTCTACTGTACGCAACACTCACCTGCCATGTGGGGTCCGCGTTCCTGTAGTACTTGAAATTTTCTCGAATCCACGAATAAATAGCTGACAACGTCACTTTATCATTATTATACCTCATAGCCATGCATATTAAAGTACTATAAGAATATGGCGGCTTCTTCTCACTATTCTTTTGATACTCTTCTTTGTTCTCCATAAAATCTTTTTGACATTTTGCTAACGTTTGATTGAACTTCTGTAATCTCGTGTTCTGAGGTGTCTGCGGCTTCACTTGAGGATTTGGTGACATCGGCGGTATCGGAAACTGTGGGATCGCCATGATGTTAGTTATGTTTTGCAACCACGTCAGATTTGTTAAATCTGTTTCCGGTTCTTCATCTACTTTTGGAATTTGCTTCATTTCAATCTTCTTCGGTGGGTCAGGTTTTGCTTTTAGTTCAGGCGACTCGTTAAAAGCATAGGATTCAGGCTGTTCATACACATATTCAATCTCCACGGTGTGCGAAGATTCTGGGACCGCGTGGTCCATCGCAAAAAATCCACTCTCTCCCGAGTCCCCATAAAAGTTGATGGAGGCGTCCAGCATTTCGCCGGACGCCGGAGACAGTCCCGATGTTATGTGCATGATTACATTCGGATGGGATAAAAGATATCCAAAAATAAGGATAAAGTTCCAGTGCGTTGTCTACTTGTCTGAGGCCGAGTGGTGGTGCGGTAAGATGGTGGTATATTGATCGGCGGCGGCGCGCGGACGGTGTGACGTAGCAATGGTCAGACCCCCCGCGAACTTTAAACTGCTTTGGTGGAACCGCCGTGCGTATGTACGCTCGTGCCGACGTCGCGCTAGCTAGTGGCAGGTGCGCTCTCCCCATTGAACAGGTGGTGGCAGATCGATATTTTTCCGAAGAAGTCCAGCCCGCATACGCTCCGGACAATTAGTCATGGTTATCGTTAGACTCGTGGACTGTTATCAACTGCGGGTACTTCCTTGTTAATGAACTTAAAAGGACTTATCTTGTTCGACGCTTTGCAAAAACGTTAGTTAAATGTTCTAGTTCACTTTGTTTGAAACATATTTTCTAGTATTAGGCAATACAGTTTAATATTTATATAGAATCTGGTAAATATCAGATAAGACTTAGTGTAACATAGAAAGCCTTAAGCTTCTACGAATTTACATTATAGATTTTTTGTCACATAATAAAACGTCCAATCATTACTAAAGCTATTAAACGTGTAGGTGTACGTACATATTAATATTGATTGATTCGTATATTTGACAAGAACACACAAAGTCTGGCGCCCTTCAGTAGCGAGCAATTAAGGCGAGTGTTTGTTGTTTAGGCGATGTCAAAGTGGAGTGTTTTTGTTAGAGCGTATACTGCACATTATTATACAAAAATCAACATAAAAGCTCTTTGCCATTAATACACCTAACATAAAAAATAGAAAAAATCTAAAATTAACATAACTTAAGGCGTGTTTTAACTTTAACACAGTTTTATTAGCTTTATTTGTATGTGTACAGAATAAATCTTGGAAGTTATCTTTTACTAAGTATTTACTTCTAATATTGTTGTATAGACTTGAAACTATATAATCCTACTAATATTATATAAACGCGAAAGTTTGTAAGAATGTATGTATGGTTGTATGTTTGTTACTCTTTCACGCAAAAACTACTGAATGGATTTTGATGAAACTTTACAATAATATAGCTCATACATCAGAATAACACATATACTACTTTTTATCCCGGAAAACGTACGGCTCCCGTGGGATAGATTTATATTTGTTTTTCTAGTTATTTAGTTTTCTAGTTATTCGCTAGTTATTGCAATACAATAATGACTTTACAATAATTTGATACCGTCGAGTACAGTACAAGGATATGGATATAGACGAACTATTTCCTACTTCTTCGCTAGTTTGTAAAATTATAAGTACCTACCTATTAATTAACAGCTTATTATGCCAATATTTTGAACAGTTTAAGAGTCTTTTGAACATTTTGTGCAGTTGTAATTACTTTTATATAAAGTTTTATAATAAAATGTTTAAAGAAAGTATGTAATTACGTTCCATTTGAACTGACGTATATTCTAGTATAAATATTAATGTTGTAAGGATATATTTACAGCTAATTCTGAACGTTTTTAGTAGTTTTTAAGATTTAAAAAAAAATTGTAGAAATCCAATACATATTTTCAAATTCCGAGGCCGCTATAAACTCAAGCACTATATACGAGATATTATATATTTCTCATTTCGTTTACTTAGTATAGCATTTCAATCCATGAGCTTAAAAAAGTGCGAAAGTTGCGCATTTTATTAAAAACTTGCTTCGGAATTTGGCTTTATTTCAATTAATAATGAAAATTTGCGAAAAGTGAGGCTGCTATAAACTATATTAATGACTATTCTCCACCATACAATAAGTTAAAATTCTCGAGTTTCAATTTCTCTGATTCAGAACGCTAAAGATGGGCATTTGATTGAAAAATCAAAGTCGTAATGTTATAGGCCTCTTAAGTTTAGTATTATGTAAGATTTAAGAAGATATGCTTTCCAAGTCTGATTTATTCCATATATTATATAATAGTACCTAAACAACATATTCCCGCGCATGACCACATGACACAGTAAGGTGTTCTCACCAGAGCGGAACGTCACGTACCAGTCACCAGGAACGAACCCCCTACCCCTTCGATATTGTAATTGTTCAGCAGTGGGGATATTGAACCCTAAATATCGTAATGATTAATTTTAAATGCTACAATTTCTTACAGAATAATAGATTGTTCGAAAATATTTTTTCACGTTTTTTAATGTTTGCATACTTTACCGGTATGTCGATTTAAAATTTTAAATTAATATTAGGTACGACGCTTCAATAGAATCAACAATTATTCTGCACCTTTAGTCAATCCTTTTGTTTGAAAGTAATTGCTGTTTTAAATTTTAAAAAGGCGGCTTAAATAAGCCGCCTTTTTAAAATAATCCAAGTTTCTCTAGGTATAACTATATTTTTCTTTTTTGGTGTAGACTGTAGGTACTATAGAGTTATCTCGTGCAGTTATAATTTTTTTTCAGAAAAGACACCTACGATAAACTTTATATAAACTTTAAAAGCAAAACCTTATCTAAATACAAATCGTTAGAGCTGTTTCCGAGATACACGAAATAAATTTACATATACAAAAACTGCTCATTTAATACTATAAGATTCGAAAATATCGTGTGTAACTTGTCGTGCAATAAAACACAGTAGTCCTACTGTGGTTTATTGCAGGACCTCTGCTGGACTCAACCCTACGAGGTGCCCTAGGGGCCTAGACGTTTAAAATATTATGTCAGAGCATAATTTGACTCCAATTTTCGAATTTCGTATCAAGGTACCTTATTTATTTTAGTGCGTACCTCTAAGTGTAGCGTACTACCTACGTGTCTATTAAGTTTATTTTAACTGCAACGCAATTTTACTTCCCCAAATAATGCTTTCAACAACATACCGTGAAGTTCACGACCTCAAACGTCGTCAATCAATGTATTTCAATGAATATTTTATACGTCCATATAAAAATATCTAATGATTAACAGGTATCGACATTATTTAGCGATAACTTTTATAATAGCCATCAGTGGCGTAACTAGCTTTTTTGAGCCTTAAGGCAAAAAATGGAAGTTTTTGCCTATTATGAAAACGAATGTAGACTGCCACTGCAAAAAGAAATGAAATTTAGAACACTTTCTTCTTCATTTTTTTTTAAACTTCTATGGAGCCCGTTCTCGGAAAAATGTTTTGAAATAAAAGAATCGTTTGTAGGGCTGGGGCCCCCTTGATTCAGGGGCCCCATGACGACCGCATTTGCATAGCTACGCCACTGGTAGCCATATATGTTGGTAGTTACAGGTTTTTAACTAGATTTTTACTACGCATTAATTTATTTCGTTACTTACTTTTTTAATTAGTATCTGAAAACCATAAATTAACCAAATTTGGTATCAAGTCATCAAATGGTAAAAAAGTTATCTTTAATTTCATATTAGATATATGATACTTAAAGAATTATCAAGTATTAAGTAGCTATATGACACTTAAAGAAATTTTCTTCCGAACCGGTAAATAATTTATATTCCTATAAGGTAATGGTGGCAAGTGCATAACAAAGTCGGACGGTTCTTTCACAAAATAAAATACATAAAAGCCTAGTCATAAAAGTAATGAAATCTAAATCTATACTAATATTATAAATGTGAAAGTTTGTGAGTATGGATGTATGGATGTTTGTTACTCTTTCACGCCAGAACGGCTGAACGGATCTGGATGAAAGGCACAGAGATAGATTATAGTCTGGAAAAACACATAGGCTACTTTTTATCCCGGAAAAATGTACGATTCCCGTGGGATAGGTTTGTTATTGTTATCCTAGAGACGAACCTGAGCGAAGCGAGGATGAGCCGCTAGTTTTGCAATATATTTACAAGCTACTGACCCTCGCGTCACCTCGCTAGTGGGCGTCCATAGGTGCTTTTTGTATGTATAATATTATATACAAGCGTGATTTTCCTTTTGGAAAAATTTACTACTAAAAGTAGGTACTTTATGGGATCCAGATTTGTCTGCGTACTTAATTTCATTCAAATCTACCCAGCAGTTACAGAATGAATGTGTAACAGATAATAAACACATACCTACTTATAAAAATTACTGTCTCTTTAATAATAAGTTGCGTGATATATGTACACTCGTCAATCGTCGTAAAATTGGGGTTCAAGTAGACTTGGATTTTTATGTGCTTGGGCTCTGGAATTGTATAACACGAAATCGCGATTTTAATACACTCGAAGAAGTTATACTTATCATATAAAGATTCCGTCTTGCCATTATGTAGAAAGATATAAAATATTAACAAGCATAGTAATTAGCCAATTACAAAGTAATAATTAGTTTTAACTAAAAAGATTCAACAACTTACAAATTATTACAACCTCAAAAGCTAAACACACAAACAACATACACCCGATTTATGTACCTCTTCCTTTTTAAGTGGGTAATAAAGTTATAGAAAAAAACGTGTGTGTGTACTTATGTACGCACGTAAGAAGTTATACTTCTTTGACTTAATAGAACAAAAACAGCTAAAGATTTAATCCCGTAGTCACAAATCTTCGTTTGTAAAAGGAATGCATCTAACTTCATCATGTCGCTTTTTGGCTGTCGGTGTGCGCGCGCCTCGTATAAATTCTAATCTCATATTTTTTTCCAAACGTGCCAAAAGAAGTATTACTTCAAAAAGTCATCACTTAATTATCTAAACGATAGAAATCCACTTTACAAACGCTAATATCTCACCCAAGCACTTGTAGGGTGTCCACGTTAGCATCAAACATATGTTCCACACCTGCTGAAATCACCCCGTAGTTAAGTTTAGTTGGCCGCGTAATTTTATTGTTTCTATTGGCCTGAGTGAAGGGGAGCTTTATGATACTACATAATATAACTCTTTAGTAGATTAATATATTTGGAACGCTTATTGTTAACTAAAACAGTCTCTAAGATAATTACAATGTAGGTATCTTATATACGAGTATATGTTGTGTTCTTGTAATGTAAATGACTGTGTATGTATGTGACTGCGTGAGTTCTTACCATCTTAAAAAGGAGGAGGTTCTCAATTTGGTTGTTTATATATATTTTTATGTATACTCGGGTGTGACTCCGTTAAATATAGACGAACTTGCAAGTTTATTTTTTGTTCGAAAAAGGTTTATTCCAAAATGGTCCCATTTAAATTTGAAAATGAAAAAAATACCAATATATTTTTAATTTTAAATACATTGGTATGATGTGTTTAAGTCTATTACTCGTAAAATTAAAGCAAAATATGTTTCTCATGCTATAAGTTTCTGTATAATGTGTATTTTGTTTCTGTATAATAACTCAATAGTGAATAAGTTATGAAGTGATTTGTCCGACAACACGATGTTTGTCATATAAGTGTGTTATTTCTCTGTAAGTGATTTTTTTAATTCTTTTGAGAAATAAATGTCTTAAACCATAAATAGGGGAAGTGTAGAAAATAGGGGATAAATGATTTTTCACCTACTGAATTTTTAAAATAATTTCTTAATACTTTCTTAGATTTACGCGAATATTTGACATTTTAAATAAAACTATCTTTTCGGATTTTTTCGCGGATTTATTTGTATTTTTGGTTCCCGACGTTACGAATGCTTTACAGCAATCATGGTCACGGGAGACTGAGGTGTTAGATGTCTCGATGGTATAGTTGTTACAAACAACCTACCCACAAATAACAAAATTTTGTTATTTGTGGGTAGGTTAAAAAATCCGAAAAGATAGTTTTATTTAAAATGTTTTTATATACATATACCTATGATATAACTATTTCAACACTCTTCTTAGTTTTCATGTAACAAACACTTTTTAATCGCACACAGACAATTATTGTAAATGAAAAGCTGTATACACCTGTAAGGGCGAATCGTACCGAATTGTATGTGTATTGTACAATAATTATAGTCTCACTAGCAACTCACCCTCACTCCGCTCGGGTTCGTCCCTACTTACGTTTTAAAGTTTAGTATATATTTCTCAAAAATTAGATATTTTCCCGCGGTAAAAAGTGTCCTATATGTTGACCCGTATAACCAGTTCTCACCATACTCATTTTTTTCAAAATCCCTCCAGTGGTTTTTTTGTAATGCGGTAACAGACAGACATAAATTTTAAAAACTATACATTCCGTTTCTGTATCGATAATAATGTCTATTTTAATAAGATTTCCCAAAAAATATTTAATGTACAGATTCGGCTAAGTTACAATTTTATTACATGTATAGATTATCATATTACGTTGGCTCACTATTACAAGGTTTTATGTTACAATTTTAGTACTTATTTAGTTATTAATGCTACAAGGTTCTATCTATGTGTCATTAGCTACAGTTTTGCAAAAACAAACCACTAGATAGCGGCACTATAATTACAAAATATTCAATTTTACATAGTTCTATGTTTTTTTTTACGACAACAAAATAACGAAGTGGTATGTAAAAATTACTAAACTTCATTAAAATTAACATAGAACCTTGTAATAGTAAGCCAACGAATTAAGTCGACGGTGTAGCTTTCAAAAAAAAACTCATATTTTAGCAAGCCTTGCTTTTAAGAGTAAATGAACGATATCCACTGACTCTAATTTAGTTTGATTATACTTCAAATTTATAAAGAAAAGCCTAAAAGAATTATTATATATATATGATTGCGTATATTATCTAGTTAGTTCTAGAGAATAGAAGGCCATAGGAAAAAATACAAGGCAATGTTTTTTCCTAATTCTTATATATGTTACTTCTAAACTCTAATTGAATATACCTCTTTATGTTCCTTACAACATTGCTATAAGTTTATTGTAGGCACTTATGTTTTTCATTATTGAAACAATGCGCTTTGGGCAGTTTTAATGAACTACATAAATTATACGAAGTCAAACCAACTCTTAGACACAACCAGACCTTCATTTGAGGCGTCCGTTTAACTGATATATCTATTGTCGAACAATTAACAGTAGCAGATGCGTAACTCCATGTTATAGAACATGTCTACGTCAGGGACGCACCCGAGTTAGTCGAGGGTAGTTTGATAGTAATTAACTAACAAAAAATGCCGGTCAAGTGCGAGTTGGACTCGCACACGAAGAGTTCCGTATCATCGTACAAGATATGTACTAATCGATTTTTTTTATTTGCATGGCGATCATTTTGAAATGTGCCATCTTGGTTTTTTTATTATTTTTTCTTAGAGCAGCAATAGAAATACACAATTTAACTATTACGGTTAATGAGATACATCCCGCTGACAGACAGACACCCTCGGGTACGCAATCCTAAAAACAGACTGTGTTGCCAAATTAAAACGCAAGCCGAAACTCTAAACTTTTACTAGAGCTATAGAAAGAACAGTTCAACTATCCACCATCTAACTCTATATAATTTGCTGGATTAGCAATAGGTTATTATCCATTTTCAACATTTAATTAATTTAAAGGGAAGCTATTAACACAAATAAAAAACAAACAAATCATTCATTCGTTTATTAAGCATACGATAAAAAAATATAGTAAAAAATAATATAGTGTCTAAACTATGTATATCATGATTTTGATTATTACAATAATAATGTATGTAATATGTATGTATTTCTATACAAATAACATTAAAAGTTTAAAATAAAATAGCATTTTGAAAGTACATTATAGCCGATACAAATATGTCGTCCTTTACTTAAAGCATAGACTTAAAAAATAGTTTAAAATTCAAAAGAAAACGAGTTCGTGTAACCCTTACGTCTTTGGCGCTGTGGCAGATGCCGCAATTAAATTAAAACAAATCAAAATAATGACGATGTTCTCCTGGCTGATTCCGGCCACGTCGGCCAATCTCATTTAGACTAGCCAACTGCGCAGGAGATATTATAGTGCACAAGTGTACGCACAGACACAACGTACACTCTCTATTCCTGTCACTCTCATACTCCGGTGGGACGACTGCTCGACACGACTAGTGAGAGTTAAGGCGCAGCACTATGGTAAAGCCCCATACAAAGCCGTCTCAAAACCGTTTCACGAGAAAGTCGTTGTTATGGAATAAAAATAATAAATATGAAGTGAAACTTCTTTAGAATCGTTGTGATTTATAATATAAAAACATCCTTATGATTATCCTACTCCTGATACTCTATATTCATATCATTTTCTGAAGTTTCACTTCTACGATGTGTGAATTGCACATTTATTTTTATAACATTTTTTTTGTTATAATGTATATAAATAGGCTTCAAAGGCTTCATGTTCAATAACGTAATTTTGACGCAATGCGTTACTACAATTCAACGCCACATTACTCGAAAGTTTTTGATATAAATGTATAAGTATTATACATTTTTTAAATGCTTATAATCTCCTCTTAACGTTTCGTAATGAGGATTATATATATTTGTTTGATAAAATAAAATTAACCAATATAGTTTAATATGGTATGTTTTTAGGGTTTTTTTTAACGAGACGTTTACCCATTACCGCTGCTTGCCGCTGTCGAGATATTTGTTGTATTAAGATCTTTATACATTAGCTAACGCAAGGAGAAAAAAAATTGCACATATTTGCACTTTTTTTGTCACGGTGTCAAAACATATCGCGAGGTAAACATCATTATTTTTTTAATTTCTTTTTATTTCTCATAAAATCATTTGTTATCTATTAAGGTCAAATTGATAAAAAGTTCATTACAGTGATGAGTATTATTAATAGTTTTTTCTGGTTTTGATACAGTTTTGACCACCTTACCTGATGAAATATGGTCACTTATCTATTAGGGTCGAATTAAAAACAGGTTGGTTATGGGAAGAGTGCAAATTATTATTTTCTCATCTTTTTGCACATAGCACTATTTCATTGGCCTATAAAAGGAAGGCGAGCCCTGAAAAATTCACAGTTGTTGGTCAGACAATCAGTTGCCCTAAAAACAGTTAATACCTATTTACAAATATTCCCAAAAGTTAACTGATTTGAAAAATGGGTGAAGAATTTGTTTGTAGCAAGCGAGAGTGATGTAATTTGTTGATAAATGGGAATAATATAGAAGACTACTTACAAGAAAATTTCAATTTGTCACCAGAGGATATGGCTATTGTGGTCTCTTACATTCAAAGAAACTTGGTATCTAAATGTAACGAACGCTGGAGAAATGCATCTCGGATAAAAGAACGCTTTGAAATTAAGAACGTCAATTGGTTAGATGATCTATTTCGTGTTCCACTAGAGTGTCGAGTCACGGTTAATGACCCTAATACGTCTGGAAGTAGTGGTGGCAGACCTTCGAAACCATACGAAGCATATTCAGAAAAAACAAAGAAACGAAAAAACATGGAATTAATACAAGAGTACGGATTGGACTGTGTGCTCAATGCATATGCTCAGGAATATCAATCGTTAATATTATACGAACTGCATCAAAAAATGATAAGAAAAAAAATCTTAAATACATTACTGAGAACTCTTAAGACGTTACACCTTTTTGAAAGGAGGAAGCACTAAGGACCTTTATTGACTTAGATCTTAACAAAAAACAGTATGGGAAACTTCGACTTTGTTTGGCGGACAAAAACTGCTCAGTGTTTCCTTCTTATCCAACTTTAGTCGAAGCGAAGAAGATGTGTTACCCACCAGATTCGAGCATAACCATTACTAACATAAGTGCAAAAGTCAATCTGCTGGACTTGTTGGATCATACTGTGGCACGTATTTTACCAATTGATTCAGTTTACAAAAACAGTTTAAGAAAGTTGAAACTATTCTGTAAATGGGGTTGTGACGGGTCATCAGGACAGAGAGAATACAAGCAAGTTTTGCCCGAAGAAAGCGATTTAATATCAGATGCAAACCTGTTTTATTGCTTCACTTGTACCCATTAGACTCATAGATGAGACAACTAATACTGTTGTTTGGAAGAATGAAACTTGCTCATCTGTAAGATATTGCAGACCTATATTGTTAGAATTTGCCAAAGAAACTCCTGAAAAAACAGCGTCTGTTGTGGCTGATATCAACAATCAAAAACAAAATCTGTCTCCCTCCCTGATAAATAAGAATGGTGAGGTAATCGAAATTACTCATGACCTATTTTTAACTATGATTGATGGTAAAGTGGCACAAGTTTTAACTGAGACTCGTTCGAGTGCTTCTTGTACAGTTTGTGGTGCTACTCCTCGGCAAATAAATAACTTAGAGGCAGAACACGAGATGTGAACGAAAGTTCATTTCAATACGGACTGTCAACACTACATGCTTGGATTAGAAGTATGGAGATGATCTTACACATTTCTTATAACTTGTCTTTTGAAAAGTGGTCAGCTACTACACCTGAAAATAAAAAAAACAAAGACGAAAAGAAAAAACTGGTACAAAATCGGTTTAGGGAGGAAATGGGACTGCATGTCGATAAACCTCGACAAGGCACTGGAAATAGTAATGACGGAAACACAGCTCGGAGATTTTTTCGGAATTACTCTTGCTCTGCAGACATTACAGGTGTAGACGTAGAATTTATAAAACGAATGTACATAATACTACAAACTATGTCATCTGGAATGGCTATTAATTCAAAAAAGTTCGGTGAACACGCATATAGTACAGCCCAACTGTACGTAAATATTTATAATTGGTATTATATGCCTTCGTCCGTGCATAAAATACTTATTCACGGAGAAAAAATCATTGAGTACTATGCTATTTTACCTATCAGACAATTGCCTGAAGACGCGCAAGAATCCCGAAATAAGGATTACAAAAAGTTTAGACTATATCATTCTAGAAAGTGTTCAAGAGTGGCTACCAATGAAGACGTGTTCCATACCTTATTGTACACTTCTGATCCATACATATCAAGTTTGAGAAACACCTCAGAAACAATATCGAAAGAACTTTTAAATGAAGCCAAGGCCCTTCTTACCTTCAACGAAAATCTGTAGGAGCTTCCTGAATTTTGTACATATTTTTTTTCTCGTTTGTTACTATTATTCCATTTTGTGTAAATTACAAAAGAAAAGACTAATTTTGTTTATTTTTCAATATGAATGAATATGATATGAATGCATGTATTTTTTTAAGTTTTATTTCTTAAATTAATAAATAAACAGAATTTTCAAAATCAAAATTATTTCCATTAAACTTTGTACATACAAGTATATGTGTGCAAAATTTCAGCTCATTTAGTTTTGAAACAACTGAGATACGGAGTTATGAGATGAAACATACGCGATTTTCCCATAGTGCGCAGGACCGACGGCTTTACGTGCTCTCCGAGGCACGGGGGTGAAACACCACCAATTTCCCAACTCCGGGCTGTTACTGAGGACTGATATTACGACTCGATTATTTTATATTTCGGCCCGACCCGGGACTCGAACCCAGGACCTCCGAGTGTGCAGCCGTACATGCTAGCCACTACACCACCGCGGCAGTTAAATCAAATCAAAATATAAATAGGTAGGTATAATAATTTTTATAAAATTATTAGTAATAAATATTCTATTTTATATTAAATATTTATTATAAAATTATTAATAAATAAATATTATATATTTTTAGAAATAATAATTATTATAAAAATACATTTTTTTAAATTATTAATAATAAATTTGAATCGCACTCCCGAGACACTCATTTTTCTAATGTATTGACTTACCCCTCAGTCAGGCTAAAGAAGTTTTACTTAAAAAGTCGTAAGTTAATTGTAGTTTTTTTCAACATTGTGGCAATGGAAGGTTTTACGCCAAGTCACAGTTAGGCATTTAAATGGAAATAATTGCTAATCTTTGTTTAAGTACAATTATCAAATATAAAACTTGTAAAAGAATAAATTCATAAAAATAAAATAAACCAAGAAGCCAAAGTGATAACAGACTGAGTAGGTAAATACTTTCTTAGATTTACGCGAATATTTGACATTTTATCTTTTCGGATATTGTCGCGGTATTATTTTATATTTCGGTTCCCGACGTTTCGAATGCTTTAAAGCAACCATGATCACGGGAGAGACAATGTCCCGTCTTCGAAGAAATCCGACATATAGTTGAATTTTAAAAGAATAAGTAAATATAGTGATATATATTCAGAACTTAGCCAAATTCATAGACATAGAGTGGACCGAGTGTTTTTTTGCCAGCAGTCAACTGAAAATGGCGGAAAAGCGACAGAGACAAAATGAATTTGCGGCCAATCTTCTGTTTTAATTAAAATACGATTAATGAAGATATATACTTATAACAAATTTACATTTCATTATATATAATAATTTTCATTAAGATTATATTTTTTAGACTCCATTTATAAATTCAAAATTGGTATATAATAAAAATTGGCCGCACGTTCGCTTTCTCTCTTTCTAGAGAGTGGTCAATTTCATGACAGTATTGCTTAGTCCATACTCTATGTCTATGGCCAAATTATCACATATATTTTGATACATATCAATTACATAACCTTTCATTATTAATACATATTTCCATTACTAAAGTATATTAATATATTTTTAATAATTATTACTTACATCTTACAAACTCTTTAATTCCACAAATACTTCTTAGATAAAATTCGTTACCCTGATGGCTGATAGATATAAGTTTACACTTACCATTTTATACGCATAACTTAAATACAGTTTAACTTTTTTATATAAAAATATATGAAAAAATAAATATTTCATTAATTAATTTAACAGAAATTCATAAATACTTACGATATGAATTTCTGTCTGTTTGTTTGTATGTATCTGTTATTCTTCGGAATAGCTAAACTGATGTTAATAATAGTTTCATTATATGATAAATTCAATATGAAAAATCGTGTTTTAAAATATATCGACTAATATATCAAAGCTCGGCGAGTTCAAAGCAACAACAAAAAAATGACTTTAGACCTAATGAAGGCAAAAAACAGGAAAAATATTACCTATTACGTAACAAAACCAACACAAAATGCAATATTCCTAACTAAAACATCAAATCCAAAGCCAGTTCCCGTAGATACGCGCTCACTTGCTCCTTGTACCGCTATGGCTTTATGTGGTCTATGAACCAGTCCGCGCCGTTGATGAGGTTGTCCATCTCCACCGGGAGGCTGCTCAGGGCGTGGTTATCTTCGTACATGAACACCCTATATAATGAAACTAATGTAAAATATAGTCCTTATTGTACTTAGTTATATGGAAAACACAGTCAAGTGCAAACCGGACTCGTATGTAAAAAGTTTCGTATCACCACAATAAAATGTGATGGGTACTTAATACTTATGTATCAATACAATTACTTTAAAAAAAAAAGTAATTCAACTTCAATTTAAAATAACTATTCCACTATTAGCGGCGGAGCTTTTTTCCTCCTCCTTTTGAAGTGGTTTAAAAGTAGAAAATTATATTAAACAGCTATTGAACTCTTAGCACGCCACGGCACTTGAGTCGCTTCTATGTATTGACGCTGTAAGACGGAGCAAAACAAAATTAACTTTATAAAGCAAGTACAAACTTTAGACACTCTTATGCTATTGTTCATCTACCTTTTTATCATTTTGTAAGATACCATATAAAAATAACGTATTCCCAACTTGCCAATATCATCTTACCTAGTATGAACGCCATTAGCCTTCAACTTCCTGCTGTACTCCAGACCTTGGTAGTAGGGCACCCTCTTGTCCTTGCTGCCCAGCATAAGCGCTGTAGGGACCGTCACGTTATGCGCGTGTATTATAGGAGACACTTTGCGAAGAGCCAGTAACTTGTCATCGTTCTCCGGTCCAGCTTCTTGAAATGGAAATCCTGCTTCTACTGAACACCTGGGGATATTTTACTTTAGATAACATTGCATTTTAAACTTCATAAATTTATGATAAAACGTAAAAAACTTTAATTAATCAGGCAAATAAAAAAAATAAGCACTTAGTTTTTATATGACACGAATATTATAAATACGAAATACCTATGTATGAGTGAAATGTTTGTTATTCTTCATGCTGTAATGGGTCATTAAATGATTGGCTCAATTTAAGTGAAACTCAGCATTATGATAGTTTATATCATGGACTAGCACATATACTACTTTTTATCGACAAAAATAAGCAATATATAACATAAGTTGTGTTTGTATGATATGGTAAGATTTTTCAATTTATTATTAATTTTTAATTTATTTTTGCATCGACTAATACAAATTGAAGGTCATAATTCAGGATATTCTATCAAACAGGACTTACAGGGCATTTTGCCTATTTTTACGTATTATTTGACAGCTAATAAAAAAATGCCTCACACAGCTCTGGATTCTTGCAAAATGAGCTAACATTATAATCAATCCATACAGTGTTAAGAATTTTAAAATGATATGATTGTTAGTCATAACATGGTCAATGAGTTAATTTAAAGATTTAAGTCATGAAATTGCCATCATAAACATTAAGCATTAAATCATAATGATAAACGCAAATATTAAGGTAAATCAAATAAAATAATTCTAAAAGAAATGTTAGACAATTATTACATATAGCATTTCACCCTTGACGCAATAGAACAACTTCGAGGACCACTTTTACCAAAATTCATAATTTCAATTTCATTGACTTCAATTCTCTTATTAATGGCTTCAAAACGTACCAGTTGAGTACAGATTACTTCACCAATGTCACGTAGCATAGAGTTTTATTAGTTTAGCAAATGTAAAACAGTAAAATTTGACGTTTCAGACTTAATTAAAATTAAGAATTCGGTACAATTAGCCCTAATTCTTACTAATATTATAATGTTAAAATTTAGATGGATGTTTGGATGTTCGTTACTCAATCACGCCAGAACGGCTGAACGGATCTAGATGTTTGACACAGATATAGATTATAGTCTGGAATAGCACATAGGCTTTATCCCGAAAAAATGTACGGTTCCCGTGGGATAGATTTGTTAACCCATAAAAGAATCGTAATTTTTTTATTTCCCTTTCAAATTGTCATAAGTCACTCACCCATCAGGATTGTCAGCATAGTGGGCCTTAGTTGCCAAATCAATCAAGGGGTTTCTTAACACCATTGCTTTAAACATATCTTTATACTTTGCCAAATGTCCAGCAATGAATCCACCGTAACTGCCTCCATATATAACAACATTATCTATCTGTTTCTTTTCTTTCAAGGTCGCTAGAGCGAGAAGGCAGTCTCGTATGTCATAATCCCCAATATTTCCCATTAAACATCTAACGTTTAAATCTCCTTGACCAGTAGAACCGCGATAGTTTATTCTCAGAGTAGCAAAACCTAGAGTAGTATAAACTATTTGTATTTATTCCTTATTATTAATATACTAAAAATTATTAATAAATATTTTTTTGTAATATTTTATATCCATATCTATCGTAAATGCTAAGTGTCTATTGCGTAAAGGGTAAAAAGATCACTTAAATAATTTAACCAAAATGATTATGAAATCCAATAAAAAACATTAAAAACGCTTGTACACTCGATATGTTACTGATTATACAGGTACACAAATGCAAGTAACTTATCCCATAATTAAAAAAAAACATTCAAAAACAGCAAAAAAAAACATGCGCACACACAAAAAAACTCACCAATCGGCTATATCGCTAGTATTATTCATAGATGCCAGATCAATTACAGGGTTTCTGGCGACTGTCGCGCGATACACTTCTGAATACAGACCACTTAGGTGAGTAACTAGGAAGCCCCCATGGGAACCCCCATATAACATCAATTTCTTATCATTCACGGGGAATAAGTCTAAGGATTTGTCTGTAGCTAGCTTGCAATCCGCTACATCGGCAGTACCGATACGTCCAGGTAGGAAATGTATTGAAGCGTCCCCTGTACCGGCGGATCCTCGATAGTTTACCAAAAGACACGCGAATCCTGGAATATTGCAATGCATATGTGTAGCTTCAACGCTATTTCGCATTTATTTATAAATTTTGTCTTAAAGTTAAGACCCATTAAGAAAACTTCATTTTGTAAAACTAAAACCAAAAAAAAAAAAAAAAAAAAGGCGAAAAAATAAAAATATAAAAATAAAAAAACACGACTGCGTAAATAGAAAAATAAAACCAAAGAGAAAAAAGGTAACGAAAGAAAATAGTATTATGTCAGTCAGTTCATTTTATTTCACTTTCTATGCAGTCGGTTTTTTATAACAATTTGACTTTTACTTAACAATTTGTTAACTTCAACTTTTATTGAAACTATAAGTTATAGATAATATTTTTGTAACCGACTTTTATAACCTTTCATCATTTTGATACTCGATATTTTTGGTCCAATTATTTTTACAAGACATTATATTTTTAGGAATCATTAAAATCGATTAAGCCGTTTAATAATTAGGAACAAAGGGTCTATACCTATATACCTACATACATACAGATCCAAAACATAACTCTCCTTTGTGCTTCCAAGGTTTTTAAGCATTTAAAATAACCACTACTTAGTTTATTTAGTTTATATTTCGTATCCTACCAGTTTCACAGTATTTTGTTAACAGTGTTTGAAATACGCAACAAACTGGCAAGATCACATAACCGTATAATAGTAATAAATATGTTGTGACATTAACACACAGCGCCATCTAGTTCCATGATAAGCTACGTGGCTTGTGTTATGGATGCCAGATAGTTATACACTATACATAAATAAGTTTTAACACATACGAGTGCATATTATAAACATAAACAGCCATGACTGGAGTACAAACATTCGTGCTCATCACACAAATGAATGCCCCCAGCGGGACTCGAACCCGCGACCGCTGGCACAGCGAGTAGGGTCACTACAAACTGAGCCAAACGTATCTTCATGATTAAAAAAAGTAAAAAATGAACCTCCACCTCTAGAAAATTAGTGAAAAACATGCCAGACCGTGCGTGCCATTTATTGTTAATGTCAAACAAATAACTAATATAGCTAACATGATAATTGTCAATATATATTTATTGTTAGAGTTAAGACGTCGCATTCCTATAAAAAATAGTGTATAAATTAAGACTTATCCTGATTACAATCGACACTTAGCATTTAGAAAGATAAAATTATTTTAAAAATTCGTACATATTTAAGTATCTACACATTCATACTAATTCCATAAATATTGTAAATGCAAAAGGTTGGATGGACGTTTGTTACTCAATCACACCAGAACGACTGAACGGATCTGGATAAAATTTGGCACAGATACAGATTATAGTCTGGAAGAGCACATATGTTACTTTTTATCCTGAAAAAATGTACGGTTCCCGTGGGATAGATTTATCTTTATCTAGGGACGAACCCGAAGCGAGGCGAGGGTGAGTCGGTAGAATTATATTAATCAGTCAATAGATGTCATTATAATATTGATATTCATTTTTAAAATTCAAACTTTGTTAGGTGTTTACTTATATCATTTTAAGGATTAATACATTATCTCGTTTTAACTTTTTAAGCAAATCTTGATGTTTTAATAGAAAACTAATCAAAAAAGTATTTTAGATCATGTTTTTAAGCTGCTTTATCTAATATCCATAAAACATCTAATTAACTTCAGGCATTATTCGGTCTCCGTAAAAACAAACTTAAAGCAAAAAAAAACTACAATTTACTAATAAGAAATAAAAAACTACTAAAACCGAAACCAAAATTTAAAATTCGAAATCAAGTTGAATGTCGAATAACATAACAATTTTAGTTCGCTAAGTGCGAATAAAAATCCGTGGTCAAATTTCGGACAACTAAATATCGGTCCATGCAATAAATGGTCCTTTTGGTAAACAATAAGAATGGACCATATAGAAAAATAAGAATGGGCCACTTGGTCCACTTTAAATATATAAGATGGTTCATACAATAAATGGTCCTTTTGGTAAACAATTAGAATGGGCCATATGGTAAAGTAAGAATGGACCACTCAGTCCACTTACCAATAAGATTGAAGAAGGCCGCTTCCAAGGAGTACGCGTTGCAGAAGGCGGAGTGCGGCCCGCCGTGCGGCCACACCACCAGCGGGTACACGCCGCCCGCGTCCGGACCGAAGTACGTAGCTGTGAACGACGCTGTACGGACAGACAGATAAAATATTTATTTATTTATAAGACCACCAACAAAGTACAAACTAAACACATTATAATATACATAAAAAATAGAACAGATAGAATAGTACCTTAAATAAAGGTGATAACGACAATCAAAAAATAGTATATGTAAAGGCAAAACAACATTTAGAATATTAGAAAAAAGTACCTTACAGATTCACAATGTTACAGCTTACAAATAAAAATTATATGATTTTATATTATACATATTATATGATTTTATTAAAAAGAGAAACAATTTTTCACTGTTAATGGACATTAATATTATTTTTTAGCCCCTGATATAAGAAGAGGCCAGCTATAAGTGTAACGTGTGTATCTGTGTGTATGTATATCTGTGGGTCTGTCTATGGCATCGTAGCGTCCGAATAGCAGAATAACTATTAAAACATCGGAAAAGCCTATTCCATACTAAGCGTCAAAACGTATCTAGGATACGTTTAATATATTTTAAATACACCAAAATGCAACTATCCTTCGAAACACGCTCATAAAAATATTACTTTATTATTTATTAAGTATATTTCATACTTACATACAGAATCTTCACAATCTTCATGTTTCAAGTTCATATATTGCAACTTGGCGTTGGCGACGGAGCTTGGCACCTCACTTGGCGCGCTTATCCTGATCCATTCTATATTCTGCTCGTTGCCAGCGCTTGGCAACTTGGCAACAAATAGCTGTAACGATAAATTTATAATTATTTGGTCATATCATTTTAAATTAGTAAGTAAATATATGGCACAATATGTATTATCTATCTTATTATAAACCTTTACCAGTATCGAATCGAATAACAAACAGCATTATTCGTTATAGAAATTAATGATTATCTTATATGTAAAACGATGTCTATGTTATTTTAGGGCCACGTAGTAGCAATTTAGAGATCATCATGGGGTTTGAATCGCTCAGAATAATCATTTTCAGATTTATTTTACGATAGTATGACGATGTAAACAATGAAATAAAAAAAAATAAAAAGTGTATGTAAGTAAAGAATTTTTACAGGAAAAAAAAACATAAATGTAATTGTGGCATTGCTTGCCTAAGGAAGATAGTAAGGTGGCACTTAAATTTTTAGCCATACTTGATATAAAAGAAACGCGTTTTCTAATTGGGTTTCTAATCAAGAAATCAACATCCATATTCCACGACGGAGGATGACTACTTCGCGAAGCCCTTGCTTAGACCCCAAGTTGGAACTGATTTTAGACTATTTCTGAACTGATTCTGTTGAAAAATGATTACAGTTGTTATCTGAAGTCCCCAGTCACTGTTACACTTCGCAATCAACTGTGTGTACACTAAAAAGCAAGGTGTGTACGTAATATGGTGCAATAAAAAGTTTCTACTTTTTGCACAAAGAAAGAAGATCTCAGAGATTTTAGAATCACATAAAATTTAATTTTTAAGCCTCTAAGTGTATACTGGCGAAGCTATCAGTAACATACAAACAAACACACATATAATACAAATAAAAACATATATAATGTATTCATTTCATTTTATGTAGTCGGCCAAAAATTAATAGAATAGTTTTCTTATATTAACCTGTCCAGGAGTACTCATGTTGGAGAAAGTAGCAAGTATGACGTCAGACTGCACGCTCAGCACGTTGGTGGAACCCGCCGACTTTTTGTTATTAGATATATCCACTAAATTACCGCTTTCTGAAAAAAAAACAATAAAAAAATTAGAAAAGAGATCTGACATACTTAGTATCATATCACAAGAAAATCTACATTTTCTTTATTAGAAAAAGTACCAACTACTTATAATCATATCCACATATATTTATACTAGCAATTACACAAATAAATTACGAGAGCGATGGCACGAGCCAAAGCTAGTACAAATCTATACATATAAATAAAAATTGAAGTATCTGTTTGTAATGTCAAAATAACAGCTTTTTACTAAAAGCATTTATGCCGCTTTGTATTGTGGTATGTAATATGTATATTGTGCTTGTTTTATATATATTCAATATCTCTGACTTATGATGCGCAGAAGGTAATAGAAAAACCTTGGAGTATATATATTATATTTAAAAATTAGAACTGTTCCCGAAACGTCTATAAAATATTATTAAGATCTATGTCAAATAGGAAAAGTACCGAGATGATGCAATACAATATTATTTGGTGCAATATTATTATACTATAAAATACATAGTAGGCACATATTTGAAATTATATACGGTACTTAGAAGTGAGGAAACCTGCATGTCTGAGGGAACTTAGCAAGTTTTCGAAAGATATGTGAAGTCCGCCGACCCGCACTTGGCCAGCGTGGTGGACTATGGCCTGATTCCCCTCATATTGAAGGAAGGCCCGTGCCCAGCAGTGGGACGTTAAAAAGGGCTGAATACATACTTAGAAGAAAAACATTATTTCTAAAAAATTTGTCAGTCTGTCTATCTGTTCCGGCTAATCACCGAAACGGCTGGACTGATTTTGACGGGACTTTCACTGGCAGATAGCTGATGATATAAGGAGTAACTTAGGCTACTTTTATTTTAGAAAAAGAATTAGGGTCCCGCTCAAAAAAATTAAAACGTACCTAGGGACGCACCCTAGAGAAAGTAGGGTGAGTCGCTAGTATATTAATATACTTACCAATATCCACCACATAGCTTCTTATTTCATTTTGCTGTTGAGTAGAAAAAACTAGTCTCCTCCCATCGCTACTAAAGCCTTTTGATGGTAAACTTTGACTGTATATTCCATAGAAATCCCCATTACTTATTTCCATCTTAGTTTGAACAATGTCTATGACCACTGATACTTTATCTGTCACGTCACCGACGTCTGACTCCATAATGGTTTTGATCTAAGAAATAAATTAATATTATAAAAAAAAACATTTTTAAAAACAAACTTTTGTCATATAAATTGTGTAATGTAATTAATGTTTAGTTTCATTTAATTTAAAGTATATTTTTTATTTTTTAGCTATTTATTACTAATCCTCTCAATGAAGCTTTTCATTTGATATCAATATCATGTGGGTGCAAAAAAAACATAGTCCACCATGTTGGATTTAAAATGGCGTCACTTAGCTAAGTCAATCGGTTGAGGATAAGTGCTTTAAAATTCAGTCGCAAGATTTGACCCAAACAAAGATACAAAAATTGCAAGTCAAATAAAAGCGTCTAATTAGTTTGAATGTAAGTTCATTGTTTTCCAGATACTGGTAGAAAACATAAATTATTATGTAAAATATTTAGATGACTCAATATTATACTAATAAAGACCCAATCCGATGTAAAGAAAATGGGCATTAATTAAATATAAATATGTTGGGACATTAACACACAGCACCATCTAGTTCCATGGTAAGCTACGAGGCTTGTGTTATGGATACCAGATAGTTGATACACTACACATATGTAACTTTAAATATATGTATATATATATATACTATTATGTTTAATACGTGAAGCAAAAACTTTGTATAGGTATACAAAAGAAAAGGTTTTTAAGAAAATTACGCGGCTGGAGGGATATGAAATTTGACATAGTTAAAGTTTATATGGAGATATAGTGTAGAAAGCTAATATTTTTATATTAGAAATACATTAATACCTCCACGACCGCGGACACGCCGGCGCGGCGTGTCAGTTAACAATATATTTCTTAGGATTTTAATTGATTTCTTAAAAATTTACCTGGAGGTGTTAAATTAATTAAAATAAACATTTTGTTTGTGAACCGATCTGTTTATTTTTTGTTTTAGTTTAATAGCTATTGACGAGCTTTAGTTTTTTTATAAATAAATAAAAAAACAATAATAATCATGGTCGAAGTTCGACCACTCAGCGAACTCTAGTAAATATAAACACCAATGACTGGAATACAAACATTCGCGCTTATCACACAAATGAATGCCGCCAGCGGGACTCGAACCCGACCGCTGGCATAGCAAGTAGGGTCACTACAAACTGAGCCAAACGTGTAGTCAAATTGAATTGAATTGAACTGTAAAATGAACTCACATCAGCGGACGACATCCACACGAGCTGGTGGGCGGCGTGGTGCGGGCCGCGCGCCGCGCGCTGCAGCCACGCCGCGCCGCCGCCGCCCGCGCGCGGCGACCGGACAGACTTGTTCTCCGCACTCAGCTTCCCTTGAACAATGTCCAATCTATACTAATATAATAATATTATAAACATGTTATATGATACGACGTGAATTATTATATCACACGAATATTATAATGGTTTGTGAATGACTAAGTGATTGCAGTTTTTTACGCTGATAAAAGAAAAAAAAACCTTATAAATCTATCTATACTAATATCATAAAGAGGTAAAGTTTGTGAGTTTTTGACGTTGTAGGGAGTAACCTCTGGATCTACTAAACCGATTTAGATGAAATTTCGTAAGAAGATAGTTTAAGACCCTGGGAAGAACATAGGACACTTTTTATCCCGAAAATCATCCCTAAAGATGTTTAAATGGGGATGAAACTTTTACTCTTTCTACAAACTGAGCCACACGTGTCGTCGATGATATTATAAAATCATTCCATATTAAAGTAACTAAACTTACTTAACGTTCCATTAAGAGATGTACAAAAGATATAAGAAGGTCGATTGGTACAGTAAATCAGCCCCAGCCTCCTCACGCCTGATATATCCCAAGCGACCCCCATTACGTCTCCGGTTGGAGTGAAACGAACCTGTGGAAAAAATATATCTATACAGATAAATAAAATTGAAGTGTCTGTTTGTAATGTCTTATTCAATAAGAAAGTATTATCCAAGTAACATATTATAAAATAATGATAGTTTGAATGAAATAGTGCATTTGCATAGGCTAATATTTAAACTTTTATAAAGATTTAAGGTCAGAACTTATATAACAGATGGCGCTGTCCAAGAACTTTAAAAGATTACACTTCTTGCGGAATGAAGTTGCGCGCAAAATCGATATCTGTATAATAGTATTAATGTACACTAGAATTCGTAATTAAACAGGAATTTTAGTGCATACTTTATTTTAACTTCGAAGAATGAACCTCAAAATGTAAAAAAGCTCAATCTCTAGCATTTTATGTAATGTTTTAAAAAAGTTTATGAAAACTTATATTTTGATTAATTAATATTTCTGATTTCGCTTCTCTTTAACAAGACAGAAATCTGTATTATAAATATAAACATCCCCCAAAAACAATTTAACTTTACATTTAACTTTAGTAAGTACATATAGGTATATCTACGTACCTGTCCAGGACACCAATTTTCTGGAATGTTCTCAAGTATAGTGAAACTTTCATCTGCCAGCTTACAGACTACTATCACAGTTTGATACTTCCCAGTTAATTGTTCGCCCCAGTCTTCTTTATACAAATGTTCTTCACCCTGTAAAAATAACATTTAATTTATTGAAGTGAAACTTCTTTAGAATCTTTGTGATTTGAAATTCGATGAAACGCAAATGCGACACTAAAAAGAGACAAACACGTAAATATATAGGATTAAGCCGGCGAGAGAATGAGATAGAATACATTGCCATGTTGCCATGGTAACCGTTGTAGTTGTCTGACAAATATATAATATTATATTCTTTCCGTATATGATTGATCTATACATATACTTTATGATTGAAATGTACCTAATATGCTTATATCACTTTTGATTTGTTTTGATGTAATTGTGATATTTGGCAAAGAAGTTTTACTTCAACCGCGCGTAAAGGTTACACACACCCATTTTTTTACTAACAACTTAAACTCTCGTTTCGCTCTGGTGCGTCGTGTAATTTTTAGTAGTAATAGTGTCAGTTTAAAAGTAGCCAAGTTACTCTTTTTTACATCGGCTATCTCCCAGTAAAGTTCCGTCAAAATCAGTCCAGCAGTTCGGGAATTAGCCGGAACAAACAAACAGCAGCAGTAGCAGACAAAAATGTTAAATGACAGATTGTTTCTTATAAGCACATTATATACTTTCATATGCATATAGTAAAGAGTTGTATTTTAACATTACAAACAGACAAAATGATTTTATTTATTTGTATGTATAGATTAATTCACACCCAATGCCCTGACCCTTTCGATCTTCGGTCAACAGTATATTGTCGGTCGAAGCTTTCGATCGAATCAATGGATTGACGAAATTAAAATTAGATTTGTTTTAGTGTATAGTTAATTAGCTAGAAAAAGAAACAAAACAGTTTTATTTTACAAAAAAAATGCAAATTATAGTTACACAAAAACGTGTGTACAATCATGTAATAACTGCCTCCTTTTTTGAAGTTGGACTAAAAATATAATACACGGCGCATCAAGAACACAGTAATTGATACTAAAAATGGTATTCTATTTGTTCGCTAAAAATACCGTTTTGTGAAGCATTTTTATAAATTGATTTCTAGACACTGATAGGTCAGTCAAATATTAATTTGAATATTTTACCGGTACAGGTTTTTTATCCGCGTTATTTTTGTCAGCATTACTCTTGTCTTCCGCCGGTTTTCGCTTAATGAATGGCTCGGACTTTTTTAGTTTTTTCTCAGCGACATACACTAACTGCTTTTCATCCGGTGACCAATCTAAACTTCCAAATTCAGCTAAAAATGCATTTTAATATTACTAAAGAGTCTTCTGTTTTCTTTGATTTACGCGAATTAAAAAAAATACGCATTGTAATTTAAAAAAATACGAATTAATTCTCATTATAATTAGATTTTTTATAGCCGACGGATTTAAGCGAAATTCGGAATAGACATAACATACATATTGGCAGTTAGTACATAGTTCCTACAAAAATCTTATTATAAACATAAATGGAATATAAAAAAAATTTATATGCATTATATGAGACTAGTGTTCTTTGTGAGTTTGTAAGAAGAAAGATCACTGTAAAATTTTTTGCAATGTCAAAACACAAATATTCATCATTTTTGTGAATCGAACCCGCTTATCGAAAAAATCTATAAAAAAATTCGTATCAATATGTTAGTATTCTTACAGTCCGCATACACGTCTCCATGTATATCTAAAGATGTAAGGTCTATTGAATGTTTGAGAGAACTCTTAGACCAGACTTCAAGGAAGAATTTCTTCTTTGAACTATCTTTGTCGTCTTTTTCTTCTCTTATTACTGCTCTGAAGTTTTCCTTCGGCGACACAGCTGTTAGTAATCTAAAAAATATATATATAAGTAAGATGAGCAATAGATGTCGTGGGAATGAGATAGATAGAGAGGTATGATGTTTTGCCGTCATGTTTGGCTGTTTGTAGTGACCATACGTGCTGCGCCAACGGTCGTGGGTTCGAGTCCCGCTGGGGGCATTCATTTGTGTGATGAGCACAAATGTTTGTACTCCAGGCATGGGTGTTTATATTTATAATATGTACGTATTTTAAGTTATATTTAGTGTAGTGTATCAACTATCTGGTACCAATAACACAAGCCTCGTAGCTTACCATGGAACTAGACGGTGCTGTGTGATAACGTCCCAACATATTTATGTGGGTAAGTGAATGAGGGAACAAGGAAGCTGAAGGATGAGAGAGCTGGCAGAACGTGTGGGACTACGTGTGAAAGGACAATCTAAGAAATAGTGTAAAGAAAAAGACGATAAATTATTCATAATTAAACTTCTTTTACCAAAGAACGTGTACTAATTTCTATACCTGGACCCTACATATATGATTTTTAAATCGTAAAATGTCTAACATGTAAAAACAATTTTATTCCTAATGAAGAAATGAAAGAAATAAAAATTTATATTTACTACTATGCAAATAGTGTCTTCCTGGGAATCGAACCCGTGAAATTACATTGAGTTATGTATACATAAAAATACGAATACAATATCGTTAAAAAAACATTAACACCGCAAATATATTTCGTTTTGAAATCATAACTTTTGAAAAATATTTTTGTTGGACAAACAAAAGTAATTAATAATTATGCACTTTTGCATTAGGTCACTTTTTCTGGGAACCAAATACGTATCAAACACCTACATACGTGAATCGTGATGATAATAAAAAATGCGGTCGCAATGACGTTATCGCGGTCATTTATGTGTATTTTATTTATTTTTAATAGTGCCTTATCTTACGGAAAACTTTTTTGTGTTTAAATTAATTAGATATTTATTGTACAAAAGAGAACAGTATTTATGATATGAAAACTAATTTAACTTTTACTAACTTTTCTTCGGTTGCATCAAAAGATACTATGTAATATATTGCTTATTTGTAAAAATTTAAGTATATAATTATTTAAAAAAATATAGAAATAAGCTTGTCAAACACCCAGATTTCGTCTCCAAAATGTGAATAAATCTTTTTGGGCCCGAGCTTTTCATATATAATAAAATTCCACAAACTGTCTTAGATTTACCATTTCTACAATAATATTAAAAGATAAAATTAAAAATATATTAATGAGTAAAGCATATTAGTCTGTTTCAAAGTTTCTTGTTAATGGAAATGTATGGAATTAATTAACTTATATACAGGATAGCTATAGTGTAGCTCAGTTTTTCAAAAGTGAAACTGTTGAGTTTCTCACAGCCTCTTTTCAGCTGACCTGTCTTCCAAGCTGGTGGTAGCTACTTAACAGACAGACTGCACCAAAAATGTATGCTAATATTATAAAGAAGTTTGTGAGTTTGAGAGGTTGTAGGGGGTAATCTCTGGATCTACTGAAGTGATTTAGATGAAATTTGATAAGAGGATAGTTTGAGACCCCTGGGAAGGACATTTGATACTTTTTATCTCGGAAATCATCCTTTAAGGGAGTGAAAATGGGGATAAAAGTTTGTTTGTTTGTTTGTTTTTTGTTGTATTAGGAAGCAAGCTAGGGACGAACATGAGCGAAGCGAGGGTTGGTCTTTAAATAAAATTGAAGATTCAAAAGTGTATATACTTAAGTCTAATTGAACAAAGTTTCATTTTATTTTTTATATACATATGTAAATAAATACTTCTTTTAATGTGAGTAAGTGGTATTGCTTTGCATTATGAAATACGGACAAAAGGAAAAGTCATCTAACAACTTCGTTATTTCCACGGTTTTATATACATAAGGAGGGTTTTAGAAAACGCGACACATTCTGATAAAGATGCCCAAAAAAATGGAATTTTGCATGACATACTTTAGGTGTGCTTTTAAAGTAATTAGAAAAATACTTACTCATGACTAACATCAACTCCAAATTCACTTTGAGCCACAACATCTAATTTATCATCCAGAATATAATCTATGAAGTACTGTGTATTTCTGCCCTTATCCAAATTACGAATGGACCATCTTGAAGTCACCCTATTGCCTTTGTTATTCAACCTTCCCCCTACTATGGATGGTATTTTTGATAGTGTTTTGTAGGCTTTTATAACACTATCCATCTAAAATTAAATGACCGATTATAAAAAAGTTATTTCAGATTGAAAAAATATCTTGTTTTTGTTCAAAGGATGACTATAAAATTTTTAAACACATATGGTTTTAGTCAAATCAACAGACAACAATATCAACAAGTGCAAGTTTGACTTGGGCTTAATACAACCAAAAAAAAAATACTAAAAAGAAAGACTAAAAAATAAAAAAAAATATTCTTTTTCATTGACAATTAAATTATTTCACTAAAACTTACATGTGAAGTCATCCTCCATATTTCTCCCATCTTCAAATGTTATCCGTATCTATAAACATATAAGATAAAATATCTTTATTGTAAATATTAGTTATAGTATCATGTGAATAGGCTTGGAAGATGTTGTCACAATGCAATTGCTTAGCATAATATATTTTTTCTAATAAGAATATGATTTAACATAATCTATAAAATTAAAATTGAAATGCTGTTTGTCTTTCTATGTACATTAGCACAACTTTAAATGAACTCAAACATCACAATTTTTTGTGAAATAAATTAAATGTGAAAACAAATATATGAAATTTGGACAGGACAGTGTTTTTCAATTATTTAGCCTATAATAAATCTTAGCCCGATAATTCATATTTTTATTAAACAAATAAATTAAGAATGAAAAGTTTCACTTTCATTTCTGTGATATTTAAAAAAAACGGTTACATACAATACTTAGATTTGATCAGTTGAATAAGCTAAGTTCCTTACGAAATAAATTATAATATTTAAGTACTAACTGTATTTATAAAATGGTACAATAATTTATAAATCGAAAGAAGACAAGAAGTTAATAATATTCTCATATCATACTTGTTAAGTTTTTTTAATTGTATTCATTATTAAAATAAGAATTTTTGTTTACTTATGAATTTTCACAAATAAAATAAGATTTGTACAAACAAGATATAAATCTAAAATCTAAATAATCCGGCGGAGTGGTAATTTATAATAAGATTAACTAAAAATAATAGACAATTAAAATGAGAATTGTAACATAATCTTACCACATAAATGTTATATTAAATAAGTACCGACTAGACAGTATTCAGAAAAATATACCTGTAATAGCAACAAAGAAAACACTGAGATTTTTGTTCAACAGCTGATTGAACAATGAACAGTTTCCACTTTCCACTTTCCGGTGAAAAGTGACAGTGTCAATTCAGAAATGTCACAGAAAATTTATACCACACTGAAGTATGAACCATGGATGACAAAGTATGAACTCATGACAACAGTTCCCAGTTTATAACTAACTACCTATACTCTTTGCATGACAAGCATCCGAGTGTCAGTATTATATAATCTGTGGTAGTGTATAATAAATATTATTAAAACTACGAATATTTATTATTTAGACTTATTATTTATTCGTAGTAATATAAATTATGATAAAAAAAATTAGTAAAGGAAAGCCTAGTCCAATAAAACAATAATTAATAGGCAGATATGAGCTGACCTACCTACAGTGACATCTAGCGATAATGTTCCTAACTGTGATGGTCGATGGTTCATTGCTTTTAGAAAATATTTGCGCTCAGTGAACACACTGTTTATTAAATAAATTTTATCATAACCATTTTGATATGCATATATAAATTAAATAATTTATTTCAAATAATACTTCGGATGCATTTACTTTAGTATTTACTTCTTGATAGCACAATGTTTCACCTGTGTACGGAGTATGCAAAAAGTGGCATGTGGATTTGTTTAAAACATTAAAAAATCATGAAATTTAATAATAAATTCTCGTGACAACATTGCATAGGTGCTTACATAAAAAATATTTATCGGCTGGCCCTCACTTCGTCTTGGTTCTCACTACACCGTACAATTAAAAAGTCATAAAATTCCTATCCTTTATCAAACCCTTTCCTTTCCTAATAAAAAGAAACCTATTAATATTTTGCTCCTGAATCCTTTATCGTTAGGTAACAACTACTTTAAAATTGTTTCAATCGTTCCAGAGATTAACGAGAAGGTACAAACAGACAAACAACAAATCAAACAAACAAGACAAATAAGACAAAGACAAACAAACAAATAAATTCAGAATGAAGACGTAAAATGAAAACGATATTCAAAGCTATGCTTTCATTTCTGTGTTTATTTTTTTATTGGTTAAATCATTCTCGTAAGTACTACCTATTGCTTTACTATAATATACCTAACATTATATAAGTTTTACCGGCGGTAGGACTCTGTCAAGCCTGAGGAGTCCGACTGGATGGGTACCACCCCCTTATCTATTTCTTCCGCCAAGAAACAATGCTTACATTGTTGTGTTCCGGTTTGAAGGATAAGGTAGCCAGCGCAATTACAGGCAAGATGCATATCATCTTAGTCCTCACAGTGACAACGCACCTGCGGTTCTGCATTTTTGTAATATAAAACCTAAGTGCACGAACCGTAAGTGTTATGGGCGACAGGTACCGCTTTCCATCAGGTGGGCTGTCTGCTCGTTTGTCACTGAATACCATAAAAAAAATCCAAATACCTACCAAACTACCGACATTTTCTCGTACCACTTACACACGAGTGAATTAGTAACTAAAAGATCAATATTAATTTTGGAAATGAAATGGATATTTAAAAAAAATATAGTAGTCTCTGTCTGTGTGGATGCTTTTCAAAAACCTATGTTTACTTGTTACAAATAGTAAAAGTTACGTAAGATTTTTCTTAAACAAACAAATTTTTCACCTTTTCATTACCTCAGACTTAAGCGTTATTCCTTAGTCTGAGTAGCTACATTACAAAAAATGTAGAAAATATTAAGTATTAGTCATTATGGTATAATAATGCCCGGAAAGGAGTTTTCCTTAAATAAGTATTTTTACAACAAATAACAGTGAATTTCATATTAAAAATAAACTTAAGCTATGTAAATAATACTTAAATCAATTAAAATTACTAGCGAAAATGGAAACAGAACTGTAAATTCACTCAACTTAACGTGTCAGGTTGGCCGAGTGGTCTAAGGCGCCAGATTTAAGCTCTGGTTCCCGAGAGGGAGCGTGGGTTCGAACCCCACACCTGACAGGTCTCACACATTTTAGATTTTAGATTTGTTACATTTTATATAATTATTTTTATTTTTCAATATCGTCTTTATCTATACATATAATAAAATTGTAGCTAAGCCGAAACTGTACATTAAATATTTTTTGGGAAATCTCATTGAAATATACTTTATTATCGATACAGAGGCCGAATCTGTAGTTTTTAGAATTTTTGTCTGTCTGTCTGTTACCGCATCACGGGAAAATTACTGGAGGGATTTTGATGAAATTCGGTGTGGTGATAGCTGGTTATCCGGATTAACATATAGGATCCTTTTACCGCGGAAAAACATCTCATTTCTAAGAAAAAATACAAAAATTGCAATGTAAGAGTATACTAATAATGTAAAGCCTAAGAATTTGGTTTTTGGTCATCTGAACGCGGGCGGAGCTGAGGGCAACGCTAGTAATAAATAAAACAAACTCGGGTTTGTTACAACACTTATAAGTTATAACTCGAGAACTGCTGGACCTATTTTCATGATTTTGATTTGTTGGATTTCTATCTGCCCCGAATAGCGGAATAACTATTAAAACATCAGAAAAAAAAATATATTAAAATTTATATGGCTAACGCTGGCAAATAACTATTTATATCTTTTTAAAATGTATTTATAATTATATCAATTTAAATAAACTACGGTATTCATTTTGTACGTACATAGGTAGGACAAATAAATACGACGATATATCTTACAAAATCTCGAAGTGGGTTTAAAAGATTAAAGGTAAATTTAATTAGTTGGGAATACGATTAGCTCCGATAAGATTTAACGGAAGACATAAAGTTGAGATAAGAACATAATATGTACATGTACTTTAAAAATATTATTTCATAATAATGTACAGTAAAAATCATATTACTTTATTAAAAAACCTGAAGGTTTGTATTTTCAATAATTTAAAGTAATATATATATATATATATATATATATATATATATATATATTACTTTAAATTAAAAAAAAGTATAAAAGCAAAAATTTGAAAAAATAAATATTCGTGAGCCTGTAACTTTGTTGTTATTGATGATATGAAAAAGTTGACAAGGATATATAGGATTTAAAACGTACTACAAATTTACCATTTAACATTTTTCTGTAACTCTTACAGTTTTGCTAAAAAATGCAAAAAAACCATAAATTTGAACTTTAAAGCTATATAACAAATAAAATATTTAAGATAGAAATTCGACTCAATGGAACTTTTTGTAGTCAATTTAATAGTAAAAACGGTCCATTCATTCATTTTTTTGAAAAATATTTTCGTCATAGTTTGCAGGACAAAAAATGTTAAAAATCATATTTTCCATACAATTTGTATGGGAAAACTTAAAGTTCGATGGAGAACCTCTTAGAATTGGAATTTTGAGCTCCGCTTTTAACAAAAGCTTTGTTGGGACATTTTCTAAGATATTTTGGGGTGAGAGCGAAGAAAAAGCATATCGTCATTTTTTGGCACACCCTAATATATATATACATATATATATATATATATTAGAAAGTTATATATATATATATATATATAAGATACATGTAAATAATAGGTAGTTACAAGTTCCAAAAGCGGGTAGCTGTATTTTATTCAACAACACTGTTAATTTAATTTACTTTAAATTTAACTTTAGACAATTATAATTCAATTCAAAAATTAAATTACCAAAATGAAAGATTACTTAGAACTATATAATACAACCCCTAAAACTCATCCAAATAAAGTCACTGCGTCGCGGTACCGCGTCGCTCGATACGCGCGGCGCGCGCGTCCCGTACGCCCCGCGCGTCAGTACACTGCCCACCCCTTGCGAACACACCCTCTTACACCTCTAATCATTCACAGTTTAATATCCATTATCCTCTTCATGCCTAACTTTACCACAGTCCTTTTATAAAACCAGTATTGTTATATAAGAAAATTTCTGCGATAAACATCAAAATTGACTTAGTAGTTGTGTTTTAACAACATACAGTTAACGTCAATCAAGATAAAACAATGAACGAGATTGATTTAATCAAGGAAGTGGAGAAGCATCCCATATTGTATGATAAGTCGGTCAGCGGCTTCAATAAAACAAAATTGAGAGACGACGCTTGGAAAGATGTGCAAGAGATCCTCAATGTATCTGGTAAGTTAAATATAATTACATTAACTCGTTTAATATTTGAGTTCTTATTTAAAATGAAATGTGGTAGGTATATTTATTTAATTATTCACAAAAAAATCTATTTAAGCATCATAAATTAATTTGTCGATTATTTATTTGTTATTATTTTTGTCTCCAAAAAATGAAAGATAAAATAATATAGACGTAGGTGTTTAGATTTTATAAGTACATATTTTTTATTAGATACACAAATAAAATAATAGATAATTTTAGGTCATATAATGCTAATAAATATTACTTTTAAGTCGACGATATGCAGTTATATATGGGATAACATAAGCCAGTTAGAATCCTATTTCTCGCTGCGCTATACTCGTAGACCTAAGCTCTAAATATTTGGCACGTGGTCTGTTTACATAATAAGGTTTAAATTGGTTTATCAGATTGGATCGGCAGATATATCTCAATAAAATACGCTGTGCACTGTTATAAAAGTTACAATTAGTACCCTAACCTTTAGCCATCTCTCCATAAATTTTTCCATCTCTCCATAAATTCTTCACGGGATGTGTTTAATTACTCGTACTCTACATCTGAAAACAAGCAAATTATAGATGGCAAATGAACTTTATTTCAGAAGCAGAGTGTAAGAAACGATGGCGTTCTCTACGAGATTCTTTTATCAAGCTGCAGCGCACCCACGGAGGACGCACTCGATGGCCGTATCTTCACGCTATGCGATTTTTATTACCACACGTAGAGCCTAAAAGCGATACACCGTGAGTATACAAAATTAAGGAATACAAAAAATAAGTATCATTAACTTCTCTTCTAATTGTCCATAATTAGTCTGAAAACAAATTTAATATGCACAAAAAAATTGATACCTTGGAGAGTGGCAGTTACCTTGGAGAGTTCAAAAAGCCGTGCGTCCTGCACCTTATCTTTTATGACTTTCATAGAAAATCAATAGAAATTAGAATACACTTGTATCTGCGCGTAAACATACACTTACCTATACAATATCGCCTATGCACTTGGTTACCAAAATTCGGTCTGTAGAATAATACAATATCAATAATAGAACAAAGGCCTTGATTACAACTAATCATGTTATAGCGTATACACTGATATTTCCAATTTAATAAGATGTCACTAATTTGATTAATCAGTATTTTTGATCATAAATTATTATGTACTTCAATATTCTAGTGCTAAACGAGAGACCTCGGACTCCGAGCCTGATGAAGAGCCTCGACAGCGACCTGGACACTCTCTACCGGACCTTTCTTTCTCCGAATCTCGAGATTTAGAAGACGATGAAGACTCCCAACCTGCTAAGAAAATGCGACTAAACTCTACCGAAGAGGAACCATGTCAATGTAATAGAACCGATCCGGATGAGTTGTTTCTATTGAGTTGCGCTTCAACTCTAAAACGATTAAATTCCAAGCAAAATTCTGTTGCTCGACTCAAAATACAGCAGGTCTTGTATGAGGCTGAGTTTGGGTGTCAGATGGAACTACCCTATGTAACACCAGCCAGCGAATGTGGCTTCGAAAACGTCGAAGGCTCTGTAGAATGATGTCAAATTATTATATACGATCCATTTGAAATACTTTGCAACAGAACAGAGTTATAACATTAAAATTCATATTGAGTATTTCAAAGTTTTCATTAATTTCTAGGTTAGATAAAATAAAGCTTAAATATTTATAATATTTTAATTTTGGTTAAAGATAGATACAAAATAATCTGAAAAAATCTGTCAGTCATTTTTAAAAGTATTTTAGTCTTTCCATATTGATAAGCAGTTATCATTGTTCACTTTTGATCCTCATTAGTTTTAGTAATAATAAAATCTTCCGTAATATTAATATTTATATAATATAAGACGTATTACGTATCCGCTTCATACATTATTTAATTTACGTTTCCACTTTTTAAGTACTTTTGTAATTAATTATGTTAACAGATTCATAGTTATACTTATGTTTTAAATATAGATTAAAAATATTATAAGTTGAATTTCTAAGTTTTATCTTTGTTTTAAAAAATATCTTGTATTTATTGAGTCATTTGTAATTAATTGTTCTTTATAAGTCAGGTGTAGAATAACAAATTGTAGGAAAATAGTTTGGAATTCTGTATACATTTCAAGCTTCTAGTCATTTTTATCTGATAGTTTATAATATACAATCGTATTACAATTAAAGAGAATTTATTAATATAAGATACGTGGAATTTAAAGATAAGAAATATTTGACCCAACGCCATTTTAAAAAAAAAAACTTTTAAATGTTCACGAATAAAGATATTTCGCAATATAAAAGATGTTTTAAAATTCTATTATATAGGTAATCCTTATAGTTTTAATAATACATTATCAACTAACTGCAAGCAAAATTGAAAAATCATTTAGAAATTAGTTACGATTGTCTCGCGCTTCAGGGCGTAACCAAGGCCGGTGTAATAAATACACGAGAATACCTATATTATGTATCGGTGTCAAAGTTAGCCGTCGTATTTTTAAGAATTAATTCGAATGAAATGAAAATACTTGTTATACCAAGTAATTTTCAAGATATAGTACATTAAAATGTACTGGATTGAACTTAAAAACTATGAACGCTAAAACAAGTTTACTGTCATTTTTGTCTTTGGGCTCTACTTAATAGAAATATTTAAATTCTCCATTCTACGTGCTTACGTTCATTGCAGAAGTAATCTGTGCTTAACTGACACGCTTTGAAGCCATTAACAACAGAATTGAATTGAATTGAAATATTAAAAGAAAAACTAGAGCTCCAAAAGCAATTTTTTTAAATACAAAGAATATCGATACAAGCATGGGCGGCGACAGAATTATTTCTAAGGTGGTGCATCTGCTTCTTCTATCATTAAACTACTAACTAATCTATTTTATCATTTTTATTCATATATTATATTAAATCTGTTTATAGTTTGGGACTGATTGCAGATTAGCACAAATAAAAATCTTATGTAATATCTTTTTTTTTATTTAAACAAGGATTTTACTAATATAATTTTTAATTCTTTAAGTTTTTCTATAAATTTTCCTTCATGGCAGGGGGGTGTAAGTGCACCCCCTTGCACCCCTCTCCTGGCGCCCATGGATATAAGTAAACAAGAATAGATTCTGTGTACATACATTTATATCCTTAATCCACAACTGTTACAACTAACAAGAGCAATTAACAAGATCAGAAATAACGGCTTTAACGATTAGGGACTGTCGCCCACATTATACAGCAGCATGACAGCTATATACATACATATATAGGTGCATGCACTTTGTATACACAAAGTAAAAAAAGGCCAGATTTTAAATATATTTACATTTTATACTTATTTAAAGTAGACCCCTGTTATGATAGGCCACATTGACCTTTTAGATATCTCTTGATTCTGTTCTAAGATTAGAAAAAGATTTTACTAAATAGGTACCTAACTGTCAGGGCCGGATAAAGGGCCTCGCTATCGGATATTCCCCTGGGGGCCTGACGAACCAAGATTTTATTTTCAAAATGCTTCATCGAGTAAAAATTTAGTTTGAACAATTAAAGAATTAGGTAAAAATTTCACCATAAGGACAAATAGAACAGTTAGATTTCTATCTAATAGAGTAAATATGAATATGATTGCATTGTGGTAGAAAAAATGTATTTCAATAAGTTAGAAAAGGGTATAGGGCCCCTGAAAATTATATCGCCTAGGGGCCCCGGCATGATTAATTAGGCCCTGCTAAGCTACAGAGCTCAGCAAGAAAGAAGACAAAAAGAAGCTAATTTCTAACATAAATATAAGTAATACACTAGTGTAGGTAAGATATAACAGTTTTTTAAATCATAACGATTCATGACATTGCGGAATGACATTCAGTACCTAATCGGAAATGAGAGTCAATGACTTATGCACTTAATTATTATAAATATGTAATCTATAATATATCCATACTAATATTATAAATATGAAAGTGTTTGTTTGTTTGTTTGTTTGTTTGTCTTTATTTGAGATTATCTCATTCCCACGGGAAGACATACCCCACCAACATAACCCAAAAAATATTTATGATCAAAATTACTTGAATTTTGCTCTTCAATAAAATTAAATAAATAACTGTTTTAGCATTTCTCGAAATTCATTCTATAAGGGGGTAAAATAGGGGATGAAAGTTTGCATGAAACTACCTTTTTAGTTTTTTTCTGTAGTTTTAGCGCGAGTGAAGCCTCGGGTTCTGCTAGTATTATATAAAAATCGATTTCCGTTCTTCAATCTCGCTAAAACTCAAAAACTGAACTGATTTGAATAATTCTTTTTTTGTTTTGCTTCAGTACAGGAATTACCTATTTTCATTTGTAAAATACATATTTTAAATAATATAACATTATCGGATAGTCACCACCTGCAGTGCTATACTATAATTATTTACTCGAGTATTTTTACCTATCACAGTATTTTTGTGTTGTGTTAAAACAATATATTTATTTCTTTGCAAAAATAAATCGGTCAAGTGCGAGTCGAATTCGCACACGAAAGGTTCCGTACCATCGTACATGTACTTTTTATTAATATGACTTTTACTCTAAATGTATTGTATATTAACTTCGATGATCGATTACGATCGTTAAAAAAATGTTTTTTGTATCATTATTTTTATTTTTAATTATTTTTATTATTTGTTGTTATAGCGGCAAAAGAAATACATACTCTGTAAAAATTTCAACTCTCTATCTATTACGGTTCATGAGATACAACCCTCTGACAGACGGAATGATAGCAGAGGCTTAGTAATAACTAATAGAGTTCCCTTGGCACTTTTCGGGTACGAAACCCTACAAATTAATCTAACAACGCGAACATAACAATTAAGTAAGCGATAATTATTTACTTTGACGAATAGCTATCGATGTTAATTGAATAAATAACTTCTGAAATATGCTAATTAAGGTAAAATGTGTAATTTTAAATAAATAATGCAGTTTAATATTTTTATAATTAACTAATAAAATAATTACAACAACGGGGTCATCGTTACAATTATATTACACTAGATTTCGCCCGCAGTTCGGTTTGCGTGATCGGTAGCCATTTTTATATAAAAATGGCTTATACTAGAGTCTATATAATATAATAATTATACATTCTGAGTCGTTGAGTCGAAAGTTGTATCGAAATATATTGTAAAACAATGAAACACTTTTCCTGTATTAATCGTTATAAAGTGTATGTGCTATTCCGGACTATAATCTATCTCTGTGCCATCCAGATCCGTTCAGCTGTTCTGACGTGATTGAGTAACAAATATCCATTCATCCAAACTTTCGCATTTATAATATGAATGGGATCAAAGTTATTATTTGAAACAAGTAGAATGTATTCGTGCGTAAACACTATACTGTTAGAGAAACTCATTAATTAGCTACAAAGCATGGTAATTAAGCAGTGTTGTAAAATATTTTGTGTCGTATTACATTTACATCTTTTTTTATGAAAAAATATTAAAATTAGGACTTTAAAAAAAATTGTATTTATAAAAAATCTTTTTTGTGTGAAAAAATTTTTTTCAAACATTTGTTTTTAATAATTAAGATGCAAAAGCCGAAAGCATTGAATAAACTCTTTGTACAATATTTGTTCAATATTTTTATACTTTTAGAAATCGTATCAATGGAATATTTATAACAACTGATATCAAGCATCCCACGCTTCTTTAACAAAAAAAAATATTTTTTCCTTAATCATTTTATTCTTATATACAAATAAAAATCATTATAGCCTGTTTTTAAGTTTTTCAATCTATAATTTTCCATTTTTTAGTTTGATCTGCTATAAACAATTAGGTGGAACTAATAAAAGCGTGTTAATAAGAACACGTCTCTTAAAAACTGCAATACATTATTGCAACTTGTCAAAACGAATTAATTGTCGAAGGTTTTACAAATGGAATTAGGTATAAGATTAGTTTGGAGGTATTAAATTATTGTTTTGTATTTCAAATAGCTACTATAAAACATTACCACAGTAACATAGTAAGAACTAGACGAGTACCTAGTTAGTTAATTAGTTACTTATTTAGTTAACTATACCAGGCAGTGGTAGCTCAGTGGTAACGCGCTCGCTTGGGAAACCGAGTAAAGCGGGTTCAAATTCCGGGTCTCGAAATGTCTCGGGTGAAGGAAAACATCGTGAGAAAATCTGCATGTCTGAGATAACCTAGCAAGTTTTCAAAGACGTGTGAAATCCGTCAACCCGCACTTGGCCAGCTTGGTGGACTATGGCCTGATCCCCCTCGTATTGAAGGGATGCCCGTGCCCAGCGGTGGGACATTAAAAAGGGTTGAATACTAGTTAACTATAATGAAGCTGAAAAAGTGTGTCTAAATAATGTAGAATTATCAATAAGGACAATGCAATCAATACATCTCTACCTCTTCACTACATTCTATTACATTTAATTGCTAATAATTGTGTAGCGCGTGATTAGTTAAACGTTTAAATTATATATTTAATTAGTACTAAGCACTTTATACAATAGAATAAATGTGCGTATAGTAAATCTACTAAGTGTATTTATTATTAAGACTTAAGACTAGTATCAGTCAGCGACTCTGTCGAGATGTTAGGATAGGAAAATTCGTATTTTTAATATTATAAATGTGAAAGTTTGTGAGTATGGATGTTTGTTACTCTTTCACGCCAGAACCACTGGACGGATCTAAATAAAATTTGGCACAAAGATAGATTATAGTCTGGAATAGCACATAGGCTACTTTTTATTCCCGAAAAATGTACGGTTTCCGTGGGATAGGTTCGTTTTTATAATATAATATTATCGTTTATGTTTTTATAATATAATTTGTTTTTATAGTATAATAACATGCATTCGGGCGTCCTCTACGGTTCTACCCGCAATTCGTAAATAAGAAAATTCTTAATAAAATGAGTTGAGCTGTTCATCCATTTTCCTCTATTCTTTTGTTACCAAAACAAAAAGAATCTAGATGATTCTGTGGACCAAATCTGTGTTTCTACTAAGAAAATCACATTAAAATCGATTGAGTCGTTTCAGAATCTACCGAATACAACATAATTATTTTAAAACAAATAACAGATAGAACGTCCAGTTTTATATTAATGTAAACGAGACTACTAGCTATTAAGTAATGACTTCGATTTTTTGCAAAAACAGTTTATTTGAACGGGGTCAATATCCGTAAAGACAGAAGTACATATTATTAGCCATATTATGTAGGTTAGGCAGTGGTAGCTCAGTGGTAACGCGCTCGCTTGGGAAACCCAGTAAAGCGAGTTCAAATCCCGGGTCTCGCACATCTGATACTTTCATGTGCGAATCATTTCCAACATGATTACCACTTGTCTTAACGGCGAAGGAAAACATCGTGAGAAAACTTACATGTCTGAGAGAAACTACCAAGTTTTCAAAAGACATGTGAGGTCCGCCAATCCGCTCTTGGCCAGCGTGGTGGACTATGGTCTGATCCCCCTCGTACTAAAGGGAGGCCCGTGCCCAACAGTGGGACGTTAAAAAGGGCTGAATACATTGTAGGTTAATCTTGTAGTATAAGTTAGTGAGGAGAAAACATCCAAATGACACTTCCAGTATGCTTTTCGAATAATCCTGAAGTGGTGAATTACTTAGATTTATCTATATATTATACTAGCTACTCACCCTCGCTTCTCTTGGGTTCGTCCTTAGGTATGTTTTAAAGGTTATTATGGAAAATATAGACTATACATATACATCGACGACACGTTTGGCTCAGTATGTAGTAACCCTACTTGCTGTGCCAGCGGTTGCGGGTTCGAATCCCGCTGGGGGCATTCATTTGTGTGATGAGCACGAATGTTTGTACTCCAGTCATGGGTGTTTATATTTATAATATGTATGTATTTAAAGTTATATATATGTAGTGTATCAACTATATAGTATCCATAACACAAGCCTCGTAGCTTACCATGGAACTAGATGGTGCTGTGTGTTAATGTCCAAACATATTTATTATTTATTTATTATTATAGATAAGGGCTTTAAAAAAACTTGAAATCATCCCGTATTTGTCATTGATTGGTAATAAACGCCGAAATATTCTTTATTTCGTATCAAAATTATAATGATTTTCTTGTTTGTAAATTGATTATAAAAATGATCTATTCCCAACACAAACGTTTAGCCCCTATTTCACCTCTTTGAAGTTTTATTTTTGCGACAAAGAGTACTATGTCCTTCTCTAAAGTCCATTAAAATAAAGTGCCAAAGCGAAATGAGGTTAAGTCACTAGTCTATACATATAATAAAATTGTAACTAAGTCGAATCTGTACATTAAATATTTTTTGGAAAATCTAATTGAAATAGACATTGTTATCGATACAGAGTCCGAATCTATAGTTTAATAGTTACCGTATCACGAGAAAACCAATGGACAGATTTTGATGAAATTTGGTATGATGATAGTTATCCGGGTCAACATATAGGATACTTTTTACTGCCGAAAAATATCTCATTTCTGAGAAAAGATACAAAAACTGCATTGTAAGAGTATACTAATATGTAAAGCCTAAGAATTTGGTTTTTGGTCATCTAAACGCGGGCGGAGCCGCGGGCAATGCTAGTACAATATAAACAATTAATTAATTATTCGATTAAATCAAACGTGCTAAGTCAGACAAAACACTTTATCTTTGCTGTCACATGCTTGCATAAATTATAAAATTAATCATTTTTAAGTAACTCGATGCCTATTAATTTATAAACGCTACAATACTTCGATAAGAAGTGTAATTATAAGTGTCTTCAAAATAAACAATGAATTTATATAATAAATATACGATGTTATTATTGATAATAAAATAATTACGTATTATATGTATATGTACATAAGTATGTATGTTCATACATGAATGATATTATATGTATAATGTATATTGTACTAGTGAATCAACCTCGCTTCGCTCGGCTTCATTTCAAGGTTGCTTCCCCATACAAACTTTCATTCCCATTTTCACCCCCTTAAGCGATGATTTTTGAGATAGAACCTTCCCAGGGTCTCAAACTTTTTCTTGCCTCACTTAAATTTCATCTAAATCAGTTCAGTTCAGTAGTTTCGGAGCCTATTCGGTACAAACAAAAAAATCTTTCCTCTTTATAGTATAAGTAAATGTGTATGCATCAAAATTTTATATCTAGAAATATTTTTTATTTTATACAAGTTACAGAACTTTGAACTATATTTGTAAGTAAATACTAATATATTGGCAACATCGTTAAACTTTTTAAATAAAATATATTAGTAGATAGGTAATATTTATTTTATTATTTAGTAGCTCTTCATTTGTTGTCAATTAAGTATCTAATATAATAAGTTTTGACTAATATAATAATAAGAAATATAATATGATATCTTTTTATTTATATGGATTATATAAAAATACAAAACCACTGTTAAAAGTAAAATATCACATTTAACTTATTAACTAGCTTAAATTTATCATTCGCTAACCTATACCTACTTTATACATAATTTCATATGGAAATATACACGTATGTTTGTATGTCTTTAAACGAACAAACAAGTTGTTATAAATACATTGTACAACATGTAATAACAATAAGCAATCGATTTAAATTTTTCTAATTAGTTAAATAATCATAGAATGATGTTAACTGTCGGGACTGCAACGACTGGTTGTTCGTGTACCGTCAACTCGTTGCCATATCTTTGGAGAAGTTCCAAAATTACGCCATTGGTCCACCCAAAACCATCCTGGACTTGATATTCGCCTCCTCCACCTTGATGACCTGGCTGGACAGCACTGTACTTCTCGAACATCTTTTGCCAAGTACTATATCCTATATAATTCGATCGTATCCATATTTTAGCTTGTTCACGTGCCAATTGTTTTGCTTCATTGTTACCACTTCTATCTAACCCACCTATTAAAATACTTTGCAACGGAGGCCATGCGTTAGGGAAATCCCATTGTTCACCAGAGTGTAGAATTGAGGCAGGGATACCACCAGGAAAGTTAAGTGCTCCGGAAGATAATAGATACTTTACTAATTTTGCTGCATATTTAGGCGCATCGTATTCCTCAACAGCGTTTGCCCACAGTGGTGTAGCACAGCTCGGATAGAAATATTTTATAGGTGACTTTGTTTGTATATCATAATCATACCAAACTCCATCGACGGCATTCCACATTACATTGTCAATAGCTTTTCGCCAATACTTTGCTAAGCTCCACCACTTTTGAGCTTCACGTCGGTCTTTTAGTTTATTTCGAAAATCACCAGCGAGTTGAAGAGCTCCCGCAAAGATGGAATTTAAATCGACGGGTACAATTTGTGTCGCGTGTATATTAGTTAAGTTGCCATTGACCTCCTTACCAGCTGTTCCAAACCATCGAGTGGAAAAATCCCATCCACTTTCCGCTGCACTTTTTATTTCCGTATAAAACTCTTGACGTAAATTATCATTTGGCAAGATTTGAGCGTTTGTAAAGTCTTCATAATAAGATTCTGGCCGCGGCCCAATTATATTTCTATCAGCTATATATCTCAATAATATATATTTTTTCCCATTGACTTCAATTGTTACTTTTTTCATATTCAACCAATATTGTAATTCCTTTTCTAATGTTCCAATATGTCGTTCGAGCCACGCAAGATCTTTTGTAGTAGAAACGTAATTAGCCATCATTGCTGCCAATAACGGCGGTTGACTTCTTCCTAGATAATATGCGCGACTTCCATTGGGAATATATCCAAATTTCTCAACTAAGTATAATAAATTTTCGATCATACCTCTGGCTGTTTGCAACATATTACTTATTAGAAGCCCGCGTATCATCCAAAATGAATCCCAGTAATACAATTCCTTAAATCGACCTCCAGGCACAATAAATCCATTTGGTACGTATAAAAAACTATATCGGTCTGAATTAATCTTGACATCTTCTTGCACTTTTCGTCCCAACTTTAGCCATATAGAAATAATATTTTTTGCAAATATACGTAGCTTAGGGTCTGATATTTGCTGAAGGATTGTCGGGACAGGGTCAAAATCTAGTGGCTTCCATACTTCTAATTCATTACCTTGTAAAAAATGTTGATCTATAAATATTGCAAGCTGTTCTCGTGATGGATTTTGATTCGTATCCTGCATGAGTTTAGCAAAATCCGCCAAGGTTTCATTTTCAGAATATTGTAATTTTAAATCTACGAAATTTTTAGAATCGGGGAAAATCCGCGCCAACTGTACTCTATGAAGAAGATCTCCAGAGCAATATATTGATGAATTACATATTGGTACCACTGTGAGAGCTTGAGCACAGCCGAGCAATCCTAGCACTGGATACAACGAAATATATCGCCTAAACTTTTGCACTAGCATTTTTTATTAAATCGGGAATAAGCTCGCAGAACATAACCTTTGGACCGTGGCGTTGAAGCCAACCGATTGTGCGAGCGTTCGGCCGGCAACTGTTATTAAGAATATCGCGAGCCATGGTCTATGTGTGTCAACACGATCTAGATCTAGGAACATACTTAAACGCTTTCACTGCCATAACTGCAAAAATAACACAATATTTATCAATGGGGTCTCGTGTCCGTCGCACTTCTGTCAATTTGACGTTTCAATGTTACATGATTAGACGTTATCACTTGTCTATGCCGGGGCAATGACTTATCTATGTAAATTACACGCTTAAAATTAAAGCAATAATTACATTATCATTTTTTTCTTCATTTGCGTATTAAATTATATTATTTTACCTTAAATTAAATTTAATTCTCGTTAATATTTATTTTCATACACATTATCAAATAAGGAATTCGAGTGTTTGAATAATTTGTATACTTAGAAGATTAAAAAAACGTAAATGTTAAAAACAATTCATTCATGATCAAAGTCGAAAACTATTTACTTTAAGTTACGTATTTATTTTCAAAAAATTATTTGTTAAATGTTTGTGCAAATATAAAAAGACAATATGATTATTTTTGAATATATTATTTCAATGTAGCGCCTACAAAATTTACATTATTTAAACGTAAGAAATGACTTTGCTATTTAATATTTATTATACTATATTTCCAAAGGACATCAATTGTATCCCTTATTCTGTTCAACTAATAATATTTTTAGTTGTCTATAATTAATAAAAATAATGTTTTGTAGAAATTTATTTTGTTTTGCTCGCTATACTGTGACCTTATTCCTACCCAGAGCTACGATTTTGAATGAAAATAATAATAATACCAATTTAATACCTGTGTCAATAATAATAATTAAGTACTATTGATATACTTTCTTAGATTTACGCGAATATTAGACATTTTTAAATAGACAGAATAGTTGGAAACTCCTGTGACCATGATTACCGTAAAGCATTCGAAACGTCGCGGGAAACAAAAATCAAAATAAATTCGCGAAAAAATCCGAAAACTATTAGTTTTAATATTACAAAATAATAATCCGAGCATTTACTTTGTAGTCACGAGCAAAAATCAAATCATAGAAAAGCTTTAGCAGTTAATTCTTATTATAATGTGATACTTCATTTAAGCTTCAAAATATTCCAAAATAATCTTGTTCTCGTTCTTTTAATTTATAATGGTGAGTTAAATACCCTTGCTTCACTCGGTGCCTTTTGCGATTTGATACAAAAACATCGATTTTTCTTTATTCATCTTCTATACATATAAGAAAATTGTAACAAGCTGAATCTGTTGGTACATTAAATATTTTTTTGAAAATCTTACTGAAATAGACATTATTATCGATACAGAGGCCGAAACTATACTTTTTAGAATTTTTGTCTGTCTGTCTGTCTGTTACCGCATCACCGAAAATCCACTGGAGGGATATTGATGAAATTTGGTATGATGATAGCTGGTTATCCCAGTCAACATATAGGATACTTTTTACTACGGGAAAATATCTCACCTCTGAGAAATCTATACTACATGTTGAAATGCAAGTAGGGACGAACCCGAGCGGAGCGATGGTGAGTCGCTAGTTTCTTATAAATTTAGAGCTTTTAGAGCTAAAACGTAAGCAGGGGCGGACCCGAGCAAAGCAAGGGTGAGTCTCTGGTATAATATAAAATTCATGTATTCATCGTATGGAAAATCGATCATCCTCTATTTCTGTACTATCGAAATAAATAAAGTACAACAAAAGCTGTCTTCGAGAAATCGGCGAAAATACAAAAATATACATATATACATGCAGATGAAGATCTGCATGTATATATGTATATTTTTGTTCCTTCTATTTGGAAGTCAGCTATAAGTTGTGGTCTATTACTGAAATTTACTCTTATTGCGATTTAATTAGTGCGATAAAGAATTTCTGAGAAAACCATGATCTTGTAGGCCAAGGTTGACAAATATTATCCAATTAAACCAAATACGTATATTAATTATTATTATTTAACTTTATTAAATTCTTTCATACAAAAAAAATAAACTTTCCGATACAATAATTTTCATCCTGTGAAAATTAGTTTTTATTGAAATTAAAAACTTGAAAATTAGTTTATTGAAAATCAATTTTAGATTTTAAGATGTTTGATGAAATCTAAAGTTAAAAATAGTACAAGTACTTTTCAATATCTCGTATATAACTTAGTTGCTGTTTTGAACATGTATCTAAATATGTATATACCATCATAAACCGTAAGTTCAAAAAAAAACAAGGTAAAGACACAGCCTTTATTTTATTAAGTACATAATTGGTAACTTTACACACACATTTGCATTATTATAACAATTTCAACATGAAAGGATATCAACGGTTTTAATATATTTATTTAGTATATACTTAAAGTAATAGGAAATAATAAAAATAACTTTATACTTAAATTATAACAATAACCAGGTTATTTTAATTTTTACTGTCCTTAAATCGAGGGTAATAACTATGCCATAAACAACTAAACAAACTGTATCGTTTAGCACTAACCAGGGATGATCGTTCCCTATATTTTTCCTAAGCTAAAGTTAGATCATACTTCATTTTAGGCATAGACATTTTTTTTATTAATTAGGTTTTACACCCGTATTACGTAAATCTTTCTCATGATATGATTGCTTATGTGGACGTAAATTAACCTTTTTATTTGAAATCTTGTTATTTTTTTTATTCAGCTAAACATACATATGTCGTTGATATGTCATAGAAAAATATGCGAAAGATACAATGCCTTTTTGTAGGTTAATAACATAACAAAGTAATAACATAGTATGTATTACATAACAAAGTTAACAAAATCTAGTATTCGTCTATTAGGTATTTCGTCTAAGAAGTTCCCTACTATAATATTTTATGTTGCTATTGTTATATATTATTTTTATTTAATTATATATAGACAAAATAAATATTTAAAACATGGCACTTGTTCTTAGCTAAAAAATATATTTAAACCACGTCTTAACATAATTATTTTAAAATTTGTTGTTGTACTACAATATAATATTAATAAACATCTCTAAAACTACCTATAACTTGAAAAAATAACAATATATACATATATTTAGGAAACTCAAGCACATTATAGCGTTGTAAATTTTAAATAACATGTCCGTGTAATGTCCGTGACATTTACTATTCTTCACTTTTAATTACTTTCTGTTGGCGCAAGTTCTTTTACAGAATCTTTCAGATCATCGACTTTTCGAGGGGTATCTGAATAATAAGCATTATCGTATGCAGTCATTCTCCTGCCATACTTCGCAAGGAACTCTAATATCACACCATTGGACCAGCCAAAGCCTGCCTGCACAGTATACTCGCCCCCACCGCCCACCCTTCCGGGCACTTCAGCGTCATATTTTTCGAACATTTGTTTATTAGCTACAAACCCAGTACGGCACGATCGAACCCAATTTTGAGCAATTTTGAAACCCATTTTTATCGATTCCTCAGTTTCTAAAGCCTCTAAAGCATTCACTGTAATACTAACTAGTGGTGGCCATGCATTAGGGAAGTCCCATTGTTCACCACTTCTTTTTAAAGAAGTAGGAACACCTCCAGGATAATCTAACCCGTGCGATGTACTCAGCCATTTGAAAATTTTGGGGGCTTTAACTTTAACAAATAATTTATCGACCACGCCCATCCATAATGGAGCAACGTTACTAGGGTAAAAGTATTTTCGGTGTTGTTTGTTTTCTAAATCCCAGTCGTACCAGATTCCGTCTTTGTCATTCCACAGTACTTCTTTAATAGAGTTACGCCATTGATTTGCAAGATAGGCCCAACGAGAGCCTTTTCGTCGCTCCCCAACTAAGGTTTGAAAATAAGCCATATTTTGAAGAGCATTGGCAAATATAGAATTAAGGTCAACGGGTATAATTTTGCTAGTATGAATTGTAGTTAAATTGCCATTATTATTACCATCTTTATTAATAAACCAACGAGAAGAAAAGTCCCAGCCACTCTCAGCTGCACTTTTTATGTCGGTATAGAATTCTTGCTGCCGTTCCGGAGTGTCAAATATTTGAGCACTCTTATAATCTTCGTAGTAGGACTCAGGTCTTGGTCCTTCACTTGGTGCGTAGTACCTAAGCAGCGTATAGGTTTTTTTATTTACTTCAAATGTCACTACTTGGCTATCTAACCAATATTTTACCTCCTCTTCAAGGTATTTTATATTTTGTTTTAAAAATTCTATATCTTTCGTCTCTCGAATGTACATAGATACCATAGCTGACAAAAGCGGTGGTTGACTACGTTCTTGATAATACCATCTACTTCCATTAGGAATATGGCCTAGCATTTTCAACAATTGTATTAAATTTCCTAATACTCCTTTAACGGTGCTGTCCATTCCACTAATAAGAAGTCCTTCAATAATCCAATATGTGTCCCAATAATACAATTCCTTAAAACGACCTCCAGGTATAATAAAACCGTTATCTACAGGAATCAAACTGTAATGATCGGAATTTTCAAAGACATCTGCTTTAACTTTTCTTCCTAATGTAGGCCATATATTGTTTATATCTTTTCCGAATTGCCTTAATACTTCATCTCGAATGACAGCCAAGAAGGGAGGTTCGGGGGTATAATCTGGTGGTGTCCAATTTTCCAGTTCACTTATCGAGTCGAAATAAGAGTCTAGAAACGCTTGAATTTGCTCATTGGTTGGGCTATTATTGGTTTCTTTGAGTAATTCATCAAAAGCAGCGACGGTGGTATTTTGATCTTTTTTTAAGCGAAGGTCCACGAAGGTTTTGGAGTCTGGGAAGATTCTAGATTTTTGAACATAGTGAAGTAAGTTACTCTTGCAATAAACTGGCTTACTACATGAAAGTGGGAGTTCTTCGGCGTAGACAAATGATAAGAATAAAACTAGCAGGACCAGCTTCATCTGGAAACAAAAAAAAACTTTTAGTGTTAAAATTTTTAATGCATTTCGAATGTATTTTGCAATAAAACTTCGAGGTCACCTTCATAAAAAGATTTTAATTGTTTAACTAATCGAAAATAATCTTTTCGGCAACTATCCTTAAGATCTCGTTGTGGCGTAAAACGCAATCTCGAACAGGAAAAGAAAAGCAAAAACTTGATTTTATAGATATGTACTTAAATTTTATTAGGTTGATCTTTATTTGTCGTAAATTGTTTTATTTCATAGGTATCATTTTCGATTCGTTAGTATAGTAGTTGTGCATAAAAGTCTACTAAACTTGAATGTCATTTTATAAAAAAAATAACATCTCAAATAATAAAAGCTAAAGAATATTGGAGACTGGTGATTCATATTTTCCACGTTCTCCAACAAAGAATACGTAGTCCATAAGCCTGCCAAGCTTAAAACCACTGTATGTTTTTAACTATAATAATTTATTGCAAATGATACCCGATTTAATAGTTAACTAAAAATAACAAGGAATCCTAAAAAATAGTATAGGTTCGTTTGGTTTGGTGCATGAATAGAGCAAAAGGATGTAACCAAAATCTATTCATTTACTGTCAGCACGTAACTCCCACTTGACCGACATTTTCAATAAAATTACAGATAATGATAACATTCCAGAAATTTTGATTAATCATATTAAGTGCTATACTAAATAATTATCTTGTATCACAAACTAGGAGTTCGTTTTCGGAAAATACTTAATTATTATAAACGAAGCCTAAAGGGTTGGCTTTATCTGTACCATTCGAGAAATATGATATCATTATAATAATGGACGTGATAGCGTACAAGTATCCAGCGAATGAATGTTCAACAATTGTTTATTTCGAAGGCATATCTATTGCATTTTGATGCAAATGTTTGTCATCTTATGACGTTTTACATCCTCATAGGAAAACCAGCCGAAACTACGTAGGTACTTAGCGCTCATACTTCCTGTTAACTTATACATATATGTATTATATTATATCTCTAACCAAACGCTTCCAATACGAATCACCATAACTCTGAATATTCCTTAATAAAAAAATATAGTTTAAAAAAACTAAAAAACATGCATTAATATGAACCGAACTAAATTGTAAAAAATAATTCTTATTATAAGAATAAATAAATAATAAATATATATAAATATATTGGGACATTAACACACAGCACCATCGAGTTCCATGGTAAGCTACGAGGCTTGTGTTATGGATACCAGACAGTTGATACACTATACATATATAACCTTAACTACATACATATTATAAATATAAACACCCATGACTGGAGTACACACATTCGTGCTCATCACACAAATGAATGCCTCCAGCGGGACTCGAACCCGCGACCGTTGGCACAACAAGTAGGGTCACTACAAACTGGCCAAACGTGTCGTCAATCAAAAAATAATGAAATGATTAACGAAAAATGTGTTATTGTGAAAAAAGGGAGGGAACATTTTTTACTTCTTAGTTCGGTTCATCATTAAAGCGTGTTTCTTAGTTTTATAGTACAAGCATGGTAATATGCATTACATTACCGTGGTATAAGTAATTTATTATCTACTTTTTGGTTTGATCTGCTATAAAAGCGGGTTTTTTGTTGATTAAACTATTGTTTTAATAAATTATATTATTACTAGTATTGCCCGCGGCTCCACCCGCGTTCAGATGACCAAAAGCCAAATTCTTAGGTTTTACATATTAGTACATTCTTATAATGCAGTTTTTGTATTTTTTCTCAGAAATGAGATATTTTCCTGCAGTAAAAAGTATCCTATATAGTGACCCGGATTACCAGCTATCATTATACCAATTTTTATCAAAATCTATGTAGTGGTTTCCCGTGATGCTGTAACAGACAGATAGACAGACAAAAATTCTAAAAACTATAGATTCGGCCTCTGTATCGATAATAAAATCTATTTCAATAAGATTTTTCAAAAAATATTTAATATACAGATTCGGGTTAGTTACAATTTTATTATATGTATAGAATTTTTTAATAAGTTATTGTATTGTCATGGGTCTCAGTCTCTTGATAAGTGTGCTAAACAAGTTAATCTGACGTTTTGAAGTGGTTAAAAATCGCGTTCAAATATTTCTTCAAATATTACATAGATAGATAGATGTTAGATAGATACAGGTGATGCAACAAAGGCCTGTTGAAAACTGTTGTTGAAATAACATATTATAATTATTACATATATATATTTTTATATATATATTTTTCTTCTACTATTGTACCTTGAATAAAGTTTTTTTAAATAAGGGCAGCACTGTAGAAAATCTACTTTTCAGAAAGTATAATTTACCCGAAGGTTCTAGTCTACGTTTGATTTTATAACGATGCTTGTATCGCTCACAGAAGAGTATTTTTGTATTTTGTTTTTAGGTAATTCTACAACCCCTCTTCATATAAAAAGGTATATCTCTTTTTGCAATATTTACGTATGTGACTATAAACTAATAATAATTTAGGTACCCTTAAATATTCCTGATCAGATATAAGTATTGTGTATTAAAAGACAAAGGTTATTCTTTCACACTTCCAATTTGTAAAAAACAAGCAAACTCCCAAAAAATAAATTATTGTGTACATAACTGATTTTTTTAGTTAATATTTGCATACATAACAATTCGAATCAAATGAACCTTGACCCAAATTATGGCAATGCCAAATATATTTTAGCCCGCATGAAAGAGTAAAGAACTCTACTATACTATTTAAATTACACTAGTCGTGTCCCGCAGATTCGCTGCCTTTTATTATTATTAGTACTACCGGCTTATCATCGCTTCGCTCGGGTGCGTCCTTATGTACGTTTTAAATAGAACGTTTTGAATAGGTATATGTAAATAGTTATTGCGTTGCATATTTTTTGTGCTCTACATCCTTAAATTCAAGCTTAAACTTAAGAAATGATAGGCTCCCCATACAAGCTTCTATCCCATATTCCAGCTCCTCCGATTTTTTTGTTTTTGTGATAAAAGGTATATATACTGCTGCAAAGTGCAATCTGTCTCTATACGGAAATTCATAAAAATTAGTTTAACGAGTTTGGCGTAAAAACAAACAATCAAACAATTTTTTGCATTAATAACTTTAGGGATTATTTTTATTATAGGTCTAACTCTAAGTCATTTAAGGAAAAATCCATTGAGCAGTTAGTGATATAATTATGCATGGATATATATGAGTAGATATGACAGGAAACTTGTTATATACTATGTATTATTAGGTATAAATAATAATATTCATTGATGATTGGTGTAATAAAAATAATTAATGTAAACAGCCTATAATAAATTATATATCAATATGCGTGTTCGTTTTTAAATATAGCAATTTTTTAAATTTTTGTTGCCAAGTCGGAGTGCTAGGTAGATGTGAGAGAGTGCGCTATAAGCTATAATATAATGGCTTTGTATATAATGGCTTTGTATATAATGGCCGCACTTGTTAATAAATAATTCAATAAACATGTACGTACAGTATCTATCTAGCCTAGCAACCTAGAGTTTAAAAGCAAGTAAACAACAAAAGGTAGAGTCACGTAGTAAAGATAATTATTAAAAAATAATTAAAACGCAAATCATAATGACATCACCACCTCTACAGTTTTCATGTATAATAATCTATACATATAATAAAAATGCTAAAAACCGAGTCAGGGTGATGTTAGAAGAGAAGTATCAAGATATTTTTCAATTTTTTTGGTTCTCTGACTGTTTGTCTGTTTGTACGGGCTAATCTCCGAAACTGTTAAACCGATTTAAATGAAATTTCGCATGGTAGCACCTTATATCCCCAGTCAACATTTTAGATACTTTTCATATCGGAAAATTAAAGAGTTCCCGTGGGATAGCTAAAAAACTATAGTAACCTATACAGCTTAGTACACAAAAACTACTTATTGGATTTTAATAAAACGTTACAATAATATAGTTAGTACATCAGAATAACAAATACGCAATTTTTTTTCCTGGAAAAACGTACGGTTCCCGTGGGATAGATTTGTATGTCTAGAGGCGAACTCGAGCGAAGCTAGGGTGAGCCGCTAGTTATATAAATAAAAGAAATACGATACATCACATAACACGTGTCATATTTTATATTATATTCTACTATTTTTACATATTTAATTAACTTAATTTTGATAGTAATTAATATTTAAAAAAAAGTAATTAAAAAAATAATTATTTAAATAGCAATAAAGTACCGACATTATTTATTACTTTAGTTTATGTTAATGAGGAATTCTTGTATATTAATATATGTAGATATATATAATTATTGTTATACTATATTATAATTTATTACGTGGATCTCGGAAACGGCTCTAACGATTTGGATATTTTTTATTAAGATAAGGTTTTTTGTAGTTTATCTATATATGAGTAGGTCATTTCTAAAAAAATTGTATGTCTGGTCGTGTATGCAAAATTTCAGTCTAATCAGTTGAGGACTACTGCTTTAAAATTCAGTTGCAAGGTATGACCCGAACAAACATTCATACAAACATTGCAAGTTAAATAAAAGCTTGTAAAATTGCTCTTATTTCTTCCCACGCGTCTTCAAAAAAAGTGTAGTTGTATTTACTGAATGAAACCCTATCTTACCTATAGTAACAAACATATAAATTAATAGCGACTCACACTCGCTTCGCTCGGGTTCGTCCCTAGGTTGATTCCCCACACAAACTTTCACCCCCTTTAGATATGATTTCCGGGATAAAAATATCCTATGTCCAGGGTCTCAAACTATCTTTTTACCAAATTTCATCTAAATCGGTTCCATAGATCCAGAGATTACCCTACAACCTCACAAACTCACAAACTTTACCTCTTTATAATATTAGTATAGATACTCGTATATTAAAATTTGACCAAATAGACCTATACCCGTACAAAAAATAATAATAATAATTCACCCCATTTTTTATGTCCCACAGCTGGACACAA